CAACACACCCATGGAAACTTCATGCTATCTAGACAAGGATGAATCAGGTTTGGAAGTTAATCAAACTATGTATAGAGATATGATAGGATCACTATTATACTTAACTGCTAGTAGACATGATATTATGCATTCTGTCTGTGTGTGTACTAAATTCCAGGCTTGTCCTAAAGAATCTCACCTAATTGCAGTAAAACATATTTTAAAATACTTAAAAGGAACTACTGGATTTGGCTTGTGGTATCCGTCCGATGCCCGTATTAGTTTATTAGGATATTCGATGCTCGATTATGGTGGATGTAAAATTGATAGGAAAAGCACTAGTGGGACATGTCATTTGTTTGGTTCATCCTTAATATCATGACATTCTAAGAAACAAGCATGTGTAGCTTTATCTACCACTAAAGCTGAATATATTGCAGCTGGTAGTTGTTGTGCTCAAATTCTGTGGATGAAACAACAATTAGAGGATTATAGCATATATTTAAATGACATTCCATTAATGTGTGATAATACGAGTGCAATCAACTTAACTAAAAATCCAGTAATGCACTCTAGGACTAAACATATTGAGATTAGACATCACTTTTTAAGAGATAATATCAGCAAAGGAAACTGTAAGATAGAGTATGTGGACACTAAACGTCAATTAGCAGATATATTTACTAAGCCTCTACCCAAGGATAGATTCTATGATCTTAGAAGAGACTTAGGGATACTAGAAGTAGCTTAAATTCTGCTTAATTTGACTGTTTTTGGATGATTGTTATGATTAAATTCGTGTTGTAGGATATTCATAGGTTATAATGTGTAAAAACCTTAAAAACTTGATATAGCCTCCGGAATAATCGATTCTCGGAAGTGATAATCGATTATTTTCCCTCAAAACGTCCAAAACAGGGTATTCTCCTTCGGAATAATCGATTATTTCGTGAAATAATCGATTAAATTCTCTAATAATCGATTAATTGCTTGGAAATAATCGATTAAAGTCGCTCGATATAGAAATAATCGATTATCTTGAAATATAATCGATTAAATGCGATCAGCTTTGCCTCCTAGCCGTTGCCAACGGATATTTTGCCATGGAATCTCTTCTATATGACCGTTGGAAGTGTTTTCTCTATAAATAGAGACATCTAGGTCAATTATACTCACTTCTAACTCTTGTAATCAAGTTTTCTTGAAATCTATACTCTCTTTGCTTCATTATTCCCTCACTTATCTCCAAAATCTCTTCAAGTTTATCTACTCTCTCAAATGGCCTCATCCTCTCGCCTCTAAGATTCCTACAAGAAGAAGATCTGCACCTTCTTCTCATTCCAGTCCTAATTTCGTTGAAGGATGGATTTACGATACGGAAGGGCAACAAGAATTTCGATGTACTTGGAAGGAACGTGCCATCATTTCTCCTAAGTTTCTCATTGGTGAGCAATTTATACATAGAGGGTTTAATTTTCCAAATCTTCTTGAAATTCAAGGAGTTCTCCCATTTATCCAAATGCAAGGTACTTACTATCCCGACTTAGTTAGGGTATTCTTTTCTAGATTTAAGTTTAGGGATCAAATTGCTACATCCCGTGTCAAAGGAGTGACCATAATTCTAGATGATGATATTTGGGAAAATGTTGCTCACTTCCCAATTAGAGAAGATGCTATTAACGTTTATGGTGAGCTAGATGATTTTGACAGGTTCCTAGCTTATAGATCTTTTCTACGGAATCCCTCCATAGAGATTGGACGTATTCTTCATGTCTGGACCCTTGAAGAAGGAAGAACGCATGATTCTTCATTTGCTTGTCCGGATTTTATGTCCCCGGGCCACAAATCATGCCCAATGCTCTTCTATTGATCTTCGCATTATTCATGTCATAATGAATAATGAACCTTTAGATTGGGGTGCTCTTGTCACAATGACAATGTTAAAGGCCAAACGTCATCCAACATTCAAAATTCCATATGCTCTTCTTGTATCCCGAATTCTTGAATATAAAGGAGTCAATGTCGAAGGTGAACAAGTTGTCCGAACTACTAACTTGAACCGCATGCTGGACAGCACTTTGATTCATCTACAAATGGTGCGGGTCAATGAAATCTATGTTCACAAAGATGACGTTCAAAATCAAGGTGATGCAAATGAAGACTCTGATGAAGATATGCCTCCAGCTACTGATCTTCCCTCTAACCAAATCCAAAGTGTTGGAACATCCTCTTCTCATCAAGAAACAAGACAATCCATGGAAGATATGCTTTTCGACATGAATCAAAGAATGCAATCATTCTTCAATCTTTACAGTGCACGGCATGATGAAATTATTCGCCGTATATCCGATGTAGATGATAGAGTAGGTAGATTAGAAAATAGATTTGATACTCACTTTAATGATGAGGATAGTGAAGAATTTTAGATTTTATTTTGTTTATATCTTTGTATTGTTATGAATGAATGATTATGAAATAAAATTTGATGTTTCTTTCATGCTATGATTGAGGGGGAGCTTTCTCAACTTATGCATATTTTGAGGGGAGCTCTTATGATTGATGTTGCAGAGTTCTTTTTGATTATAATCAAAATAGGGGAGAAAAATTTAAAGCCTATGATTCAATATTAAATGTTATCTGGTATGTTTAATGTGTTTGTTAGTATGACGGATAAAACAGGTTATTACAAGGGCTTTAAAAAGATAATTTTGATCATCATCAAAAAGGGGAGATTGTTGAACATTCAAGGACTTGATGTTGCAAATAATGATCATGAAGAATGTTGATTTTGATGATGATCCAAGAGCTTAAAGACTTAGAGTATTGAAGATTGAAGATTGATGATTTACGTATTATAATAACTCTGTTTTAGTTTGATTGAGTCCGTAATTATAGAGTCTAAGATAGCTGGTACATAGTCTATAACTTAGAAGCTTCAAAATGCTCAAATTTATCATGCATGCTTCGGCTTTAATCGATTATATAGGTAAATAATCGATTAAAACAGATGAGAAAACCACTTTCTATACTAAGTCACTGTTTTAATCGATTAAAAAGCAAAATAATCGATTATTTCGATACCGATTCCGTCAGATAATCGATTATTTCACCAAATAATCGATTAAACCAGAGAGGATTGGGTTCGACGTATTTGGCTCTGTTTTAATCGATTAAAACTCCATTTAATCGATTATTTCGATCTGTTTCGATTTTAAACATCAAACAAACCCTATTTTCGAAAACCCAATTACCAAGAACCCTAGTTTCGAAATCCCAATTCCTAAACCCTAATTTCCCTACTTAAACTCTGCTTTGACACTCGAGAAAATAAGAACAACTCTTTCCATACAAAAGTTAAGTCGTTGTGAGTGCCGAGAACTGTTTGTTGCAAGGAAAGGGGCTTTTGGAACCTGGTGTGAGGCTAGAAGCGATAAGAATCACTAAGTGGAGTTCTTAGTGGATTGTGTGCTGTGTCGTCTCTAGGGAAAGCTGTTCTTCATCTCTTGTGGATTTCAAGAGAGGTGTTGTCTTTACTTTATCTCTTTGATTTGTAATCTGTTTATAACAATTTGTTCTTAGTGACGACGTTAATCCTCTTTTGAGTGATTAGCAACTGGACGTAGGGTCTTTTGATCCGAACCAGTATAAACCTACTGTGTAATCTTCTCTACTCTTCTCTATTTACATTTACACAGTTTTTAATCGGTAAAATTTGGGGAAAATTTTGAAAACCTAATTTTTATTAAGAAACCAATTCACCCCCCCTCTTGGTTTTTGTCCGACCACGCGAATATTCCGCTGCGCGATTCTAACATTTATTACAACACAAGGTATCATTGTAGAGTTTGGTACTGAAGTTTGTGAGTTTTGATTTGTCATTATAACTCTGCCACCTCTCAATATCATGCACTCTATAGATAAAGTTGTTCCATTGGGTGTGTCAATTTGTTTTCTAGTATAAATAATTTGTTGTTCGATATACTTATTCAATTTACAAGATGAATTACTTAAACATTATGTGAGTTATTAATTTCATTCAAAATTTAGTATATAATAGATTTCAATTAAAGATTGTTCGTATTCAATTTTTATGTTTAATAAAATATGAAACATTTAAAGTAAATTGCAAGAATAGTAAAAAACTCGTAAAAGTAAATTACTTAAAAGTAAATGTGCAAGAAATTAAATGGCAAAAAGATAAATCTAACTCATTACCAAAGATAAAATAGAAATTGATAAAGGAAATCAACAAAAGTGACGATCTAAATTACAAAGAACTTCATTGAAAATATTTGTACCCAATTCATAGCGTTTTTCATAATGTAAATTGTACGATTTGAAAATCACCCAATGGATTATAATCATCTCTATAAGTCTTTCGATATACCATTTAAAGATCTTTCAATATAGCTTCGTCTCGATATATTGTGTCTTTGTATATCAATATTCTTCACTTTTGAATTCCTTGATTCTTGATTTGTAGATACTCTAACCTCTTTGAAACTCAATATTGATTATTCTTCTAATTCGATAATATATCTTTCTCGATTGTTACGTTTATTTCCTCTAACAATCCCATGTCCCTTTTTCTTGATTCATTCTTTTATTATTTTTTTTTTAAATTTTGGACTTTAACACTATACGAAATATATTGATGTATTTCAATGTTTATAAGGTTATAGTAAAGTTTACTATATTATAAGGATATAATGAGTTATAAATGGGACAAAAATTTTTTTTTAAAGTATAGTATAACATGATTTTTCTTATCATGCAACTACTTATATAGAATTAATAATTTGTTTACGTGAAAGTAATAAATTTTTGTCTAAATTAAATTAATAAATTACATGGAGAGGAATGATTGCAGTTCTGCTTCATCATACAGAAAAATATAATAAATAGAAATGAATAGGAATTAATAAATTAACGGATATTAATGAATGAATAGAAATCAATAACGCAGAAAGTTTTGGCTTTAGCTGCATGCAGTGTGACCAATTTGAAAGCACTTGCATACGTCAAACCATCTTGCTTTTGCCTTTGTTTGATATGCAGAAAGCAGGGTAGGGTAGAGACGCATGATTGCTAGGTTCTGCTTCATCATCACGGGGAAAGGACAAAGGACTCATGTCAGATCCTATGTTTCCATCGACAAATGCTAAGCATTTTAGTGGGTCCATTAGCCATAAGTTTTCTTCTGAAATGAAAAAAAGGTGTATTAAAACAAAACATCCTTCCCCTTTCACATAAAAGGCAAAGAGAAGATTGGACTTGTTGCTTGATAAAACCTTGGTGAACAATTGGGAAGACACACGGTTGAAGATCTTCATCTGGAGCACCATGTTTTATTGCCTCAGTCTGCACCAGATTCTTCAAATTTTATATACTCAGTGTCTTGATCATTAATACAAGGATCCAGAGATGAAGCAGTAAATTTATATACTTATATGGAAAAGAGATTCTCAAGTAGTAAAATTCACTCCAAACAGTAATTCGAAAATTGAATTCTCTTATGCAATCAACCTGTCTGATCCAAAAGATAAAAACAATTTAAATATATAAATGTGTACCCTCTGGTTGGAGTTGAGAGTATTATTCTCAGCTTGATAATTTTTTCCATCAAATATGGCTTCAGCAACACCAGTCTCATCATGCTTTGCTTTCTTAGCCTGCTTCATAATTTCTTCCTGTTTCCTTTTGGCAATCTTGCCAAATTTCTGTCGTAGCAGAACAAAAGATTCAGACGAAATTTACATATCAACTCATACTTTATATATATTAACATAAAAGAAATGTATGGAGGATTTTTTATACAAATACTTTTTAAAAGAAAAAAATAATTTATGAAAATTATTTTTTCAATTTATGGAGAAGTTTCTTCGTACAACAACTATAAAAAAATAATCAGTGTTTTATTCCGTAATACCTCTTGTAAAGATGATGGATTGGTTTCATGCTCCTTCAACAGATCCTCGACTGTGTCTATCCCATTCTTAGACAGCTGCTTATAAATTTTACCATATTTTGATATATGTTTCAAATGCCATATTTTATCATTGAGGGACGGGTCCTTTTTCTTATTCACTGAAATCACAAATCACGTGTCACTCGCACCAATTATCTTAAATGGTTAATGCTTATGGCTAATAAATTTCAAGTTAATCAGGGATAACACAAGATCAACACTGTTCTTATTCAGGTTGGATTTCCAGACTTAATCGATTGTTTAACTCATTTATATGGAAAAATGAATTTAAGAAAATCAAGCAAATTTAAGTAAAATTATCGATTAAATTTACCACTTCATAATTTTACTATAAAGCGTAAAACATAAAGTAATAGGGTTAAGTGTCCTTAAAGTTACAGAAGTTTTTCTTTAGAACAATGTTTGAGTTAGGTAAATAGCTGTGAGTGTGCATAAGTACTTGTAGTATTAGGGTGTCACTCCATTCATCTAAAAAGTTTTTCAAAAAAAATAAATAATATTTACTTGAATTTTTTTAGTCTTGTTGTAAGGATTAAAAGTAATTAAAATATATAAAAAATATATGTAAATATTAAAATGAATTTTTATGTATAGAAATTGAAAATGGTTCATGAATGAATATTTTAAAACCTAAATGAATAATAAAACTAAAATTTAATCTGAATAAATAGTTAAACTTAATATCTAATATGATTCCATTCCAGCGTGAGTTGCAGAAAAAGAAAAAACCAAAGGAAGTGGTTCAACGGTGAATACTTTCACTTACCTCTGGAGTCCTTGACAATGAAAGGTTTACTTATACCTTCTCTGATGTTTATTGCACCATTCAAATTTGATTTCACAACCGTGACTCCTAACCTGAATTGTCGTGTTCTTATCCAACATGAGTTGTCAGTGAATGATAAATTGTGGATGAAAGCAACTCCATTTTCAAGCGTAATAACTGTATCTCCTTTCAGTAACCGCCCTTTATTGTCTCTTTGACGTAAGATTTTGGAGTTGAATTCATGGTTACTCCAATTTTCACTGCCATCTGAACCAAACTCACCATTAAGGACGCAAATCTCTATCTTGATCGAAGAGAGTGGATCATCTTCATCACAGACTATAGACCGAGATTCAATATCAAAAAGAACAACCTCGAGAGGAGTGTCGTCTCTAGCTTTGATCTTGGAGAAAGTATGGATTGTATCAGGCAACTCATTCCTAAAAACCAGCTTCAAGAATCTGCAGGCTCCAGACATTTCAGGTTGATTACTAATTGGTCTGCGACAAATTTAAAAACCGTACCAGGATTATTAGATAACTGTTAGCGACAATCATAATTAACAAAGCACACGAATAATTGTTCCTTTTGATAAAATGAAACAAACCTTGGAACTAGTTGGCGTTCCAACTCCTCTCGTAGCTAGTTGAGGAATGACAATACGAATCAATGAACATATGAAGTTGTTGTTAACGACATATCTTACTCTTTCACAAAGAAAAAAGTTATAAGATTCTTACCGATTTTCGAAATGAATCTGCCAAGGACGGTATCAGGTCATTCCCAGTGAGATACCTTAAACTTCCAAAGGTGCTGCACATGCCATAAAGTACAAACGACGACAATAAAACATTATGCAAAGGATTTTTAATCAATGTTGTCGAGTTCTTTAAGAATTAATATTGAGAACAAGAGAATATTACCCAGAGGGATTCGAAAGTTGTGAATCTTGGCGTCGTTCAAGTCTCCGTTTTCGATCACCCCTCTCGTCGCCATCTTGCTGGGATTGTCTTTTTGATGATTCCATTTGTTTGAAGACAAGAAGACAAGAATCACAATCAAATCAACAACTAGATCTCTAAATATATCTTTTCGAATTTTCCCCAAAAACGATAAATTAAATTGAAAGACTAAAATACAAATGTTTATTTAAAGCTGATGGAGATCAATAGGGTTTCGGCGATTTGACACGACGAAAGAAGGTTCGGGAAAAAATTTACTCTCTGATGCCTACGCTTGGTAAGGAAACTTCCAAGAAGAAGAAAAAAGTACTTTTTTTTTTCGTGGTCGTAAAATCTGCATTTTCCTCTCAATTCATGCCTCTTACGCTTCATACTCTTCTCTCTCCCTTCTTGCATTTAGACGCCACTTGCTGACATGAACGCGTTTTTGTGATGGCAACATACAGTAATTTCATTAATGCATGTAGGAAAATGACTAGCTAAAATAACTTGTATGCTGAAAAAAAAGTGTGTAGTGTCACTAGTATGATATCAAAGGTTCACACACACGTAATTAAGGAAGAGAGTGAATGACAGAATTTTCCACAAAAGCGTGTACGAGGATCAGTCTTTGCAGTATTTTTATTATCAAATGTTGTTGATAAAATTAAGATTTTGCAATGCAATCACAAGCTGATCAATTTCCAGGATCATTCTTTGTGAAAATTGCTAGGGAGCTTCCAAATACTCTGAAAGTATAGAATATTAAGCACGCCACTTGCACAAGCATTCAACACTATGGCATTAATTATTTTGTGTCAAAAACACAAACCTTACATAGGCGTTAATTCATCACAACATGTTTTGCTACCGAATGGTTTTTTTTATATGCATGTGTATGTCCCTCACTTAACCAAAGCAGATATACAGACTTTTGATATCTTTTTTTTTGTTCTTCTCTTCTTTAGGAAATTAAAATGAAATTTACTAATATGCAATATTTCTCTTCTATTTAACTGGAGTGTGTAAGAGTTCTCACACACAGAACAAATCTGCTTAGCATTCATAGCTAATAACTTGATATTACCCTAATTTTGTCATTATTCAAAGAAAAAAAATCATTTCTGTGACATGCACGTGTACAGAATAGGGCAATTAGCAAATTTTTAAACTTATTAATTACAATCATAATTTTATCCCATAACTCTAAATTTTTTCCTACAGTTGGCCCAGCCTGCATCGGACATAAGTTAAATTACTTGGAATGAGATTGGAATGATTTTTCACCACAACTATTCAAGATACAGTGTTTGGAACTTTTTGGAAGTCGTTGTTTCACACCACAACTGTAAAATTTAAAGGTTTTGGTTTGGGTACTTTTATTAATTAAGTGGATAAATAAAACAATCAATTCCATCAATTTAACTACTTTAAGTAAACGACATTCCAAAAATAAATAATTAATGTTATTTGTCGCTTTCAAGTTTAGTTTGTTACATAGGTGGAAATTCATCTGCCAAATCAATTATCAAGCTCATATTTCAGAAAAGGACATTGAGGATGAAATCATGATTAATATTAGCAACGTGCAAAATTCATTCAGTTGCATATGCTTTTTGTGCGCACTGTACGCTATACGTATCTGTTGGTCACCACGAAAGGGGTAAAACTGTGGGTAATTTGGTTTGAACATCGTGAACTTCTGATAATTATTCTACAAGGGATGATTGAACCAATTAAGGACAAACAATTAACAAAGGATAACCAACCACCGATTGTGTTCATAACATGGCCTAGGTTTCAACTTGATCCATTTCATAGACTTATGATTCCGAACGCTTGATTAACAAAAGCCAAAATATATAATCAGTTAAATTACAATTACATGTTAGGAATGCATCACGTGATTTTGTAAAAACTCTGATACATCAGTGAATTAAACATAACATCAGCAAATTATAGCAGTTTGGTCTTTACAAGGAAAATGATTAGAGGGTATTTAACATGGGTTATTATCATAATATTTTCATTTTTCTCTCGAAGAGTCTATATGCCACATATAATGTCCATATGTATTTTTCTCAGAAAATTTCAGAATTTTTTCTCATTCCTCTAATTTTCTACTTTTTTTTTTCTTGGATCGAAATTTATCATTTTCCATTAAAGTTAGTCTGACTCTTGACCAAAGGAAAAAAAGAACAGCAGTCCAAGTAAGATTTTTTGTTTTCAATTTGAAGCAGATATGAACATAATGGGAAACAAATAATAGATTCATGGTATTGAGAAAGGAGAAAAAAACCTTCAAGTTACAGTGTTGAATTTATTTTTGAGAAAGTTAAGCGTTGACCTAAAGTTGAGAATGTTCAGAAGAGCCGATCGAAGACTTGATTTGTTGACAAGATTTAGAAGGTGAAAATTACAGTGTGTGTGTGTACGTGAGTGTGGGTAGAATTAAAGTGTGGATGACTGACCTGGGCAGAAGCTCTTGGCTTGTGTGAACATGAGAAGATTCGTGGTGGCCATGGAAAAAAGGAAGAAACAATAAAGAGGATGAGATTGGGTTTTTGGAGTTTGCAGCCAAGTTTGAATTTTCAATTTTTCAAGATTTGAGATTTTCTATAAAGATACTGTGAGGAGCTTGACTTGCTCGGTCAACTTGAACTGTTTATTTTTATTGCTCTTCATTCTTTAATCCTCCGTTTTAGACTAGTTTTTTATAACTATACTATGCTTTATGCTCCCTTAATTAGCTCAAAGTGCGACAAGGCAAAGAAGAATATTTTGTTGTTATAAATTAATACTCTAAAAGTAATTTTGTTATTGCTAAAAATTTACTCCTTATAATATATTTTTTTTCCAAGCTCGCACGTTTTCAGATATGTGAACTTGAAACTAAAAATAAGATAAACTCACAAAAAGCACTCTTAACCGAGAACATAATAACAAAAACAGCAATACCATTAAATTCCATTTTTCTCACTTTCTGAAGGCATTTTGTTGGCACAGACAAATTGACACGATATTAACTAATAATTAATTAACGAATTACAGAAATTGAATTGGGAACACACAATTGATGAAGGAATCAAAAGAAAAGAGCGTTGAATTCAATTCAATTCAATTTTGACCGCAAAAAAGTATTGGCCTCTTCCTTTTAGCCATATGCGGTAAGACCCATTTCAGAGCATTTCTAATCTTCTGCCACACCGTCTTGGTTTTCCTTTTGCTTGGCTTGTACCCAGAATTGTTGAGCAAAGTGGAATTGTTGAAGATGATGCTACATGGTGCTCCATTATCACCATAGGCATAGGAGGAATAAATTGGTTGCTCCCATTGGTTATGGTTAGAGTTAGGGTTAGGGTTAGGGTTAGGGTTAGGAGTAAAGTAACTTTGAATTTCATCCCATTCGTTTCCATCAATATTAGTACATGCTTCTTCGGGGACAACCATGCCCCCAAAAGACATATTTAGTGGCATTTTTCCCAGGATTGTTCGGAGTGGATCAGGATTTACCACAAGGCCATTGTTTGCAGCTTCATTAATATTTAATGTTGAGGTGGATGGCCATGTTTGTAATGGGCCTGCACATTCACAGGATAAGAACATGAGAGCCAATAATCACGACTTACCAATCTCATATTAAACCAAAATTTCAAGGCTAAGACACGGGACATGTATAATTAGTCAACATTGCCCTTGAAATTTCTTACATACGAGTGTAATAAAAAAGAAAAAAATGGTTTTAATTTAGAGCTTATGCTGTACGTTTAAAAGGTTTAAATAATTGTTTGGTTCTAAAAAAAAGACACAAAAGAAACAAATGTTCTTCATGTACAGAAGATGGTCATGCTGCAAACAGATGCAGTACCTTGCTGAGCTGGCAGGAGGCGTTCTGGCAGAACTTGATGTGAACCATGTGTTTGTGTCTCAATGGGCTTCAGATACTGCAGATTTGAGTAGGCGTCCCTCTTAACTCTTTCCACCAAACACTGGCAGTTAAAATGTAACTTGATCAGGTCCAATAAAGCGGTACTATATATGACTCATTAAATTTAAGAATCTATACGAGGCAGTAAAGTTCACTCCAGAAAGCTGTATAAGCCAAAGGAACCAACGTTAAGAATAGGATGTAAAATTACAAACCTTCTCCTGCGAATCCAGAGATTGCAGAGAACGAGGGTGTTGTTGCCCGTGAAAAATCACCTCCACAACCTCATAGATGCAGTTGAAGACAAGTTGCATACCATGATACTCATAGCTGTAGCGCTCATAATCATCTACCTCACAATCTTCACCATGGGCAATGATTTTGTCCCAATTATTAATCTTACCGAAATTCTACTTTCCACAAGTGAAAATCAGATGGGAAACATATACATGTCAATCTAATTACTAAACTATCAAATTAAGCAAAACATCAAGAAAGAACCAAAGTAGAGTCATTGTTCCAAGCGCAAGGATGTTTAAAAAGTTATATTAATTTACCTCTCGTAATGAACCGGTTGCGTTCAACCGCAAAAGATCCTTCACAGTTTTTATTCCATTGTCAGAAAGCTGCCTGTGAAGCGGACCCCCTTTCCCTATGTGCTTCAGACGCCACACCTTATCGTTCAATGATGGACGGTCGGGTTTCTTGGTCGCTGAAATAACCAAACACACATACCAATTCTAAAATCGAACTTACATTCGAAATTAAAAAGACTTTAAACATATTCTACCAAAAAATTAAAATGAAAATGAGCTATGGTTAAGGACTTGCACTCTCCACGGCTATCCTTGACCCTAAACGGTTCACTTATGGCTTCCCTGATTCCTGCTCCAAGGGAGTTAGATTCCTCAACCTTAACTCCTAACCGAAACTTTCCGCTTCTTGTCCTGCGAGAATTATCAGTAATCGCCATCATCTTCTTATTGATAAAACCAACCCCTTTTACAAGTCTAATAATCGTTTCTCCTCTAAGTAATGGTCCCTTCCCCTCTCTTGGTTTCAGAATTCCAGCTTTAAATTCTTCTGCAGTCCACTCCTCGTTTCCAAAATCACCATCCAGCACATAGATATGAGCCTTCATGGTGGAAACTTCTTCTGTGTCAAAGCGTTGCTGCGAAGCAGGATCCCACAGCTCAATTTGAAGTGGACCACCGTCCTCAGCCGTGAGATTGGCCATGGTGAAAATTATTGGGGACAATTGATTCCGGAAGCGCAATTGCAAAGCTCTGTCTCCAGAACGGCGACCCCGATGGTTACGGCACAATCGACTAAGTTGGAAACACAACACAAAATTAACTATAATCAATCAATATACACATAGAATAACAGAGCATGTGGTGGTGAAAAGAGAAACAAACCATGGAGACAGATAACGCTCGAGTATTGGTGGAATCTTCTCCTCCAACTAGTTGGAGACACAACAACATAGAGTTAATAACACAAACTACAGGATTTTAAAAACTCCAAATAGAAACTTATTGTACGCTTACCAATTTGCCAAGGACAGTTTCCAAAGCGGCACTGCACGATAACCACAAAAGAAAGACGAAAAGTCAGAACAAGGTGCATGAAACGAAGAGAATTAGCAGACATGGATACAAACACTTACAGAATCGAATGATTGATGTTGTCTCCCTGTCTTCTCTTAGCACGAATTTGAAGATTTGTCTCATCATTATTCTGAAATTCCTCCGCGTCAAATGCCCTTTTCCCTGCCATTTTGATTTCACAAGCTTACAACACTCAACTAGCAACCAAACAAACTTGCACCTGTCTATAACTATAACAACAAATACGAACTTCACTCTATATATAAAAAACGTTAGAATGAATGATTCAAGAAGATGCAAGGTATATTCTCCACGCGTTATTTCGGGTACTTAAAATTAATTAAATTTTAAACGGAACACATAAAATGGGAAAGAACATTATTACAACAACTCCCTTTGGATACTGTCATTAGTTAATTCTAGTTAAAGAGAATGATATGCTATAACTCTCTTAAGTGGTTCAGAGAATGCTTGCCTTCAATTGTTAAAATATCCTATAAAAATATTTTGGGAAATTGATCAAAATATTTTATAACTAGTTTATAAGATGTATTTAGTTATATATATATATATATATATATATATATATATATATATATATATATATATATATATATATTGTTTTATTATAGCTTCTCGTAATGGTTAATGAAAAGATTTCCCTTCAAATCTTGTCACTACCAGATCTTTGGAACATGCATATTTTTTTTATCTTTCACTTTCTTTCTTATAAATTTGTCATGATTACCTTTTATTACTATACAATGAATAATGAAATGAGTGTAATATTTCTAAAAAATATAATATATTAATATAAATACCAACTTCTGATAAATATTTTTTATATATTTTACATTTTACTACAAGGTTATTTAAATAAACTTATATTTTATATTCTTGCAGTAATTTTTGTGTGTGTTGTTATTAATTGTATTTTCCTTATATAGTGCTGTTTAGTTTTTTTATTTTATATATATATATATATATATATATATATATATATATATATATATATTATTGTACTTTTTAAGGTTATATAATGAATTCATGATGTCTATTTCATTTAAATCTTTTATATTTTAATCATGTTTTGATTACTAGATATTTTTAAGTTTTGAAATTATTGAGAGCCGTAATGGTGAATGTTCACGAAATTGGTTAAAAAATATTTTACTTTTCATAAGTTTTAAATGTGTGTCACATGAATTTTTAATTTAAAAAACAAAACATCGGAAGTTATTTTATTATTTAATATAACTTATTGAATTTGAAATGCATTATAACATAAATCTTATGCAATAAAAATTTATTAAAGAGAAAATATTATGTTTTACTTTAAGAATATAAAATAAATTTCTCAAATTATTAAAAAATAAATCTCTCATTTTGAAATTTGATTAAGTTTATTTTCCAAATTACCATTGCACCTGAGGAACACGAAATCATGCAATATTATATTGATAAAAAAGGAGAAGAGAGGCAAAGAAAGAAGCTTGGAGGCCCGCCAATGCGGTCTATTAAACTTAAGCCGCGTTTGTAAATTTGAGAGAAAATCCACAGGAAAAGGATTGCAACTTCACCATCCGTGTTCAATTTTTCCTTCTCCTGTCTTGTCTTTTAAGGTTATTTATATACGACTACAAACTTTATTTTTTTTTTGATAGAATTAGGTATCTTGTCTACTTTATATAAATATAGTAAATATTATTATGAATTATTTTAAAAATTTTATAATTTTGATATATATTTATATTTTTAGTTTCTAAAATTAATAATTATTAAATATATTTATTTATATATTTATAATTTATTCTCGTATTTTTTTATTTTTTATATTTATTTATTATTTATTAATAATATATTATATTTTAAAAAAAATAATTATTGAGATATAAAAATATTTGTTAAGATAAGAAAGTATGATAAAAAATTATTTTTTATATGAAAAAATGTGATAACTTTATAATATAAATATAATCTTTATTATTTTAAGTTGATATTGTTGTTGGATGGAATTAGATACCTTATTATTTATAACATAATATTATAATTAAAATTTAACTTCTTTTATATTATTATCTTTCAAAATTTATTATTTCATTGTAAATAAAAAATATCTTTTGTTTAGCGTAATCGTAAAAAGTATGTTTCAAGTCTTTTATCGTGTAATTCATAATATGATTTAAATACTTGTTTAATTATTTCTTGTATTATTATATTTGAAATCAAATATTATTTATTTATATAATGGATAATTCATGTTTCTAGTATGTATTTTTACTTTTAAGAATTCATTAAAATTGGGCTTTAATGCAAGTCATCCAATAAAATTAAGAATTAAAACATTATTTTTAATTTCTTTGTTTTAATGTTGAAGAAATTGGCGAGAAAAGAAAGATAAGTGTTAGATTTGATTACAACTCTGTCATAATAAGTTTATTAATTTTATGTTTAACTCTTTCTCTTTTAATTTTCTACTCCATTTGTCCTTGATATATATATTTTTGCGTTGCACTATTTCAATGCTGATATTGATATGATAAGTTTGTCTATAGAAAAAAATATAAAGATAAAACACAAAATTAAAAGAGTATTTAAATCAAGATTAAAAAAAAAAAAAAACGTAGACACCCTCTTACGTGGAGAGTTAATAAAAAATGAAACATAAAGATAGAGTTGGTTGAATGATGCTTGAAACATACGTTAAGAAAAAATTAATAATAATAAAGACAGAGACTAAAGTAATAAACCCAAAAATTATTTGATCTAGAAAGAGCAATGAAAGAGAAAAACAAATAGATGAGAAAAATAAAATTAAAGTATTTATTATTATTCACTTTTTTATTTCATTATATTTTTTGTTAAAAGTAGATAGGGCTTACGCTTTTGTACTTTCTTTACATTTTTACTATTTCAAAGTATTTCCCTTCTCTCTCATCTCTTCAACTCTACCAAACTCACCTTCAATATTGTTATTTGATAATAAGAATACAAATATTAATAAAAGTTAAAAATTAAGATCAGTAAGAACTATGATTAGAGTTAAATAAATCTTACAAGATTTTATTTTGAATAACAATACGTTGAAACATTATTATAATTTAGGTTATGGAGTCTCTAATAAATTGTGTAGTTTTTTTTTATTTTAGTACTCAATACAAAAAATTATGAATTTAAGTTTTTGAAATATTTTGTTTTAATCTCTTCCGTATCATCCTAAGTCAAACATATTACATGTTATTACGCACACAAATAATTAATTCACGTGTTATTGAAGTGTGAGATTTTTGAAGTTAAATCTTTTATTTATTAAAGTTTCTATTTTAAATAATCGTTTTCAGTCGAAAGGAAAATTAAGATTTCTTCCTTAATTATATAATTTACATTGACCATTACCTTCTGATGAAAAAAGAAGCATGAAAGAGTCAATCTTAATTTCCTTTTCAACTTAAAATAGAAATCTTAATAAAAATAACACATTTTAGTAATGTATGGATTACTAATTTGGCTATATAACGACCACGAGGGTTCAATAAAAATAAGTTCAAAAACTCAAACTCACCATTTTTTTTAAATTGAAGAAACCACAATTTATTGTAACTTAAAACTTATTTAAACTTTAAATTATAATATATTTATCGTGAAAATTTTAAACTATTTTTACGGGAAAATATATATTTTTTAATATAGTTATATATTATATTTTAGAAATATGTTTATCTTGTATTTAAAGAAGTTATATTAGATAATATTTTTTAATATGTTTATCTTGTTTTAGATAATATGTGCAGTGTCATCTAACGGAGTTACGCGGTTTAACATAGAAATTGTTATAACATAAAAAAAGTTGTTTCAAATCAAATGGTTGAATTTAATTTCCTCTTTCTTCCGTAATTATTGGTTTTGAATTTATTTGGATATAAATAATCTAGTTGATAATTTTTTATTAACGTCACAATTAGTTTTACGTTATTGATTATAATATTATATATATGTAGATTGATTATATTATATATCATATGATATACATACACACACACACACATATATATATATATATATATATATATATATATATATATATATATATATATATATATATAATATCAAAAAATGCGAACTTAAAAAAAAAACTAAAATCTTATTATTTGTATTAAAATTCTTAATTATCACTATTTAAGCACAACGTACAAAAGAAATAATTAAAAAAAAGTATTTTTAAATTTCAATTTTTACAAAATAATAAATACATCCATTTAAACGTATATTAATACTAGATGAATTTATTTCATAGTTAATACATCTCATTAGTTCGCGTCATATAAATATCACATGGCAAGTTTACACACATCCATATCTACATCCACTTCACATTCTCAATTTCCAGGCTTTTAAAATTCAACGCTATAAACGCGGCAAAATTGATAACAATGGAATAAATAAAGGGAAGAATGGAATGAATAGAAAAATTCTAAACTTAGTTTTTTATTCGAAATAAAAAATATTCATATTTTATAAATTTTAAGATCTCCAAACTATTAATACGTTACTCTAGATAATGAATATAATAAATATATTAATACCATAATTAAAAAATATATTATAAATTAGAATTTAACCTATATATTCAAGAAAAATAACCTGCTCACTTTGTCAAAAACACTAATGTGCTTCATCTCGTTTTATCCCTCATAAGTTTTTTTTTTCCTTTAATTTTACGAAGGAATTTCAATAGTTTTGTTTAAACAAATTTCTAAACTAGAAATTTAACCTATCTAACCTATTTAATTTGCCAAACACACCTCGTTGTTTCTCTCATAAGTTTTTCAATAAAAAACTTGTTGGAATTTCTTGTACAAATAATTTTTCTGAAGAGAATTTGTTTACCAACAGAATGAATTTTGAATTGATCTTAAATGAGTATGTAAAAACTGGATTTTACAGACAACAACCACAAATTATACCTAAACAACCACTAGGATGTGCAGGGGGACCCCATATTGCACATCTCTTTAGTGAAGTAGAAATTATATTTTTAAGGATCTGATATCCTAGATTTTGTAGGCACATGTTGTTACCTAGTAATAAATCCAGAAAAGGCATAAGACAGTCTAATAGTTATTATAATAAAACAGCTGAGCATTCTTTCTGGCAGCTGCATGCCTTTTCACTGATATGACCCATTTGAGAGCAAAAGCAATCTTATACCACGCTGCTTTCGGTTTGCCACTACTTGGTATGTTCACAGCAGAATTTACCAAAGTAGAATAACTGTTAAATTCTTCTCCATCAGAAGATCCAAAGAAAAGGCCAGTTTCTGGTTGCCATGTTGTATAAGGAGAACAACTATCTATGAATTGAGTCTCTGAGACTTCATTCTCTGCTGAATATCCACCTTGCATGAATGGAAAACACGATCCATTAAAGTGACAACTATCCTCTTCAGTGTACATTTCAGGGGATAATTCATCCAACACATGACTGTTTTGTGGCATTTCTCTTGTTCCTGTCAGTGGATCGGCATAAACTTGGTTGTCATGCATTCCTTCATCAGTGTATGAAGCAGAGATAAATGGTTGACTATAATCTGGGAATGTTACTGATTGAACAGAAGAAGACAGAGTTAAAAGATTATATAAAAGTGGACAAATAGCTATAACAAAGCATCACGTGTATGAGAAATAGGCATGTTTTGAAGGTAGTAGTAAATGACGGAGTTATAAAGTTTTAGTGTTGTATTTGTATAAGGAATAATATTTATTGATTTTTACGTGGAAATTAATCAATATGGCGTAAATGCATGTATTCACATTTTAATATGTCCGCTAGACAACATAATCCTATGGCATCAACTGTCCTCCTAAAACTGTTGCTTAGTGATTGACCCCTTGATATGAAATAGTAAAAAATGATGCCATTACATATACCTTGTGCAGTTGAGATATTCATGTGTTGCAGATATTGATCTGGAGTGTCAGACTGCCTTGCTTTTAGACATGCAGCCAGATTTAAACAGTTCAATTTAGTTTCATCAATCAATACAATATTGTTGACATTTTTGTAAGCTTGCTTCTTCACTATTTCCACCAAATGCTGCCAAGGAAGAAGGAACTTTATGATATATAAACAATGACAAGACAGGAATCACTAATGTAAAGAAACAAAAGATGTGACAATAAGTTTTTCTTTAAGATCTATTCAGCCACCAATGACGAACAGGTTATGAATCCATACCTTTTCTTCGGGAGTGAGAGTATCTGGTGAATAATAATTTTGCCAATCAAATGTAACTCCCACAAGGATGTAGATGGAATTGAATAGCAGGCCTATTTGCAGTTCTAGGGAGTGATAGCTGTAAAGCTTGTAATCATCTATCACGCAAGTTTTGGCATGGTCAGTGATGGCTAACCATGACTTCTTGGCAATGTTTCCTACCATCTACATCCCAAAAGCAAAAGATTCAATGAATATGCTCTTGTTAAGCATGGATTTCATTATATATTTATATGAAGGGCACAATAAGTAAAGAATGACTACCAACAATAAGTAAAAAAGAAAAGAAAAAGTAAAGAAACAATGTTTTACTTTATATAGCGATGGTTCGTTGGTTATGCACTGCCGCAAGAGATCCTTCACGTTGTGAATTCCATGTAAAGAAAGCAGCTTGTGGATTCTTCCTTCCTTAGCAATATTCTTCAAGCGCCATAATTCATCATCCAAGGATGGAGGATAGTGTTTCTTATAGGCTTAAATGACCAAATTACATGTCAGTTTTGGAGTTATGTCAAAAGACAAATTATATTGAAAAACAGAATTCAAGAGCCATACAAGTTTAATGGAAACAAAATTATGTCTTTAGTTGGAACAGACAATGAGATATAGAAGTGAACTATCATGACTCACTCTCTCCCCTGTTATCTTTGACAACAACAGGTTCACTTCTACCCTCCTGAATCTTTTCTCCATTGGAAGTTGGCTGCACACATTTGACTCCAATCCTGAACCTTCTGCTTCTTTGCCATCTTGAGTTGTCAGACATGGCAATTTTAGGGATACAAGCAACTCCATTTTTTAGAGTAATAAACCTCTCTCCAATCAAAAGTGGCTCTCTACCTTCTCTTTCACGTAAGATATGGGAATTGAACTCGTCTTCTGTCCACTCTTTACTGCCATCAGATCCGAACCCACCATCCAGAACGCAGATCTCTATCTTTAGTGAAGAAAGAGGACCCTCATTTACTACAGACTTGGTTCTAACATCAAATAGAGCAATTTGAAGGAGTGATCCGTCTTCTGCTATTATATTAGATCGAGTATAAATTGTATCAGGTAACTTATTAAGAAAACACAACTTTAAGGGTTTGGCTGCGGCGTTAACCCTTTTTCTGCAACAAATTTGCCAAAAAAAAAAATAGTAAACGGCGAGAACGAATCAAATAAATGGAGGAGAACAAACATATCAAGAAATTAACCACATATTACCTCCGAGGCTCAGTTCCGTACAGGGTACGTATATATAAAGATAAGAAATTCATACTTAAATTTTGAATATAATTTACCAAATAACATTGTTCTAGGAATCTTTCTGATCAAGTATCATTTAACCACACACAAACCATAGGAAATGAATACACCAGTTGTTTGTTGTTAACACAGAATCTGAACATGATGAACTAACCTTGGAAATAGATGAGCCTGGCCCAGGATTTCTTTTTCCACCTCCTCTCTTACCTGTTTTAGGGAGATAAATGAATCAATCAGATTGTCGCTTCAAACAGATTATATTAAAGATACGGTAGACTTAAAATTTGCCCATATAAAACCAGATTATATATATATCAAAATGCTTTTGGGCTATATCAACCAAAGAAACAAAATTTGGAAAATATGATGAGAGCATAAGAGCAACAGAGATAAAAGAAGTGCCAAATTTTAAAGAAACAAATTTCTGATGGCTAATCAGTAATGCTTTTCTTTCCTTTCCTAATCTAATAGTGGAACACAGCTAGGAAACAATGTGAGAATCATAAATATATTTGTCAGCAAGCACTTAGCAATTGCAGAAACCTGGGGAACGTTGAGAATGGATCTAGAATACTAAGTACATTATAGAACCGGTACTTTCAAAAGCCAAATCTAGCTGAAATTAAAAGAAGAAGAAGAAGAATATATATATATATTCGCATCACCACATCACCAATATAAAAGTCTCAAATAATTTCTTACCACTCTTCGCAGAAAAGTTTCCAAATTGGAAGAGTGGTCACTCGTAAATAGTGCGTTGATCACATTTCTCAGGCCACTGCATAATGAGCAGAAAATCAAACTTTAGACCTCACAGGCCAAAACGCCAAAACGCCAAAGTAAGTATACCAATAGCAAATAAGCACCTGATTGACGCTTGTGTTGTATCACCATAACTTCGTTTATGGTCCTGAATTGGAACTTTGCCAACGCCTTGTTGCCTCTGAAAATATTTCCTTTTTGGTACCATCCAAATTGTTACAAGCAAATGAACGACTCAACGTTCCCAGAAGTACTCTCAATGATATAATAACTCAACCAAGCGGTCGTTAAGAACCAGTATATTTTATTCAAGCCAAACATGTCTTTATATACATGTTCAGAACCCAATGCAGGAAGGATGAAGGATGCTTCGGTGCACTGCAGTTCTCTAATACAACACGTCAATCCCAGAAAGTCAATCTCGCATTTCCTCCAAAAATTCCCAGAAAGTACAAACAATTACTATAAAAACAAAACAGTTGAATACATATAATATATATCGCTGTCTTGACTTGAGCTTAAAGACGGCCAAACCGACAGTTTATTAAGATTTTCAAAATTTTAAATTCCCTCATATCTATTAATAATATTGCAAATTCATAGGAGTTTAAATATTAATGTAAAACAATCTTATACTGTACATAAATTTAGTTACAAATCATATAATAAACTTCTTCACTTTCAATAAACTTACCAAACATGAGTTTACAATTCATCGATAGCGTAAAACTACATACATTTATCCTTTTTATCATTTTTTTATTTGATTATATCCGAGTTTAATATATAATTGACAGAATGCAATTGTAGTCAAGGAAGAAATATTACTTATTTTAGAGAGAGAAAATAAACTGTTAAAATATCATGCATGAAATATTTTTTACAGTGATTGATATATGATTGATTATTAATATTTTCTCTCTAAAAATAATATAAACTTCCATTCAACAACTCATGATAATAAAAAAATAATAAATAATAATATTATAATAAGATATGTAGAAGAAAATGGAGTTTTAGGATGGAGGTTTGAATAAATGGGTTGTTAAAATAAAATTTTCGAAAAAATTAATATATAAGGTAACTAAATATGAACTAATTACAATTCTTAATAATAACTGTCTTTTTTTAGAGCATGGTCAATTATAAGTTGTTGCGAAATCAATGATGGAGTAGGTGCCAAATAACACTTAAAAAACGTGGACCTTAATAGTGTCAGTGTCTCGTGTTTACAGAGTGAAAAAATCAACACAAAAAGGTGGTCTTTGGACGCAATGGAGATAGATGATAGATGAGAGAGTACCAAAAATCTAGCACTCATCAAAAGACTCAGAATATGCGACAGCAACAGGGGTTTAAGTTTTCAAATTAACCAGCGCTGAAATACACACAAATTTTAGATAACCTGAACCTAATGAAAGAAAAATAAGAGATGATGATGATGATGAGGTCTGAGGCAATGTACATGCATGGATCAATATAGAAGGGTTAAAAAGGGGTTGCCATAAATGGTCCAATCATACTATTCTGCCCAATTCAAACCTTGATTTTCATGTATTATTATTATTATTATTATTATTATTATTATGTGGTAAAGAAGATTTTTTATCACCATTATTTTAAATTTTTTTATATAAATTCTATTATATATATATATATAGAAAATATAAATTTTTAATAGTTAATTAAATAATTAATATAATAAATATTTATAATATCAGCCCTTAATATAATCATTATAGAAAATCTTGTATTGTTTTTTATTTAGATATATTTCTTACAAATATTTTATTAAATAGTTTTAATATAATACATTTTAAAAATTAAACATAAATATTATTTACATATAAAAAATAATTAAGCGTAAAATATAAATATATTTACTTAAATTAGATAAAAAAATCATTCATAAAATAAAAAATTTGTTATAAAAATTATAGTTTAACATCTATTAAAACATTTCATTAAACTAAATAATGAAATACAAATTAATACAGGAAATAAGACAATATATTTATATTTTATCTTTGTCGGAAAGAAATGAGATCGTAGAAACTGGTGGTATAAGCATGAAAAAATAAAAATAGATAAATGGTTTAATTTTAAATTATTTTAGTAACTATTTTTTATGCTAGTTTAAATTTAAACTATTATAAAAAATACTTATTATAATTATTCAATTTTAACTAATATATAAAATATTCATATTTAAAACTGACAAATCACTTTCTATATTCCTTTAAATTTAAATCATCACAATAAATATTTTTTATAACCATTTAATTTTAAATTAATATAAAAAATATTTTATAGATCATGAACTATCATAAAAAATAAATTCTAATAATAAAATTATCACTATTAAATTTATTATGACAAGTAAATTAGATTTTCATAATAATTTATGAAAAATATATAAGTAATTTTTGTTCATTATTTATTGGTTGGTTATTATTATGGTGAGGAGGTCAAATATCTGATTTTTACTGAATATTATGTAAAACATGGAGCAGATGGAAGCCACATCTTCTGTAAAATCTAGAATAGTTAAGACAATTATTGTCGCTTATACAGATAAAGTTATGGTCACAAATGTTACAACTTATTACTTATAGCAAATATACATCTTTTGATTCTCTTGCAGAGATCCATAAAAGATCATCAAACAAGCACTGCTCTTTTTAAGGCACATAGGTCAAAAGAGGTAATCCTTCTCTTTTAATGTCCAATTTTTTTTCTTGCATCTCCATAATTTATTTTTCACCCCATAATTAAAATAAATTATATTTTACTTTTCATCAAAATATATTTAATTTTTGAAACTTATTTTTGGATTAGACATTCTAACATGTATTTTAGATCTTAAAAAACAACTAATTCAAAAATATATTATGATTACCATTCGAATAACTACTAGAAATACATTTAAGAACCATTAATTCTAAATATATTTTTAGAACAACTAATTAATAAATAATTTTAAAACACCTCGTTCGAAATATATTTTTAGATACCTTCTATATATATTTTAGATTCCGAAATAACCAATTCAAAAAATATAATATGAAACATTCAATTTAAAATATATTTTTAAATAAATTTTTTTAAAAATATATTATGGATTAAGTTTTTTGAAATATATTTACTTATTCGAAAATTCAATTCAGAGTGAGCATTTGGATCTCTGTACTCATTTTCGGTCTAATTTTTATATAATAAATATAAAATATTAACAATTTCGTACTTTGTGGAAAAAAAATCTTTAAATGAAGGTATGAAAGAGATATGGAAGTTTAGAAAAACTAAAGAGAAGAAGCTTTAAAGTTTCAAATAAAAATTAATAAAAAGATATTTTTACATAAATTATTCAGGTGAGGGAAAAAACTGGATGTACAAAAAGAAAAAGTCTTATTTTTTGTGTTTCGCTTTAATGCTGTAGCCCTGTCTATCCAATTCCGACTTTTGTAAACTGGTTGCAAAATATGATAAGCTTTTTCAACAACAAATTTATAATTTTCTTAGTTTTTTTATTTTATCCATTTTTTAATTATTTCTAAATATATATTATTTTAAAGTTTAAAATTATATTAATTATTTTTTATTTTTTATTTTACTTTTACTTTTTAATTATATTTATTAAAAAATAGAAGATCATAAATTATTAGCGTTGATTTTGGATTGAAAAAATAAATTAATATATATAAAAAAATTAATATTTATTTTTAATTTCGTAAACAATTTACATATATTGAAAAATAGAATGAATGTTTAATAAAAATAAATAATCAACTTAAATAAGTTTTAAACCTCTAATTAATTTTTTTAATATTTAATATTTTTGTTAATTGAACATCTAAATTTTTTTATTTAAGATTTCTTCAGTAGTAAAGAAAGTAAAAGGAAAGAAAATAGAAGAAAAGAAAAAAAAAGAGATGAAATAAAGTAAAAAGTATTTATTTTTATTTTAGAAGAAAATAACATAAAAATATTTATTTTAAAAACTAATAAATAATTAAATTAAAACTAAATATTTATTTAATTATAAAAATACTGATTTTTATTAATAAAATAGTTTTTTAAATAATATCTTTAAATATATTTTATTTTTTCAACAATGTATACTTTGATATATAATTTTAAAATATTTTTATTATAACATTATTTAAAATTAAATCAATAAATAATATTATATTACAAATAAATAAAAATATATAAAATTATTTATATATATATATTAAAATTATAAATATAAAAATGAATAATCATTTATTTAAGGAGGATAATTTTATAAAATAATGTCTTTCTTCAATTTTTCACTTTTTTTTTCGTTTATATATGAAAAGAAAATAAATATATTTTCTTTTCGTTATTTTTCTTTCAAAATTATTACCGAATAAGAAAAATTATTCTTGGTAACGAAGTCTTAATTTAAGACCTTTTTTATTATTTTTTAACAAAATAGACAACTCCAGTATAAAAAAAATATTAACTATCGTAAAAAGTATAAGTTATAAAGAATTAAAAAAAAAATGAAGACCAAGTTAATAGGTTCATATCAATATATAAATTTTTTTTTCAGAACTAAAACTAAAACTAAAATTTGATAATTTATTAGATATCTAAATAAAAAAATTATTAAACTCTCAAAAACAAAAATGAGTGATATATTACTAAGAATCTAAAATTTATAGAGTTTGAAAGTTATGAATTATTTTATCCAATCTAATGCTTAATTAGATAAATTAAACAAAAATTGAATGCGAGTCGATAATTTAACTTCACTGGAGAAATTAAATTAGATAAGATTTGAGATTATTAGGTGTAGATTACAATGTTGTAAGTCAAGCAAAATCCTTCAAATTAAAGTATTGGAATTTGTATAAATTATAAGCATTAATAAACAAAACGTGGCAAAGACATCAATATTAAAAAAATTAACAGTGGAAAATAGTCCATGTGTGTACATGTTACACAACATGTTCTATAATTAGTGGAGGGAGGGTTAAATTAAGGTCAAAATTTAGTGGCGGCGCGTGTTACGGTTAAGTAGGTTGAAGCTGAAAATAAAACATGCATGGCTTCGTATGATCCTATATAAAACATTCCCAGAGGTTTTTCAATTTCAATTTCCTCTCTTCCTCTCTCTTCCCCGTGAAGAGAGAGAAAGGAGGTTATTCAACGTCACAAGCATTTTTCTGCAAAAAGGGTGATTGATGAGAAGGGAGAAGAAAGAGATGGAGGGGCTCCAGCACCATCGCGCTGGATCCTGCTCGTATCTAAACGATGTGAATGAGAAGAGCGTGAAGGACAACAACAATCACAAAATGACGGTTGCAAGGAGCACCACTACTTCATCAACTTTGTATTCCTACGAGCCACCACCAATTGATGGCAAGAATATGGCGGTGAACAAGTCAAAGAGCTCGTGGTGGTGCAATGAGGCTGAAAGAAAGAGACAGCGTAGAGTGGCTAAATACAAGCTTTACGCAACGGAAGGCAAAATCAAACATTCTTTCAAAAAAGGGTTTCGCTGGTTCAAGATCAAATGCATCAACATCGCACGCAGTCTCTAGTTGCCCTAATCGCAAATGTGCAATCAAATGAAATGAAATGAAATGAAATGCATGCTGCTGTGACGGGATGAACGGGATCATCTTCATCTTTGTTAAGAGATGAAAAAGATAGACTCAACCACGTGGCATGTGGTTTCGATCGGGTATATGAGAAATAAAAATTTATATGTTCATCTTGCATGTGTTCATTTTTATGTATATTTTGAATTGTTACTCCATTCTACAATCTTTAGTTGTTGCAACATCAATAACATGCCTGGGATCCACGTCCTATTTTCCAAGTAACGAAATGTCTTATGCACAGTACTTTAAATTGTGTGGTAAAAATTATAACTTTACAAATTTACCATTACATGTAGCTATGTATTTGTTCATTTGCGTAAAGAAGAAGAATAAGATAAGATTGTTATTGTCTAAAATTAAAACCCTAATGTATACGTGCTTGAATGGAATTAATAGGTTTAGGAGGGTTATGTGTGTTTTATATTCATTTATTTAATTAAGTAACAAAATTGTAATTATAAGTAATTAAATAGTTTTTTTTACATTTATTTAATTTTATCCAATTGTTATTTTCAGTGTGAATTTGGTTTAATTTTGGTTTAAGGTGAATCAATCTTCTTAAATTGTGATATGTGATAGATAATGCTTATTGATAGAACATGAATTTGGAGACCATACGATATTATTAATAATATGTCATATAACATCAACACACGAATTCACCCTAACAAACATTTAATAGAATTAACGAAAAAAAATATTTTTTTCTTTACAAGATGGGATGAAATTGATATTGAAAATAATAAAACAAATTTTTAAAATGTTAAAAAATATTAAAATATCTCATCATTATAAGTATATTTCAATTTTGTTCTTCTCGTTAAAAAAAATATAATATGACAATTAATGAATCTTTTTTATCTGTCTTTTCGTATAATCAGCATAAAATTTACTTCTTCTCATGCACTTTGTTCTTACCATTTTCTCTCATATAACAACCAAAACCAAATCGGTCTGCTTTAAACTGGGTTTTTGTAAGCTTCATTTAAAAAAAATAAAAAATTCTGCTTTCTCTGAATATTTCATGTTCTTGACATTATTGGCACTCTTTTAGGTTTATTGCAGACCTTCTATACTTGGTATAGGTAAAATTTTAGGTTGTGGATACTATTATCCTTCTATGATGAGTAGCATTTGGTGATACAATTATTGGTCCACATAACATTGGGACTTGTTGGAACCACCATGTACATAAATCATTCATTTTGGGAATATGCTACCAAAAAATTTAATGAATCAGATGTCCAATTGTTTTACAAGCTCAATTGTGGGAGGGGCCGTAATAATTGTTGTGTTCTTGTCTGGGTACGTAACAGTGGAATAACAAATTTATTTTATGTTAAAAATATAGTACAACGATGAAACATACAAAATGTTAAACTTATGATGCATTTTATTCAGATATTGTTTTCAAAACGTTCAAATTCTCCAAAATTCAAATAAGAGAAGACTATAATAAACATTAATAGACTCTATTATTAAAGTTGATTAAATACTCAACTGCATTTTCTCGTTTATTGAGTCAAATATTGACTATATTCTTCAATTCATTAGATCATATATTAATTATGTTGGCAATACTCGTTAATTTATGTTCATTCAGTCAAATACTAAATTATGTTAACTGTGGACTAACGAACTAATTTATGATGGGTTTGGCAAAACTAATGGATATGTTATTCTAAAGTTTTAAATTTAATTAAAAACTACATGTTATAAAAGCTGATAAAGTTAGATGATCAAATTGAAAATACTTGGTATTGAACCGTCTAATAATGAACATTTGTATAAAAAATTAATATTTAATTAATTAACTTAAAATTTTGTAACTGGTTTTCAATTTTTTATTTAGTTTAAATTACTTATCTTATTAAAATTGGGATACCATATTTTATTTCATTATATTATCATTTTGAATTACTTTGTTAAATTTAAAAAAATACAATGAAATGAATTTATATTATAATTTGGATTGTTTATGTTGAAAAAATAATTTGTAATGAAAGTGAGGAAGTGTTAAGGATTTTTAGACATAAAAAGAATTGGTAAAGAATTATAATATTTTTTTGTGTAACAAGTAAAGAATTATAACAATTGGAAAATAAAAGTTAACAGCTAATAAGTTTAAACATCATGTACAATAAATAACATTTAAAAAGGCTATTAAAAAGTTGATGAAAAATAATTACTTATAAAAAATTAATTTTAGTAAATAAATATTTAACATCAACATGTCATTTTTCAGAATAAGATGTAGGAAAAATTTCGGGTATGAAATCTATGGATGAAGAAAAGATACTTGAAAATAAGAAGTAAACTTTTCGCTAAAAAATACCTATTTAGATTTTGGACAAATAAAGTTAAAATATTATTAATAAAAATGGAGGATGTTTTATATTGGTGAAAAAAATATTAACATGCTTAATTTATTTAAAAATATATATATTCTCTTCAATTTGATGAAAAATAGTAAGAAAAGAACAATTATTTCATTATTATTCTTTTGGATAACAAGCGTGGCAAAACCTTTTTTATCCCTCCATTATTTGTTTGTGTTTAGTTTGATCCTCTGCGAAGACCCAAGTCACGACACAACATACACACACACACACACACACACCTCTCTTTCGCACTCTCGACAATCGCAAAATTTTCATTTTCTCCCACTTTTCTTGCATCTCACTCTCACTCTCACACTCAACTCTCAGATCTTCTTTTCTTTTCCGCGCTTTAATTTGTTTCTCGGTGGCAGCAACTAGGGGTTGTGCTGTGTACGTGTTGCCCCTTTTCACAAATTATTGCATTAATATCGAAAAGTATATGCATTGGATAATGGGTCTCTGAAAATAACTCAACAAGTTGTTATTATTTTCAACGCAATTGTGTTTTCTGATGCTACAGGGACCTCTTTAATTTTGAAGATGGGGCGCTGAAGTCAGGTAAGATTTCGATTAACTGTTCTCTATAGCTAGTTTCATTCAAAATGTTAGTTGTTTTTAGGATTATAGATTTGGGTTCTAGAGTTGGGGGAGCCTAATTGTGTAAAAATGTTCACTTTCATTGTGTGGGTTGATGTTGTTGTATTTTTCCTGAGATAGGACAACGAGAAATAGAGATGGAGAAGAGGCGTTCCAAGGGAAGCTTCCTCAGCTTGTTTGATTGGAACACCAAATCTCGGAAGAAGCTGATTTGGAATGATCCGGGTATTATTAATGTTCATTGTTATTGTCATTGTTTGCATGCCATGTCCACATATTGAGTGAATAATGAATATTTTTCTCCAATAGTTTTTGCCAACCGCTTATTCTAAATGTTTATGTTAATATAGAGGTTTCAAAGCAAGGGAAGGAAAATGTGGAGAATTTGCAGAAGTCACAGCTCACTAGGGTGTGAATTTGTTCCCCTTTTTTGTATTTGTTTGATATTTATTTTGATATTAATTTATTTTTTGTTTTTATTGCAATGGTTTCAGATAAAGGTGGATGAAATTGGAGTAAGTCCAAGTAACATTCAAAGTTGTGATTTTGACAGTACCCTCTCAGTTTGTAGTGATGAAGGATGTGGGAGTAAAGCCCCTGGGTTGGTAGCGAGACTCATGGGTTTGGATTCATTGCCAGCTTCGGTAGTCACTGAGCCCTCCGCCTGCCTCTCACTCTATGGCTCTAAATCTCATGGAGTCTCGCATTGTAATGAGGGTGCCCTTCACTCAGTGGATGATGAGCTTTGTCCCGCAGATTACATAAACACACTGCTTAAGCTGGAGAAGTCTTCCTTGGGTTCCATGGAGTCAAGGACAAGAAAAGTGGAAAACCTTCCATTAAAGAGATTTCAAACTGAAATGTTACCTCCAAAGTCAGCTAAACCCATTCCAGTTACTCATAATAAACTGTTGTCTCCTATCAAGAGTCCCGGTATTCTGCCACCAAAAAATGTTGCTCACGTGATGGAGGCAGCTGCTAAGATAATTGAGTCAAGTCCTCGGCCGTATTTGAGGAATAGAACCACATCTACTGGGCCTTCATCTGTTCCCCTGCGAATTCTCAATTTGAAAGAGAGATTGGAAGCTGCACAATATGCATCTGTGCCCGGAAAGCCTGTGAATATGAATAAAACCTATCCTGCAAATGACAAGCTTATTGAGAGGAGCAGTAATTTTTCTAAATGCACTTCAGCATTCAAGGGTTCAAGAGGTTCAGAAAAACATAGTTTTTGCAATTTAGCCAGTAAAGGAAAACCAGCTTCACTTGCAATCCAAGCCAAAAACAACTCTCATGGTAGAGATACGTTGATTTCAAATGGTGATATGAAATGCATGAAACAGAAAGAGAAGAACGAGATAAAGTCAAATCAGCACTCAAGGAACCAGAAACTAAGTACACAAAAAGCCATGCAGCAGAGATCTTGCTCAAGTCGGAATGGCAATGTGCTAGGGCAGAATAATCAAAAGCAAAATAGCATGACTGCCCAGGGTAAATTAACTTCAAAAATAGATTCCAATAAGTTAAAAACCCGAGCTTCATCTTCAGAAACTTCTGGAATAAGGAAGACAGCAATCAAGGGCACTATAACTGCCAACATTCAGCCTAAAAGGTCAATCACTAGGGCAACTGGCAACCAAAAAGAGTTTCAAAGACCCAAAACATTATTTACTTCCCGAAAGACAAAATATATCAGCAGTGATGTTTGTGAGGCAAGAGGTCCTGATAATGCAGTAAATAATTTCGGAAGTAAGATCATTAAATGCAATTTTACGACTGATGGAAGCTTTGATCAGGATGCATTTAATATGAAAGAAAGCAAGGATGTTATTTCATTTACATTTACATCTCCATTGAGAAGAAGTATGCCTGAGTCATCTTCCTCTACTGAGCAAATCATGGGAACCAGAAATAGAATTGATGTCCATTCTCTTGAGCATAGTGATAACCTTTATCCCAAAAAATTGTCATTATCTCCACCAGGGAAACATATGATAGACAGAGACGCTTTAAGTGTCCTGTTGGACAAAAAGCTGCAAGAATTGACATCTAGAATTAATTTACCTCAATGTACCTTGGCCACGGAGGGTAGTTCTACTGGTTTGGGATCTAGTGTGCAAGACAAAGTTCCCAGTGTGACAAGCACCATGCATAAGGAACAAGACAGAAGCCTTTGCCCTGACCTGTTTAGTGATAAACTGGACAGCATTCATAACTCTCGTTGTACAAGTGATGATCTAGTGCTTAGCATGAATCAGCAACTGCAGGTATCTCATCCCCTCATGTCTTCACCTTCATCTATTATTACCAGTTAAAGTATTAGTTATTGGTACATCATCTTGCTTACTTCCTACCATCAATTAGTGAAGAGAATGTGTTTAGAATTTTTGGAATGCATATTACAAGTTTCTGGTAATTTGTTTGAGATGGTTCACACAATTTATAAAATCTGATTTTATAAATTAGGTTATTTGCAATTTTCAATAAACTTTAAACTGAGAAGAATCTATTTGCTTATCTTAGTATACAATCACTTGTGCAGACTTCAGAAGTAAGTCAAGATCCTAGCTGTAGCAGCAATAGTGAAAGTGGAAATGATCTAGTGCGTTGGTATTCAACTGCTGTTGTGGGTTTCGAAACTCCTTTTGTCAGTGAAAGTTACTTGGATAGTGAAGACAGTGCTTATGGTAATGCTTTGATCTTTATCTTTTAATTGCTGATGAACCAAATTTGTTACCATATATAAAAATAAAAACAAAAATCTCAGTGTCTATCTCCCTTTCACTTATTTGGTAAGAATTTTGAGGCATTGTTTTTGGTTTTTGTGGGGAAGGGATTAGCTCTAGAACATCTTTTGCAGATGTGTGAAATTATTCTCCAAAGCTGGATTATTTTGCATACTTTTGGAGTCTTCTATTATATTTTCTAAATAAAATGGTAAATATCTTTTATGCTGAGTATGTGTATTACAACTTCTTATATATTTGTCATTCATCATATTGGGTTATAGAAAGTTACAATTCGTTGCATTCCCTCAGCATAGAGGGACTTATCTGTAAAGTTGTAATGTCCATTAGTTTTTTCCCTTTCTCTTTTCAGGCAGCACAGTTTATTCTTCCATGCAAGATGAAGAAATATCTAGTTTTTCCCAGATAAGCGAATCTGTATCACTTGAAAGTGAGATGAAAGGACCAGAGCAAAGCCCTTTTACATTGGGGGACGGAAATATGACCACCAAACAAGTAAGTAACACAGAGCTTGAATATGTACAAGATATTCTTGGCAATGCAGAGTTTATGGCAGAAGAATTTGCCATGGGTCAAACTAGTACAGTCATAATGCCAAATCTATTTGATCTGTTGGAGAATCAGAGTAATAGAACAGAAAACTATGTAGAAGAGTACCCTAAGCTTGAAAGGAAGGCTATATTTGACTATGTGAGCGAGTTTCTGGAGTTCAGATGTAAGCAAGCTTTCATTGGAACATGCAAAGCATGGCCTCGATGGATGATGTCAGTTCAGAGGAAGAGCTGGATGGCAGAGGAACTGTACAAGGAGATGCTGAGTTTTAGAAGCATGGAAGAGATAATGGTGGATGAGCTTGTCACCAGGGACATGAGCTCTGGATGTGGGAAATGGCTTGACTTTGATGTTGAAGCATTTGAAGAGGGTTTAGAGGTTGAGGGAGACATACTAGCTTATTTGATTAATGAATTGGTTTCAGATTTGTTACCTGTTTAACCCTTAACGGTTTCCATGTGTGTTATACTATTATGAGTATGAACAAAGGATTGGTGTCATTCAAATTCTTGAAAGGAAACGAGGAAGCATCCATAGAATATCACTCAATCAAATCTGCTTCAGTATTTTTTTCATTTGGCAGTAATTTGAAACTTTTTATACGAGTAGGATTCCTGTTGAATGATGAGTGTACTAATTGCATTAGAAAATTTATATGTTGAAAGTTAATGAAGTTACCTTCTTGTTCAGTTGCGATTTGCCAGTCCCGATCCAAAAATGGTACAGCACATATGTCAGTATTGGTACAATTATTTGAATAGATTTTTGGTTTGATATCGGATTCAAAGTATTGTCAAAAAAAGTGTTTGAGAATATTGAAATACAATCAGGGATTCAAAGTATTGTCAAAAAAAGTGTTTGAGAATATTGAAATACAATCAGGGATGCACGGAAATGAAGTGGAGTTAGTTATGTATAAATAGTAAAAATTGTTTGAATATATGATGATATTCATGGATGAAATCTAAACCTCAAAAGATAGATGAACGAGTAAGTGATTTCTTATTTGTCAACTTGTTATTCAGTTACCTAGGAATTAGATTGGTATTGGTTCTTATGACTTTTATTGTGGCTACAGTATGTTGCTTGGCCTCAAGGTTGTACACTCCCCTAGTTTATTTTGTGAACACTCTTTCACACCTATTGTGAATGGCGTGAACAAACTATTTTTCTTTATATCCTCTACAAGCTGTCATGTCACTACCACGGCAAGAGAAAGACAAATTCTATCCAACCAACAACATATCATGTTTCTAAATGGGCCATGGCTCACTCACCTCAAATATTATTATTAGTAACATTATTAGAGATATAAGGGCTAAGATTTTATTTTGATCGAATATGACATTATACATGGACCAACTGGAGCACTTAGCACATGCCTTCTATCTGGTGAAAGTAGGATTATCTGGTCTTGTACACTTTCATCTTTGTATTGAATGGGGTAGAGTGAGAATGGAATAGGGAATCCACTCTTTCCGTATATGATATGAGTTTCGTTGTGTGGATCTACACTGTTCACAACTTTGTATGTCAAATTACCTATAACAGGCTGTAACAACATACCACGTGGTTTCTGCATTATTTCTTTCTTTCAAATTTCAGCATTTCTATTTGTACAGTAATCACATAGTTGTTACTCGTACACTTATCTTTATACCTCCATGTTTCATCATTCTTCAGATTTGATATAGTTGCGTGGTTTCAGATTAAACACCTTATTTACGAGTAAAGCAAAATATGTGATATTAATTATAAAAATGTTAGTTGAAAAATATGTTTTGAGAGAGGAGTTAACAAAGATATTTTCAAGCGTGAGCAATAATAATACACTGTAAACACTCACTTTTATAAGTGTTAGATCTTGATCAGAGGAGACTCACTATCCTAAATAAATTTACACATGAACTATATTTTCGTAATGTTACAATTGATTGATCAAAGTTTTGCCAACAATTGAGCAAACCAGGAAGAAAGAAACATTGTATTAGACTGACAAAATTCTAATATTTTTTAAGTTGATTTGTGATTGTTTTAAGAAGAGAAATGGGTTTACGAACATAAAAAAACTATTATTTTCGAATAAAATACTACATCAATTTAATATACAATATCTAAAAATTTTAGAACGTATCTCTAAACACCCATCATTCTCATTTCTATTCTATCAATGCCTTTTAAGCAGTTATTATATATATATATATATATATATATATATATATATATATATATATATATATATATATATATATATATATATATATATATATATATATAATTCTTCTATCAAATTTGTATTTTTTTTAATAATCTTTTATCTATGAAATATTATCATGTTACATGTAGTAAATATTACCTTTATACTTAAAACATGACAAAAAACAACAACTATATTGTTCATTAATATTCAGTTCTAGATAATTATACAACAAATAAAATATCTCCTTCATATTTTAACAGTGTTGTAATTTTTCTAAATTGAGATGGTTGGTTAGATTATCAAGTTTTGGTAATAATGCCAAATTTGAATATATAATATTTATTTCAAGTAGGTTAACTAATATAAAATAAAAAAATTAAAATATATAATATTTTTTATAAAAAAATTATATTAAAAATTTATTTTAATTTTTTTATCAGTTTATCTAAAAGTTAATTAGTTTTTTCGATTTTATTAAATTTATCTGGATTTAATTAAAATTTAGTTATTTAAAAATAATGAATTAATTTCTAAAGTTAAATTATTTAAAAATAAGGAACGGATTTCTAATTCAATAATCGATTATCTGCTTAATAAATCGTCTAATTTTCAAAATAGTAACATAAATATTTACTTTATAAATTTATTTAATTGATAATATAATTAAAGTTTTTAAGATTATAATACTCTTCAGTTTTACTAATTAATTTACATATAACAAAGGTTTATGGGACTTAGAAAAAAAATGTGGAGGGAGAAAAATTAAAATTCATATATAATTAAGTATGTATTATTATATTTTATCATAAAGCTGACTTGCATTATAAATATATAATTGATTGAAAAACAATATATATTGTATTATATTTTGTTCGAACATTGATTAAATGATATTTGTTTAAAAAAAATGTTAATTGATATAATACAGAGTTGTTTTTATTTATGAAGTACAAGGTGGAAATTTTATCTAAATATGAAAAAAAAACTAGGAAAAAATAGCAGGAGTTGTATTGACAAATGTAAATAAATATACACAATCTAATATCTTATAAAAAATAATAGTCACTGAAAAATGAACTTGAATATGTGAACCACAAATATAAAAAAAAAATATTAATATTGTTATAGTATTTATTTATTCATTTGTCCTCCTTGTTTTTCTGCACTTCCTGCAGCTGCAGTTGCAGGCTTTTCACCTTTCTCTCTCGGGACACCATAGCAGAATAATGGAGCTCCAAAACCGGAGCAATAATGGCGAAAAAGCAAACCCAGAAGAAGACCCTTCCCTCTTCGAAGAGGTCGACAGCACCTGCTCCACTCCCTACGTAAGTGCACCTTCCAGTCCAGGGCGGGGACCAGCCGGCGGCGGCTTCTTCTACAGCGCTCCGGCGAGCCCAATGCACTTTACCATCACCGCGGCTTCCACTTACTCACCCTCTTCTTCTTTCGAGAAAAGCGCCTCATCCTGCGACTTCGAGTTCTCGGCCCGGTTCGGGTCGAGCGGGTTTAACGGGTCCGGTTCGATGAGCTCCGCAGATGAGTTGTTCTTGAATGGTCAGATCCGGCCCATGAAGCTCTCAACCCACTTGGAGCGTCCGCAGGTCCTGGCCCCTTTGCTGGATCTCGAGGAAGAAGAGGACAAAGGAAACGAGGAAGTTGAAACGCGTGTACGAGGTAGAGATCTTAGATTGCGCGATAAGTCTCTCAGGAGAAGGACCAGATCCCTGTCACCTCTGAGGAACACGCCTGTGGAGTGGACAGAGAACGAGGATGCGGTGAGCGAAGAAAAAACGGACAAGAAGGAAAACGTGACCCCTTCCAGTGGAACAGGCAGGAGTTCCAAGAGATGGGTTTTCTTGAGAGATTTTCTGAGGAGCAAAAGCGAGGGAAGGAGCAACAACAAGTTCTGGTCCACTATTTCCTTCTCTCCCGCCAAAGACAAAAAGGCCCAAAATCAGGGAAATGGGCCGCAGAAGTCCAAGAAGGTCACCGGAAAGACCACTAACGGCATCGAAAAGAAGCGCATACCCGCGTCCCCGCATGAGTTGCATTATAAAGCAAACCGAGCGCAAGCAGAGGAGTTGAGAAGGAAAACATTTTTGCCGTATAAACAAGGCTTGCTTGGGTGCTTGGGATTTAGCTCCAAAGGTTACGGTGCTATGAGTGGCTTCGCTAGAGCCTTAAACCCTGTCTCTTCCAGGTAAAATTTCTTATTCCTATTCCTATTGTTTCTTTATTTTCAATTATCAATATTATAAAAAACTTGTACAGATATGATTATTATTCGTTCTTGTATGGTTTTCGAATCTTTAGTTAATTGTAGAAACTTCTACCATCGCTTTGTATTGTTGTGATGGAACTTAAGGTTTCTTCCACCCCATCGTCCTTGTCCTTGTAGATGCTGATGAACAGTGTACAATACTTTTTTAAGGGTACTCACAGCATGTTAATTTACTGTTTATGCTTCTTGTGCAGTAACCCAGGCGATTTTATATTCACACTAACCTAGGAACTTGAAATCTTCACAGTGCCTCATCCTCCCATATGTTTTTGCTTTTTTTTTTTTTTAATCTTAAATGCATCTTAATTTTTGTGGTTAGATTAGGTCTAAACTTCTTCATCATTGGTACGCATACAACTTGTACTATCAAGAAAGAGAAGCATAAAAGTATTGGGTTGTTGACCTTATAGTAATTAATAAGGGTAAGGGATTCCCAATTGAATTGAACATATATATATATATATATATATATATATATATATATATATAAAGGAATGGTTAGAGAGGCCACGTGGTTTGGGGAGGGTCTGAGGTGGGTTTAGGCCTGAGGGTCCTGAGTAACAGTGCAAACACAGTTGAAAGATGTTTCTAGTCTAGCTCTAAGCAGACCCACAATTGAAAGATGGTTGTGTTTGTTCGCATCTTCCTGTCCTAAACTTTTGGTTGTTTATGTAAAGTGTGTATATCTGTCGGGACTCGGAATAGGGCAAATATATGAGATAACCAACTTTACCCATGTCTAGTCCTATATATAGGATTATCTATCTGCTAGGGGTGGGGGCATAAGGTGTTGCATGTAACACTATGATTACCTCTCTAATCATATATGATGTATCTTATTCCGTTAAAAATAAAAGGTTGCAAACCTATGTGCCAACAGGGTGAAATCTTACAACTTGACATGGAATCATGGAACTCGTGTGTAGAATAAACCCTAATTGAGTTTATTGATTCTTTTTCATTAAAAATTATATTTATTTCATGTTAATCCATCATTCTGATGTTTGGTGCACATAGTTTTCTTATCCAAGAAGATTAGTAGGAAAAAAAAATGAGAAACTACATATAAAATGTATTTATAATGTTAACTTTACCTAACTAGTAGTGCTATCAATTATTAGATTAACTACTCAGGATTTTTCAGAAAAATTTTCAAGGTAGATAATAACTGAGATATTTAAGTCAATGAGGCCGGACCCAAATGTTTGATAAAATGTTCGGTTCAAATTTTAGCTCCTACAAAACCCAATAATTGTAACAAAGTCACGCCAAGTTTCCTAATTATTTAATAACTTCTAGTTAATGTCAAATTTTGAAAGTATAAAGCTTTTAGTAAAAAAGATAAGTTTTTGTTTTATTTACTTGAAATTAGATTGATTTTAACAAATTAGAGTACAGTATTGGATGAATTGGAGTTTTTAAATTAAAGTAAGAAGTTAGAATCTTGTACAGTGTTGGATGAATTGATGGATAAAGATTCACTGTGTGAAAATTAGTGTTCTAAATTCAATTTACAAAAATGTTATCTGATTTTCTTCATGTGTTCCAATTTGGTAATTTGGGTGCCAACTTTCAATATGTTTTAATTTTCCAAAAAGATCACATCTATTATTATAGAGTGTGTAGAATATCCTAACAGTAACATGATAAAAAACGTGTCTCCCACCTAAACCTATCAGTTTGACGTTTCCTTTCAATGACTTACAGCTACCTATCTATTTTTCTTGTATGATTCTTATGATCTGTCTCTACAGTTTTTCATAGAATTGTCATATTTGTTTATTATCAATGAGTTGCAAAAGTTACAAATGTGAAAAACAACAAATAATAAAGAAAAAATAACATTATAATTATTTTTTCATAATTATTTGTATCAACTATATTATTTTAATAACAATATTTATAATGAAATAATAGCATAAAAATATGCACATATGTTTAACTTGTATTTTTTTATTTCATTTTAATATTTATAATCTTCAATTAACATGTCTATCACTTTTAAAACTTAAAATTTATAATATTTTTTTTATCATAAACCAATTATTATTAATATGATATTAAACCTTTTTAAACTCTAATATTTTAAAAATATCAAATTTGGGACTTTAAATTGTTTTGTCAACTACAAGGACTGGAGTTTATGCCTTTGAGATGTTTAAGATTTCAAAACACTTAATCACTATATATTTTTAAAAATCACTGCAGATTAGTTATTCACATGTGTCAATGACTATCCATAAATATTTTTGGAAAATATTATAAAATAAAAAATCAATACAAATTATTTTTTAGCTTTTAAAAAAAATAAAAGTAGCAAATATTAGTACGATCAAAAAGTTGTTAAAAAATCATTTTAATCACTTTTATTATTTTATTGTTATGATAATTTTTTATTAAATCAATAAATAAATATTCAGGTTAACAATTATCTATTAACAAGTAAAATCTTTTAAAATACTTGTTCAACATATGTTCTAAAGAATAAAATTACTTGTCTGTTTGGACAGGGATGGGTTAGTGTAGCAAAACAAACTAGGGATTATGGAAGAAGCTCTCTTTTTTGTCTGTTTGCAATGAAATAATAGATGGGGATAGGGAGGGTAAAGGGGAGGGTAAAGGGGAGTGTGATGTTCAATCTCATAACAAGAATAGTGAAAGGTGGGGCTCTTCCTCCTCCTCTGTGGGACTTATAAAAGCAACACTAAAACACATGGTAATTGTACTACTTCACTAGTTCTGATCTGAATGAGATGTATTCTGCTAAACCCATGTGAGTTTTTCCCCCACCTTAAGGTCATGTGTTACTAGGTCCCTCTGCAATCACTGTATTTGTGCAAACAAAGACAAAATAATGAGGATAATGGTGGCACCACAATTGAAACTTTCTAAATTTTAGTGAAAATGGAAATCTCCCAGACCACAACTTGTCCAGTTGATTAGCATTGAAAATTAATCTTACACACATTAACACATGTTAGTGTGAAATTTGACAGGAATGAATTTAAACACACATTGCATATCAATTTTATGAGAATAAATAATACACGGACACTATTTTGATAATAACCTTGTAACTTTAGGATATAACTTCTTTCTATCTTTCTTGTTATAATATCTTATCACTTGTAATATTTATATTTTTTTTTCATTAGATGTCATTTAATTTTTGAGATGTCTTTAACCATAGAAGCAACAATCTCTTGAAACTTTTTTTTATAATTAAGCAATTCTACAGGTAGCAATATTGTGCAAATATATAAGGAAACTCTCACTCACTCTCCCGACTCAAACATTCACGTTTGCCAAAATTTGTTGTTATAATCAGATAAAAAAATGTTAATTTCATCCCATTTTACAAAACCTGTGCTTTTGACTCTTGTATATAAAAAAGTCTCATTTTCTAAGTGTCATTTTAAATTTCTTTTAGTCTTTACAAATCATTTTAATCTTTTTAGTTTCTATAGACATTAAAGATAAAATGTCTTAAGTATTTGACTAAAATATCTTATATATATATATATATATATAATGTAAAATAAATTACAGAAATCAAGTGAATAATTAACAATTTTCATTAAATAAACTCAGTTGCTTCTTGCTACTGACATCCACTAACTGAGCTATCAGCAAACCATGATAGATTAGTCCGTCGTAGTAGAGAGAAATGTTAGCAAACAAGCTTTGTGTAAAGATAGGGTTTTTTTACACGTGGGATTGTAATTATAAGCTGATCCTATGAAAAAAACAAAAGAAAAAGAAAAGGTAATAACAATCTCCAAATTAAACCTGATCGGATTAGAATATGATGCACTCTTAAATGAAAATTGTACTTTTGCTTTGACCTTACCATTCACATTACATGATCAGTACAAAAATGCGCCTGAAAGACTGCATATTTAGAGGAAATGGGATATCTAGGAAACTAGGGTTATAACACCTAGAAACTAAAGAATTACAAATCATGTCTCCACCCAGAACTGAGAGAAATGTGTCTTCTATCACAGCAAGATCAAGCAAATGTGGATAAGATGTTCTTCTTCAGAGTGAATTCATCTGCTTTTGTTGGACTGATTGACTGCATAAAAGACAGGAAAGATTCAATCATGATCCACACAATGAAAGCTTTGTGCTAATTGATTAAATATCACACTATCAGATCTACCTAAACCTTCAATAAACAAAAGTACATAATATCAAATTCTTTGTAACAAAACTATGGATCTCAAATCTGATGTTCATAATTTACAAGGAAATGCTTGGTCCCTGGCCACATGACCATCTAGTCGGTAAGTTCACCGATTCTAGTAAACGCATAAAATGCGACCTATTGCGTCTCAAGACCCAAACCTACTACCACCAACTAAGCGCAAAATAAGCCCAAAATTAAAAAATTACAGTTACAAGTGCCTTTTCGTGTTGGACCCACTATCGACCCATGACGGACGGACAGAAACGTGGAAGATAAAAAGAGCACCAATAAATATACACATTCAAGGCACTGAAAAAATACAACTAAGATTTATGACCCATTCTGGTAAAAGAGTTAAGGAATATTGTCCGAGACATTTTGCTAGAACAGTTCCAAACAGCTTATTTAAAAGATATATTGAGTTGCAAAAAGTTCTACCAGGATATTCATTATCTTGATCTTGCTGCTATGCAGCATACAATTTCTGGCTTCATCCAAATTAAAAGATTTTGCATATTTGAGAAAAATACTGAATTTAACACAGTTTGATTAAATTTCAACGTAAAATCAATTGACAATACTTAAAATAGCATAATAGGTATTAACTTTTTATCTAAGACAACAACAAAAAATACTTTTAACCTACAGAGAAATGACAACTTTTGGTCCAAGACATTATCCACAAAGAAATTAGGTTTTGACTCTAATATCATATTAAAGTTCTAATATAAAACTAATTGACAATATATAAAGTAGCCTAACTAGTATTTAAGTCATATATGAGGTGATATGAGGTAAAAAATGTGGGACTTCTAACAACTGTATTGCTTTTTAGGTTATTGCATCATATTTTTAGGTCATTGGATGAGACCTTCCACCCCATGGAATGGAACCAAGCCCAATAACATGATATGATGAAGTGTTCGTCTCATGTTTTCAATATTTGATCACATTAATCTCAAATACATTTACATATTTACATTGAAAATACGATCAATTACCTTCTCAAGCATGCGGTCAAGACGAAGAATTTCATTCTTTGCATAGTCTGAACCCTGTTCCATACTCTTTTTTGCAAGTTTTAAGTAGAGGTTGCCATATCTGGCCCAAACAAAATAAAGGAAAAATCTCAAAATTAAACAAATAAATCTTTATAATTGAAGAAAGAAACGTGGGGAAACAATTATTGCTTCACAATAATCAAAATTCAAAATAAAACCTGAGAAACGATGAAACATAACACAATCATAATATAATTCAAACCTGGCAGCAGAACCCTTAAGCTTCTTAACTCCCTCCTCTAGCTGGGAATATACTGTCTTCTTCTCATTATCATCAGCACTCACAAACTCCTTCACCAAGTCACCCAGAGTTTCTATTATTCCAGCCTACAATAGGAATCATTTAGCCATTATAAAGGTATCATTACATACTATTTCGTTAATAAAGATATGTGCTTAACTAACTTTAGAAGTAAGTTGCCCCTTCCCATCACGGTAGGTGCCACATTTCTCATTGATGAAGGCTACAAAATCATCCAATTCACGACCACCACTATAATCTTCACCAGCTTTATTGCTTTTTGGGAAAAACTTCAGGGTAGGATAGCCACTGACACCATATCTGTACAAATTTTCCAAATTAGGCACATGCACTTCTTAAGTATGATATCAACCTAGTTTAAATAGAAGATAAATCAAAATGAGATGGCACTCACTTCTCTGCCAAATCTTTATACTTGTCAGCATCAACATTGGCTATGACCACTTCTTCATCCAGGTTAAATGCTGCAGCAACCTTTTCATAAGTCTGAAAAATTGTAAAACTTTATCAGGACAGGGTAGACCTTTGACATAGTCACAGGCAGGTGAAATTAATTAAGATTCAATAACCATAATAATAGGAGTCTAAGAACTGAAGAATAATCTTACAGGGGCAAGGGCCTTGCAGTGACCACACCTGTAAAACATTATTAAATTTACCAAGAAAATATTCAAAACAAAAACTGAAAATGAAAAAATTCAGCAATATAATTAAGTTTTGACAGATCATCTATGGTTAATCTATACTTACCATGGTGCATAGAATTCCACCAGAACATCTTTTGTTTCGTCCAAAACAACCTCATCAAAGTTATCTGGAGAGAGAATTACCACGCTGGATGGAACAGAAGCTATCTTCACATTAGTACCTGCATTAAAAAGATATGTGATATCGATTCTAAATTGACTTGATACTAAGCAAAGAAATGATACAAGAATTGAGAGACACTAAAAATGTCAGAGAAGTGCTAGCAACACACTCTTTCACTTAAACCCTTTATTATTAGTTAAAATTCATTGAAAACTGTAGTGCATAAGTGAGGGTCAATAAATAAGTGAAACCCAGACATTTTTGTGATTTTAATAAAGTTAAGCCAATAATAAAGAGTGTGTTCAAGACAGTATGTTGCTAACACTTCTCAAAATGCCATGCAGAACAATGACTGAAAGACAACATCGTGAGAACATACTACAATAGAGACAGTGAGAAGAGCGGCAAAAAAAGAGGAAAACAACATGAGATGCTTATATTATATTGATAAGTATCAGAGGAGTCAATTCACGTACAAAGCTATAAGTGTTTTTAAAATCTTCCTACAGGAACAAAAAACTATATCTTTCCCGTGGAGAAGCTCTCCAAAACACTTTTAGTTTATCCAAATAGACTCTTATTGTATTAGGTACAGTGACTCAAAAAGTCATGATAATAATTTCAATCACTACCAATCAGCAACGCATGAGTGAAACAAAATTTAGTTACAAATAAATGCAATGGGATGAAATTTAGCTTTCCCAACAAGTGCACAAAAAAAAAACACTATAGATCCAACCTTCGAGGGAGTGCAAGTTCATTAATATCTTCAAATCTCCACGCCAAATTAATAATAAAAATTTCAAAAAGCATTCCACGGTCACAACACCACAATCAGCATTCCAATCAAGTAACTTATTTCAAAACACATTTACATCATGCTAATCGACAGTGTAAGACATATATACCTGCTTCAATGTTCACAAACGCAGCAAGGGCTTCTGCAGTACGTGCACCTTCATACCTAGCGAATTCAATCAAATGCGGATATCAGATGCAAATAATACCTAGAAGTTAAGACCCGGAATATTCTGACATTTTTCATGGGAAAAAATAAAAAAATGTGAAAGTCTGCAAAGAGCTCACTTTTTTGGTACTAGAGATCCCTTAGCAAACCATTGAATGGTAGGGTAGCCAGAAACCCCATATTTACTGCAAACGCTTTTATGTTCATCACAATCCACCTATCAAAAGATCCTAACGATATAAATACACTTTTGGTCCTAAAATAAAACGAATCATAATAAAAACTAAATCTCATTAACAACCTTCGCAATCAACACGGACTTCGTTTTCTTGAAACTCGCTCCGAGTTGTTCGTACTCCGGGGCAAGCCTTTTACAGTGTCCACACCTGAATTGAAAACACAATTAGATTTCACAATTCAAAATGATGGAAACAATCACATGAAGGCCGTGAGATTAGAGAATCGCGATTCGCGCTACCAGGGGGCGTAAAACTCCACGAGAGCGGCACGATCCTTGCCAACCTCGTTTTCGAAGGTGTCCTCGGTTAGCGTAACAACGTTGTCGGCTGAAGCAGATGAGAGAAACATCATGACCGCTATGGCTGCAACGGCCAGCATCATCCTCGTTGTGGAGCTCCACATTGTTCGCTTGGTTTCCTCGTCGATCTCTGTCGATGTTCTTACGTGTGTTCACTTAGCTTCCTCGCTCACCCTCCTCTGTCACTACTCTCACTTTCGACTTTTCCCCTCTTCCCCTTGAATCTGTCTTATTTTTATTTTCTTAAATTGTTTCTTCTGTTCTACGTAAAGGGGAAATAAAGTTGATAGAAAATAAATGCAATTAAATCAAACGCCTAAAAAATTAAACTAAAATCCATTACCATTTTTTTAAGAATTAACTTGCTTTTTTTTTTTTTTTTACTGATATAAGTTAATGAAAATCATATAACGTGTCTTAAATATTGAGTAAGGTTTGCTTAGTTGTATAAATTTAGTTAATAAAAATAATATATTAAACCATTCTTAGCTTTCTTTTACATTTTTTTATGTTTATTTTATATAATGAAAAATCAAACTACAAGTTTTTTATTCTTTGTAAATGAACTCGACCAATCAGTGATTTTCTTACCGTTTTATATAAGACAATATGTCCATATTTTCTGACTTGATTTCTGTTTCTATTCTATTCTGTTGTTAAGTATTGAAGAAATATTTAACACCTAAACACCGAGCAAGACTTAGATTCAATAAAATCGTGAATAAATATTTAATTATGATGAATCTCTTTAAATAAATAAATAAATAAATATATATATATATATATATATATTACAATAATAAAAAAAATTTACTATAAATGTGTATAAATTCTTCTTAATCTCTTTCAAATTTTAATTAACATATTTTATTAATATTTATAGAACGCGTTTCATTTGCAATTAAAAAGGAAATAAATTATAAAGTATCGTATCAATAATAATATTTAAATAAAATATGTGTCTGATATATAAAAAATAGTACCACAAAAACTTTTATGCTATCATCCAATTATAAACTACTATATCAATAATAATATTTAAATAATTGACTTATAATAATATATATTGCAATAAAAAATTAATTTTTTTAAGATGCGTAATATGAATCTAAAAAAAATACTATTTATAAAGGGTTTTGCGAAACCAATTATAAAATATATTATATTATACAATTTATCTACTAATAATTAAATATAAATTATAAATTCTTACTTTAAGAAAATAATAATAATAATTAAAAGAGTAAAAAAATAATAATTATTAAAAGAGAGGGGTGTTGCGAGAATCGAACTCGCGACCTCTCGCACCCGAAGCGAGAATCATACCACTAGACCAAACACCCTTTTCAGAAGGCTTAAATTTTTTGCATATATATAAATTATTAAATCCTTCTTCCTTTCCCACGCTTGAACTAGGGTTTCATATCCTCCTTTGAATGTGTGTTCTTTATTTCAAACAATTATCAAACAGCTTCGGTGATCACCGTAACTGCCTCTTCATTTGTTCGTTTTCATTTCTTTGCTTGTGTCAATGTCTAACACTAGCAACAATGTAAGTGCAGAATTTGGAATCTCACCCCGTTTCATCTCCACAATCCATCGATAGTTTTGGAAGATTCTTTTTGTTTTTCTAATTATTTACATGATTGACTCGGATCAGGTCGTTGGGGTTGACAACACATTCAGAAGAAAATTTGATCGAGAAGAGTATCTTGAACGAGCACGGGAGCGCGAGAGACAGGTGCGTTGAGTTGGTGTATCTTCTATCCCTTTTTATACTTCTGATTTTTAAATAATTTAGGATGCTTAATTTTGCTTGTTTCTGTTTGATTTTGAACAGGAGGAGGAGGGCCGATCGAAACCTAAAGGTAAGTTACCTAATTCGTTAGGTGGGTAGAGTTGTGTTACTTTGAGTGACAAGGAGAATATCTAATTGGTGCAGCTAAAGGTCCTCCCGTGCAGAGGAAGCCATTGAAACACAGAGATTATGAAGTGGACCTTGAATCTCGCTTGGGCAAGACTCAGGTATGTTACTGTGAACAGTAATTACTAAGTTCAATGCTCTACTAGTTCTAAATGAATGTCAAACACACATAGGATTTTGAGAAATATTTAAGCATTGAAGTTGTAGGTCATCAAGGGTAACATCACTGGTACCAAAATTTTATCACATGATTCTGCTATTCTGCTGTAATGATAACATGCAAACCTTTGCAGGTTGTTACACCAGTTGCACCACTAAGTCAGCAGGTACATGCTTTTAACTTTTTCATATTTGTTTCAGTGGTTATTGATAATTTTTGTATTCATGCACTTTGGGATTAGAACAAAAATGTTGTTCTTTTCTCATTTTGACTTCTTGTGAAGTTTTAAATTCCTGTTGTTGACCTTTATTTCTCTAAATAGGGGATGTGTGCTTAAGTGTTTGAACCTTAACTGATAAGTTTCTGTTTCATTCATGCCTAGTGATGCATAAGTTGTGTATTTTGATGTAACACATGTCTCTAAAAGTTAACTACTGCCATAATTCAGGCTCTTAATTTCCAGGAGACCTAAGACATTACTTAACTATCCTTAGTAAAGTCTGGCATTTAATAGCAGCACTGTTAGAAATCTATGGCATTTTCAATACCCACAGATGATCTCCATTGTTTTCTTTGACCCATCATCCATAGGAATGCCTTTTAGTGCACACGTTGCCCATGATTCCCAGGTTCAGCTGAATAAAACTACAGGGCACATGAGATAGGATGGAAGAGGTATCGAGCTGAAAATGAACATCATACCTTCCTCTGGCTTCGGGAATTTTCCACCCTTGTGGTGTTAGTGAATATATCACCAAGGAATACTAGGAATAGGACTTATAAACGATTTTGCAATGCTTGTTTGCATCTGATGATGTTTTTGTTTAACCAATCATGTTCAATTTTTGGATTTAATTACATTTATTACAGGCTGGATACTACTGCTCAGTTTGCGAGTGTGTGGTTAAGGACTCTGCAAACTACTTGGATCATATTAATGGAAAGAAACGTATGTAGTCTTTTTGACATGTTTTCTCTAATTTTTTCAATGTAATTGCTTTAATTGCCTGTGGTTTGCTCATATTTATTCTTTTGTTGTCCCTTAGATCAAAGAGCTTTGGGCATGTCTATGAGAGTTGAACGTGCTTCTCTCAAACAGGTGCCACTTAAGATTGCCTTCTTTTACCTATGAATTCAAATGATAAATTCAATACCTTTTGTATGCATGAATGCGTGTGTCGTATAGTTCCATAGTTTTATATGTACTTCTGCGTGACTAGTAAATCTTTTGATGAAACAGGTTCAGGAACGATTTGAAGTTCTTAAGAAACGAAAAGATGTTGGTAGCTTCTCCGAGCAAGGTAAAGCATTGGAGTGGAGAAGGGTTGGCAGTTATTTTCGTAGAAACATACAACTTTAAAGTCTATATATAATTTTTTTTCTCCTTAGCCTGAAAATGTAGAGGTTTAACCGATCTTTCATTTCAGTTGTGGATCTTGAACTAAAATTTTGAGGGAACCGTCCATAAACACTAAAATAAAAATTTAAAATGTTTTCTGTGATCTGATTATTTTTAGAAGAGTAACATATTTTTTAAAAGTATTCATGTGAAATTGTAAAAAAAAATTGACATCTTGTCCACACCATAGTCCACCAATGTTTAAGATGGACTTGGTTCTTGAATATGGAAATTAATTGTACTTTTTCACAGATCTTGATGATCGGATTTTAAAACAGCAACAAGAAGAGGAAGAAAGAAAGCGTCTACGAAGAGAAAAGAAAAAAGAAAAGGTAAGTGTGTGTACAGTTGTTTACTTTTTGTTTTAATTAGAAATAGCCAATAGGTTAGAATAAGCCTTTTTGACATCCCTCCCTGTACCATCAAGGAAATTTTTTTCCCGACATTTACTTGTTTTAACGGTTAATAATTGCATCCAACTTTCTAATAAGCATTTTAATTGATATTTTAACTTATGAAGATTGTTTTTTATTTCTCACAACATAGTTAATAACTCGTGTTCAATTTTGAATTCAGAAGGAGAAAGCAGTGGAAGAACCTGAAATTGATCCGGATGTTGCTGCCATGATGGGGTTTGGAGGTTTCCGGTCATCCAAGAAGTGATGACATTCTGCATGCGAAATGAACTGTACGAGAGATTTGGAACATTTATTCCGCGGTGTTAAGCTGAATGTGGTATTTTCCAGCCTCATTTTGGGTGGCATAAGCGGAATAGTTGAATAGTGGGTCACAAAATGTAGTATGAGTGGTGATATTCAATCATGTGATTCGGTTGATTCATGTACATTCTTCTGATGGCTAACCTGATGTATTATACAAGCTTGATACTTGTATTCTCCACTGTGCTCCATTCGTAGTGGGGGGTGAGAACTTGCCGTAGGTAATGAAATTAAATATGAAAATTCGATACAATTTTATATTGGGCTGTTTCGTTTTTTCTTGGGTATTATTATTTTGATTGAGAAGAGAAAAATGACTACAATATTCTGCCTGATCGATCGTTCGGCTATATACAATGCTAGCTGGCCAGGATACTGGAACATGCGTTTGCCACGGTTTTGCGCTCTAAAAGTGTTTGTGGAAAAAATAAATAAACAAACGTGGCGAATAGAGATAATTATATTTCTTATTATCTTTGCTCTTATGGCGATGGTCGAAATTGTCAAATGGATGTCTCTACTTCAAAATCATTGGTACAGTAAAATTTAATATACTGACTTCAGAAAACTGTATAGACATTGTCTCCTAAATTTTTACTACTGATATTATTACGTCTAAGATTTAAATATTTCGAAAAAATGACCAAACAATAAGACTTACAAGCAGTTCAAACATTAAAAATAATGTCTAAGATTTAAATATTTCGAAAAAATGACCAAACAATAAGACTTACAAGCAGTTCAAACACTAAAAATAATGACCAATTTGGAGATGCGGGGTATCGATCCCCGTACCTCTCGCATGCTAAGCGAGCGCTCTACCATCTGAGCTACATCCCCATATATTTGGATCATTTACTAAATTAATATGGACTTAACATACTTAATTATGTTATATAACCCTGACATTTGTTTTCTGATTAATTGACTGTTGTGATGCAAAATCAATATGATAGAAAATGATGTATAATTATGTTAATGTTTACAGCTGTCCCTATTCATATCCTTATTTACCCAATAAAGTTCTAGTACCCTTCTTGTGTGGGTTATTTTTAATCCTAACTCAGTAAATATTTTATTACGTTTAATCGTTTTTGTAGGTCGGTCCATTCAAAGGTAGTCTTCTTGGTCGTTCGTAAATTAATGTTAAGTCACTCTTTGACTTAAATTATGATAGTATATATATATATATATATATATATATATATATATATATATATATATATATATATATATTGTTGTTTTTGTAGACATTATAAATACATTTAGGATAGTTTTTTTCAGTAAGACCATTGATACGATTACATTTCAATTCGAGCCCACTAATAATTAATCTGAAACAAAAGTGTATCGATTCATCAGTTTTGTATTCTGTTACTATGATTGCGTAGAACAAAATTGTTCAAACAAATGATGTGGAAGAGATTTTAAGAAATTACTCTGTAATAATACGCTTTACTTTAGGTGATCGGGAACAGGGCTAAAAGTTGGACGTCTAAATGGGGTTGTTTCTTCTTGCACTCCATAAAATTTTAGGGACACGTTTTACACATTCGGGTATAGGTTTTTTAGGATGTATTTTTTACATTTCAGAAAGTCTATTATTTGTTCTTATACTATAAAATTATTGAGACATTTCATTCATTCCATAATATAGGCTTTCCAAAATGAATCTTTTACGTTGCCCAAAGTCCATTTGGAATGAATGGGGGTACCCAAGAATTTCAGCGATGTGAAACGTTAAGCCCATAATCGACTCTATTTATAGAGAGACCCATGTGGACTAAACGGACTGTCCACGGGCCTTGACACATACCCATTTCTACCTGGAAAGACTATGAAGAAAGGAATTAGAAAAACGGTACAGTAGGAAGATGCATAAGCGGTTGTAAAAAACATGGGCCACACATTCATCAATCACCACAGATAAAACTGAAATTTTATCAGCACGTTACGGATAATAGAAGTGCGGGGAAAACAGGAGGAGGTTTCAGTCATTTTCTATAAATAAAAATTGAAATATACTGCAATTTCGTACCATCAACACCTCCAATTCATAACTACAGAAACAAACTTCTAGAAATGAGATACCAAGCCATCTTTTGGGAATGGACTATTTGATGTACTGGGAAATCCATTTGAAACCTTCTCCATAACCCATTTTCTTCACAATACTGCACATGAACACCTCCATTGGACGGATATTTGAGTCGGTCAAATTTACCTTACCTTTGCCTGTGGTGAAGTTAGTCAGGCCCAAATGGTAACGCAGCTCTTCTTCTGAGGCAGCATATGAAATATCTATTTTATTTCCAAGGACAAGGAAAGGGACATTGGCTAAAGATTCATCAGAGAGTAGAGCATCCAGCTCTTTTTTTGACTCAGCAAACCTTTCCTTGTCATACGCATCAACCAAATACACCACTGCATCTACCTGTATCAAATAAGGATGCAACTTATTCATCATCATCATAAAAAGTAAACAATAAAATGATAGATCTCGGGCAAGAAAATATGTTAGATACACCATATCTCTTTCATTCCCTCCTAAAAAGTAACATCTCTTTTAAAACACACCAAATCAGAAACTGCTTCGGAAGCATATATACATGATTAGATACTTTAGCACATCCTCTAAAGTGAAAAAGGCGCCATTAGCAAGCTAATACCGTGATTTCTGCAACTACAAATGAAGTAACAAACAATAATAGGAAGGCATAAAGTCTTTGGTTGAGCTGAAATCATATAATGAAAGAGATGTTAATCTTGAAATTAGGAGGGAAAGGATGGATGGACATACATTGGTGTGTTTGGAGGAGGAGAGATAAGGTGAAAATACTTTCAAAAATTGTACTATTCACTCTATTATTTCTCATCTATTTCCACTCATCTCTCTACCCATCTTTTCTCCATTTCTCTTCAACCACCTTAAACTCCCACTTTATTTCTCACTTATATTGATCCATTCTTTTTTATTTCCCTCTACCCCATTTCCCTCCTCTACACCAAACAGGGCCCAAAAGTGTACTTTATACTTTAAATGAATCACTATTCCGCCAATTACAGCACTGAACACACGGACATTTTATCCTAGGTAACAGCTAGAAGCAGTTCACAGATTCTAAGTCAAACACCTCGTGCAGCTCTATTCCTGCAACCACTATCAACACATATTAGCATGTCTAGCCATGTTAACAACATCAAAAGTCTTATACCATTAGGTGAGATAGGCAACATGAATCCCACAATGCTGTTTGGCTCTGTTTAAGACCAAATCATGCCTAGCCAACCTTGTAAACAACAGAAAATAAACTGCATTGGGGAACAAAACCAAGATCTTCAGAAGGCCTGATGGCATCCAATCATATATTTTCATACAATGCGAGTAACATAATCGCAGACTTACACTCACCGTAAAACTATACATCAACAACAAATTCTTATTCCACTAACTGAGAGTAACTAAAAGGATCAAATGACATAATTCGACTTGGTTAAAAACTAAAGCTTCGTGAATATTATCCCACTTGCAACAATACAATGTTGAGGGAACAAAGAAAGAGACCTGGGCATAGTAATCTTTCCACACTCTTCGAGCAATCTGATGACCCCCTAGATCAAAAGCTTTGAACTTGATCTTTCCAATACTCAACTCCTCTGATGTAGGATACTGGGTAGGCTGATGCTGGACTAATTTCTGCAAAAACCACTCTCATAATAAAAAAATATAACACCAAGACCATGGCAATTTCAAGAAGATACAGATTGACAATTACACACATGCTACTCATTAAATATTTGATGTCAAGGAAAAAGGAATAGACCAAAACATGTGAACACCATAGCCAATTGTACATAGAACAAGGTTATGTTGGGAAGTTGAGCACTTCAACAAGTTTATGTCAACGTGTCTTGCATAAACAAGGAAAGACTCTACACGAGAAAACAGAAAAATCAAGCAACATTAAGGAAAAGTGATAAACTTTCCCCCCACAGTTAATAGCAAATAAACTATGTTGATTTGAGCATAACAAGAAGCAATTTCCATCAGAAAGACATAACAAACATATGAACTTATTTTTTCTCTAACCACACTTCAACTACGAAGATAATTTCACCAGTGAAGATTAAACCCAGTGTCGGAATTGGAAAGGTAAATAAGGGCAGAGATCCACCACTATTGAGGAAAAGAAATAAAATCCAAAACAAAAAACAATAATACACATCGCTAACGATTGGAAAAATGAAAAAGGGAAAAGAAATGAAATTGAAGAGAAACCTCATCTTTGAGCATGTGAAGCAGGGTGGTTTTGCCAGCGTTGTCGAGGCCCAGGAATAAGATCTTGGCCTCCTTCTGCCACAGTCCAAGCGACGCTAGAATCCCATAAAACCAATCCACCAAAAACATTGTATTTTTTTTTATCTGCTAATTTCCTCAGTTGCTAGTACCGATATATTTCGATCTCCAAGAACTGAAACAGAAATTTAAGTTTAAGTTTTTGTTTTTGAGTAGAAAGACCTAACCCCAAAACCAGAGGTGAGAGAATGATTTTACTTTCGATTTGGAGTATATTGTTTGCAACAACTTGCAAATATTGGTAATGACAAAATATTTTTCCTACTTCTATTTTTTTTTCTAAGATTTATTTTGGTTTTAAAATTTTATATATAATTTATTATTGTCTTTTTAAACTTTTTTCTTTTGCCTTTGAGTTACAGTAATGAATTTTTTACTCATTTTAAAATGATTTTTTGTGTTTTAGATTTATTTATATGAAATTTATAGGCCTGAAGTGATGTTTGGAAATAAAAGTATCATAACACATATCATATATCATTTGAAAAAACGATTCACATAAATAATACAAAACTGCAATACCTAATACACAAACTATTCCATACAAATTTTACCTTGTATTAGGATTTTTTTTTTTCAAATTAGTTGAGTTTCAAAATTTTATATAAGTAAATTTAATAAAAAGAATTTTTTTGACTTGAATGAGTAGACTAAATAAATTAAAACTTTGTTAAAAATAAAAAGAAATTATTGTTTCAAAATAAAAATATTGGTTTAAAATTTGATAATTAAAAGAAATTTTTTATTAGATAAATAAGTAAAATATATTTTAATAAATAAATAAAAGCACCATACATATATTTTTTAGTCAGCGGGGCTTGAGTCAGTCACTAGCTCACCCGATTAAGAAATAAGGTTTTGCTAGTTTTTTTTGTCGTTTTATTTATCATTTTAATTATTTTTTTTCTGATTTAATTATGATTATATAAAATATAAGAATAGTAATTATTTTTGTCGAATATTTTAATTTTGTTAATATTTCAATTTGTAATGTATGGTATATTACAGGGATGACAAAACGGGTTAGATCCGGCATGCTGGTCCATCACCTGCTATAATATGGCGGGATAGGTTGGTGTTTTCAGTCCACCAGCTCGCCTCGCCAAGCTCGTCAACCCGTTGGGCCAACCCGTGGGATGGGACAAGCCGATCCGTGATCCGCCTAATTAATAAAAAAATAATTATTTATTGTAATAAAATTAATTATAAAAATAATATATAAAGTTAAAAATTTTAAAAAGAGAATTAAAAAGTTTCACTCTTACGAGAAAATATTATCCTTACTGAAATATAACTTTCTTTCTCTTGTTTTCCTTGTTTATCCTAAGCACCGATTATTTTTATTTTTATTTTTATTACTTGAATTAAAGGTATAAGAATTACTCAACCAAGAATAATATTAAGTTTTATCAAATAAAAAAATATAGATATTTGAATTTTTTAATATAAAAAATATAAAATTTATAAGTTTTAATGTTGTTTATATATATATATATATATATATATATATATATTTATTATTATTTATTATTATGTAAATTTTATTATTGTTCTAAATTATAATTTCTTAAAATAATGTATTGATTTATATTATTAAATTGAAATAATATATATATTAAATTATTGACAATCAAATAATAATTTTATTATTAAATTTATTAAAAAATTATTTTAAAAAATAAATTATTTTTTTCTAAATTATGGCGGATCAACTTCACACATTCGCCAACCCGCTCCTTGGTGGGGCAGGTCAAGATCTACAACCCATCATGACTATAACTGGACAGCTCATCCCGCTTCGCTTTTAGCGGACCAAAGGCAGAACTGACCAAAACTGGACTGACCGATCCGCTTTGTCATCCCTAATATACTATTTTTCTGTTTTATTAATTCACCCAATAAATATTAATTATTATAATCTATCATAAATTTAATATAAATAAGTACTTTTAAAATATTAAAACCACCTTCAGAAATCGAGTCTCCAAACTTCACTGCTCCAACATAAAAAAAAAAAAAAAAAAAAAAAAAACATTGAGAAGTGGATGAAACACAGCCAAACTTTCAAATACAATTGTAATTAAAAAAAAAATTAAAATTGACGTATGTCATAAAAATGAAAAACAGTTCTTTAACTTTAATCGTTATAAAAAAAATATAGAAACCAAAATTAAAACGTAATTATTTTAATCACAGACAATTGCATAGTATCACTAAAATAGGTTTTATAATAGTATATAAACGAATAATTGAGTTGTAATAGTCGAATCACATTGGTGAAAGAGACATTGCTATCACTAACTGATCTTTCTTAGTTCTTGAGTTTAGTTACTGAAACCCTGTGAAAGTTTCAAAATGAGTGAAAAATCTAGTAACGAGAGTAGGGTGCTGGTGGTGGCCGTGAACGAAAGCGATGAGAGCATGTACGCTCTTTCTTGGAGCCTCAAAAACATCATTTTCCAGGATTCCAATGATACCCTTATCCTTCTATACGTCAAGCAGCAAAATCATGCCATGTATTCCCCCTTGGAGTCAACAGCCAGAACGGATGATCATGAAGCTCCAAGTATTCTTTCCTTTAGTATAATTAGATATCTTAACTTTGATATTAAGTATATAATTATCTAAAACAATTATTGAACACTTTTCTGTTTTTCAGTTTTGGTAAATTAATCGGTGGCTTTCGATGATTTCAGAAAGCTTAAGCGCAACCATCGCGAAGTATTTTCAAGAGGTGGCCGATCGTGTGTTAGAGAAATCCAAGAAAATTTGTGAAGATCTCCAAAATGTATGTTGCTTTGCTTCCTTTGCGATTTGGATTCTTGTTCTTGATCTGATTGATGTTCACTAACATTTGAGTCTTGAATAGGTAAAGGTGGAGACAGAGGTAGGGAGTGGAGAACCGTGTAAAGTGATCTGTGAGATGTCTGCGAAGTTGAACGCTGACCTGCTAATCATGGGTAGCAGCGGCTCTGGAGTTCTAAAGAGGTAAACTTCTAAAAAATTAAAATCTTGTAATTCTTTAGAAATTTGTCTCTCAATTTTGTGATGACAAAATTCGTATATTTCTGAATTACAGGACTTTCCCTGGAAGTGTGACCAATTACTGCTCCCAGAACGTGAAGTGCCCAATTTTGATTGTCAAGAAGCCAATACCATCTGCAGAAGGTGCTGAATCACCATCTTCGATTTTATAGTTTGGTATGTCTTGTTTCTTCCTTTAGCCATGTTTCTCTATGAGATTTTGTCCTGTAGTTGATATTAAAGCTTCAAGGAAAGGCTTTGATTTGAAGTCTTGGACAAAAAAACCTTGAGAATTGTGATTGTCGTAGCGTGTGGAGTCTCAATTTGGATAAAATTTGAATAAGATGCTAACTTGCTTTTCAGGTTTACAAAAAATTGAATATATCTTTGAATATATCTTTGGCACGCGTCTAAAAGAACTAGTTAGTTTGTTTGTTTGTATCGTTTCAATATTGAAAAATGAAGGAGCTATACAAGAGTTGATGTTTGGTTTATTTTTAAAACATAATATTATAAAAAAAATACTGTGTTTCTAGAAATGAGTTTTAGTTATGTTTCTTAGTCAGAAAATTTTAATCTTTTTAGGTCAGAAAAAAAATAATATGATCAAATTATTATGCTATTTTATCAAATAATTTGATATGATAATAATAACCATTAGTTTTATCATAAATAGACATTACAAAACTTCTTAATTTAGTTCCTCGCATTATTAGACTAATCCATCAAACAAATATATACATTTTTTTATATTTATCTAATCATATTCCTATATATTTTTATTTTGGTTCAACTTAACATATTTATTTTAGATAAAAACATTAATAATTAAAAAATATAAAATTAGAAATAAGATTAAAATTTATAAACTTTCTAAAATTTCACCACTCAACAATGAGAAAAAAATGCGAGTTAATAAATTTTTCTTAGAAGTGATTATTATTTATTACCTAAAAAAGTAATAATACATAAAATGTTGGTATATTAATTACAAGAGTGTAAAGAACAATTTTTTGCTCCAAATCACTGGGCTTTCTTGAAATAAATCGCTATGGTAGGCCGATAATAACGAAATAAAGCATTTACACGGGCCAGGCCCGTTGGAGAGTGCAACATGCTTGGTGCTGCTGCAGCGTACGCATCTTCATCGTCCTCGTAGAATCCAGAGGCAGAAAGGTGGGGTTCTGTTTCTTTTCTACTCCTCACAGCATGGCATGTTTACTACGAAAATCCCTCAGGACTAAGGCCCTGTTTCTGCACAAACTCGTTGGAAACTCGTCCGACTCGCATCAAACACTGGCTTCCTCAAGCTGGTTTTGGTGCCGCCAGTTGTCACTTTCACTTCCACACAAAACCACTACTTGCTTCGCTTCAAATTCGATCCCAAGTCCAAGCTTCTCTAACGCGCTTCTTCAAATTCGCTTTTGGGCCTCCGAGGCTGCCGCCACCGAACTCTCAACCTCTGATGGGCTCACGGTCCAACGTATTCTGGCCAATAATTGGACCATTCTCGACGAACACGACGGCGATTGGAGGAGTCATGCCACCGCTATAGCTCAATCTATTCATTTGATCAAACGCCGCTTACAGGTAAATACCCTGTTTTGTCTTAAATTCAATTAGTTATTGCTTAATAACTAATTAAGTAGTTAGTTACTAATTAGTACTGATTGATCTTTGTTTTAGTGGCAGTGGTGGAATTTTTTTTTTTTTTTTTTTTTCTGTTTGTTAGAACTTGATCGTGTGTGTTGTGGTGGCAGTGGGAAAAATTGAAGGTGAGGTTGGATATGTTATCATTCCAGCTGGGTAAGGAAGACCTTTGGGATGATCCTATGCTCGCAGGGAAATTAAGCCGAGAACATGGTTCGCTCCTGGGGAAGATGAAAGAGGTAAATGCATTGGAACAAGAGTTACTTGAGCATATTGACATGATAAAGCTTGCCCGCGAAGAGAATGATGCGGACTTGGAATCGGTGGGGACTCGCTTCATCTTAGCCTAGGCATGTCTTCGCCTGTTTTTTTTTTTTTTTTGTAATAATCTTGCATACAATAGGGTGTGATGCATAATAACCTGACCCGTTTGTTCCTTTGATTTGGTGTGCAAAGTAGAGTGGAAATGAAGAGAAAAAAATAAATAAACTGAAGATGATTTGGTAATTTATTGTCACAAGAAAGAAATTAAGTAGATTTGTTTAACATCATGTTGAAATGTGTGAAAATCTGTAGGGTTCAACATATTATGTGGTAGATCTAATTTTGAGGTACCATATATTGATGCTGAAAACTAAAGGCATGTTTCATGGTAGTTTATTCTCTTTGTTTGTAGAGAAGAGTTAGATTGATATTTTCTTACTAGTACATGCCGATTTATATATTCATGCATTGAGTATTTCCCTTTCCAGGAATCATTGAAAGTGTTGCTTAACATGAGAAGAAATGCAAAAGAGAAAGAGCTAGAAGCGTTGCTTGCTGGGGAGCATGATTCTTGTTCTTGCTACATTGAGGTTGTTGTCATAGATATTTAAAAGTTTCTATTACTGCATTGATACTTTTATCAATATTTATGCCCAAGTCATTAGTCTTGGTCTAAGAACATGATCTTGGTATGCTGCCCTAGAATATATCCTAACTTGTTTTCCCTTGTGCTTCAGTAGAAAGCAGGGAACTGTGGTTATGTATGTGTGTGCCTTTTGAAGCTTACTATTATATAATTAATATAGGTTCAAGCTGGGGCTGGGGGTACGGAGAGCATGGACTGGGCTGCAATGGTCATGCAGATGTATAAGTCATGGGCACAGCGGCGTGGATATAAAGTAACTGTAATGGATGAAATGCCTGGTGAGATTGCAGGAATAAAGGTTCTTCTTCATACCATCCTCAGAGTTATTTTAAAATTACTTCCACAAAATCTTGCATGCATGGCCCGCGTCTACCTTCCTCTAATGTGACTATTGTTTATGATTTTCATTCATCAAGTTTTTTTACCTTAACTTGCATAGCATTTACACTTCAAGCAAGATTATTAGGATTGCATTTCCATTTGTAGCCTCTAGTACAACATGGATTTTGCTTGACACTTATTCCCTTATTTTATATTTTCTATAGAAGGGAACCGCTAGTTTCTGAATATGTAGGGTTATTTGCTTTTTCAGCGAGCTACCATCAAAGTCGATGGTGAATTTGCATTTGGATATGCCAAAGCAGAAATAGGAGTGCACAGGCTGGTGCGCATATCACCTTTTGACAGCAATAAGCGCCGACATACTTCATTTGCTGCTGTGGCAGTGATTCCAATCCTAGGTGATGGATCTACCCATGTACAAATTAATGAATCTGATCTTCGAATTGAAAGATTTCGGGCTGGTGGTGCTGGTGGCCAACATGTTAACACAACTGAGAGTGCTGTAAGAATAGTTCATATTCCTACAGGAGTTACCGCAACTTGTCAGAACGAAAGGTAAGAAATATGTGCACATATTCACGCATTGATTGTGTTGTGTTCTTAGGTTTTGTATTTGGTATTATTTGAAAACAGATCGCAGCATCAGAATAAGGCTTCAGCTATGGCTGTGCTTCAGTCAAGATTAGACCAACTGGAGATGGCACGCCAGGCACAGTTGAATGCAAAACATACACAATCTCTCACTGACATAACATGGGGCAGTCAGATTCGTAGTTATGTTCTCCATGTATGTTTGAGATTGTACATGTTTCTCCCTCTCCATTTTTCTGGCAGTCTGTCAGGACCTAAATATTTTACCTTAGTTACAATAATAACTATTTTTATTTTATCTATGATGCAGCCATACCGTATGGTGAAAGATCTTAGAACTAACTACGAGGTTTCAGATCCCGACTCTGTCCTTGAGGGAGATCTAGACAGTTTCATCTTGAGCTATCTATCAGCTTCTTTGGATAAAGATGATGATGCTTAAGCATTCAAACTGTCACCTATGGCAGCATTTTGCATATTCAGTACTGAACTGGGTATATGCTCGAGCAGTTTCAGAGTCTGAGGTTAAGTCAGCTGTCCTTTCAGTACCTGTCATTCCTCATCAAGGTTTATATATCAGAACATAAGGAAAGCATATTTGGCTTCCTTTGGTACATTTGCCGTGACAAATACATATCACTGAGTTATGAATATTGAAGGATGAAGCTAAAAGCTTGATATTATTTGGCTTGCAGAGTCGGAATAGCTTCCCAATGACCTTTGATGCAGCAAACAATGATTATTGTTCTTTTAAGATGCATTTATTTACATATATAACTCCTAGTAGAAGGAACGTGAGATTTGTGTTCTTTTCATCTCCTGGGAATAAAGGATGTTTGTTTTCTTCTCTTGCTCTACACTAATGAGTCTATATGTGAAAGTTAACGGCAAGTACCTTTTATTTATTTATTTTGCCGCATTAAACTTCGAAATATCCACGAAGTGGTTGAATGGGATTTATGTGATGTTTTCATTTAGATTGATATGCTAACGGAAGATCAATATTATCATTATCAAGAATAAAGAAAGACAAATTCTAGGATGGGAGGTCATAGACGATACGCCGGAAGTTCTTTTCAATGTTGAATTTTTACGGGGATCACAGGTACCACACTATGACATTATCTTTGTGTGTCTTTCTATTTATTTAATTTTTTTCATTTTTAATCCAACGTCAGACTCTAGGTTATATTTTCAATAGTAAATTTATAACATAATTACTACGGTATTCTTTTTCGTTCTTTTCGATGTTTTGAAATTTTAAGTTACTATTTTAATAAAATAAATAAATAAATTTATTATTAGACTAAAAATATATTTAACTTTTATATATATAAAAAAAAGATAATAGTTTTCAAAACATTATATAGGGTTTCACTTCAGACTACAAAGGGAAAAATAAGTTTAAAAATTGTTTCGATTGATATTTGTGAAAGTTTTGTTGAAAAATTCTAAAATTAGCTTTATAAAAATATTCTGAGAAATTTATTTTAGAATATTTCTGGAAAGCTTTGGGATAGATCAATTTGAAAAATTTACAATAAATACCATTTGGAAACAATTTTTAAATTCTTAAATTTAAAATACATTTTCAAAATTTTGAAATATATTTTTAAAAAATATAATTTAAAAATAAAATTTGAATGGTTAAATATGAAATACATCTTAGATTATCAAGAACTTATTTTTAATTTGTGTTTTCTTATAAATGTATTTTAGATTTAACAATTCAAAATACTGCAAATAAAAAATTAAATATATATATTTTTATGAGATTTTTGGATATATAATATATTATTTTATTCAAAAAATAAATTACCAACCAATTTCGTGAAAACTATATTTAAATGAATGTATACAAAATGAAAGTGCAAGTACCGGTTTGGAGATGTGACATCGACCAGAAAAATTGACCTTTTGACGTTTTATATATGCTAATTTTATTACCCGTCACACTGGAATATATTATCTATTCAAAGTTTAATTACATATTAAACAAATAATAAAAATGTAAATTATAATAAATAAGAATATAATTTACAATCTTATTAAAACTATATTTAATGAAGAATAATTTGTATATAATTATATTTTTTAAAATATGTATTTTAGTAAAATTACAATTAAAATTAGTACCACAATATAAAATATAAATAATATAAAAAATATAATGAAAATAATATATTGATATTGAATAAATATTTATACTCAATTTTGCAATTTATTATATGAATTATTTTAAATATTTTTGTATAGATTATATTTTTTGTTGTATATATATATATATATATATATATATATATATATTATTTATTTTAAATTAGAATTTTTAATTTATTTTTTGTTATTATTTTATATAGAATGACGTATAATTGATCATATATAAATATAAAATGTGGAAGATAAAGTTTACCTTTTTCAATGATTGTCTTTGACTTTTTTTATTGTATTTACAAAACATAACGACGGAAAAAATTATCTTCTTTAAGAAAATCTGGATATAAAAGAATTAAATTTATCCTTAATATAAATATTTAGTCTCTAATATTTTTTCAGTAATCATAATAATTGAAATAACTCTTTTTTTTCACATCATTATTAATAATCTTGTTCCATTATAAAGTTTACTAGCTTGATGAATGTTTCTTTTTCTCTAACACAAGAATATAAAAGAAATTATTGGAGTGTAGAAAAAAAACAAAAAAAGTCTTTTCCAATTATATTTTCTCTAACTATAACTAATTGGTGATTAATTTATTGCTAAGATTCTTCTCTCTATTGGAAGCTTTCAGCTCAAGGCCTCTATAGTTATTTAATTAATATTAATTTATAAATAATTCGTTACATTACATTTTACCGTTACTTCCATGCCATGAGTTTCCAGAAGAAGAAAGTTCGATTTCTAACCATTGTCGCTGCCATCGTTGCTTTTAGCATCACAGGTACCTAATTTTTCATTTCCTATTCAATCTATTCAATTTATGTGATTACAATTGATTTTCCTTTTCTTCTTATTTTCCGAAGCATTTGAGATTAATGTTATCTAATTATAGACATTGATGAGATTCAAAAATATGACAGGCATCGACGATTTAACTCTTGCATCTCTTCTTAGTTTTTGATTGTGTAGAAAATAAAGGAATGACAACAGTAAACAAAATTTCGGATCCTTTTTTTATGTCATGTCAATCACTTGCATTTTTGCATCATCAGGCTCGATTGGACAATGAATATAATAATTATCGCTTTCTTCGTCCTAACTTTTGGTGAACAATTTGAGTTCTGCTAATGCCGTTACGGTAGAAACATAAATGTCTTCTTAATCATGGATTCTTTTGAGTTTGTTATGTGCGTGTTTTAATTTTATCACGTGATCATTAATGTGGTAGATTTGCTTCCTCTGAGTGATAGAGATAAAATGTGTAATCGCCATTGTAAAATTAATGATTATAATGTTTCAAAGGATTTGTGATTGGTTTATTGGAACCCTGGTGCTCCTTCTTTTAGCTGAAAAATTCAAGCAACTTGTTGGCGAGAATGCATCCTTCCATCGCGGGAAGTTTACAATCCTAAATTGCTTTGACATGAATTCTGGAACGTTGGCGTGTAGTGTGAAGGAAGGTGCGAAGCTGTACTTCTACAACATTAGAGCTGCTCGTGTTGAAAGAGCAAGGCAAGATACAGTGCAATCTGCCTTTGTTGATGTTATGAAGCAGGGAATGTCAAAAAGTGCTTCAATGAAATATGCTAAGAAAGAAGGTAAAAAGGCAGCAAAATTGGCTTCTCGCAATGTCAAACACACTCTGGGTCCGCTCATCTCTTCAGGATGGGATTTTTTTGAATCTGTGTACTATGGTGGTACTGTCGCTGAGGGGTTCATCAGGGGAAGTGGCACCTTGTTTGGAACTTATGCTGGAGGCTTCCTTGGGGAGCAAAGGCTTGGGAGACTTGGTTACCTTGTTGGAAGTCACATGGGTAGCTGGTTTGGAGGTAAACTAGGGCTAATGCTATATGATGTGGCTAATGGAATGCATTTCTTGTTTCATTCTAGAAAACTCAGTAACTTGAGCTAACCAATCTACTAGAAAATTAATTATGAAGCAACTAGAATTTCCTTTTTACATGAAACTCAGTTTATGATCTACTTTCTGCAACAGCTACAAAACATGTAAACATCATCGAATGAGATATAAGTGGTAAGTTTACAACATTGTTATGCAAGTCTATAACAATGTTTATAAATTGGATACTCTTCAACTTTTATGCTCCAATGTTATGTTTAAAATCAATTTGAACGCGGTACGTTTTATTTTGTTGTTGTTAATTGGTTACGTGTGATTGGAGGTTGCGTGGGTGGTTCATGAAAGGAATGAATGAATGAGTGTGACACGAGAGCATGATTGTAGGATACGTGGCTCCGTGTGGCACACGCCTTCGTGTGCCTGCCACACATCTCTCTGTATAAAACAAATTAACAAGTATATTTGACTTTCTTCATACCCAACCAACATGCCTACACCATTATTTTAAACAATCTCTGTCATACTAACTAAACCAATCAAATTGGAATGGCACAACCGAAAGCTGCCTCAACTCACCAATCACGCTCAAAAGGAACAACAAAAGTGCCTTTGCACTATTCCCCTTTAGTTTCAGCGTCGAGTAATCGCATTTGGTGCCGTGACACTGTTTCTGGTATCTAATAGTGGAAGTGGCCAATTTGGCAGCCATCAAATTTTCAAAATTTTTAAAATTTAACAAAAGTGGCTTTTGGGGAAGAATATAAGGATGATGCATGACTAGTTACACACATTATGTATCAAGCCATGAGTGATAGTGTTGTATTAAAAAATGTTACTTCATGCTTTGTTTCAGTAAGAAAGCAAAACCCCATTTGAGAAAACTTGATGTTTAACCGTACAAAGCAAAGCGTCCATTAATGAAAATTGCTTGCACGAAATAAAGGGAATGAAAGCGTCTCATTCGCACCGTTCAAATGGAGGGGGAAAAGGGGAGGAACAAGATTACGATAAATTAATATATTAATATATATCTTTGAACGATATGTAACATTATCATATTCATATTTTGGTTAGTGCCCATACTGTGTCCCTACGGCGTTTGTAAAGACATATTCTCTAGGAGCGGATCTTGACAATTCATCTTTGTGAAATAATATATTATTAATAAAAAATAAATAAAAATAAAAGAAAGAAAAAATATAAAAAATTGAAAAAAATTTATAAATATATACTTAAATATATTAAATTATCATTAAGTTTGAGCTGAAACAAAATAATAAATTATATGAGAGTTACAAAATTGAGGAGAGACTGAGAGGATAAAATTGTAAATATACACGTAAATATATTAAATATTCATTATGTTTGGGGACCAAAATCATAAATTACATGGAAGTTATAAAATTTTTGGGGTCACGACCCCTTAACTCCCAAGAAGATCCGCTATCGACAAGTGGCAACAAAATTGACTAGAAATGGAGAAGAAAAAACATAATGAAAAACTATTATCAAACAAATGATGAGGTATTTATTTTTTATTTTATTTTATAGCGTCCAGATTAAGGTATGGTTTTACTCCTTACAAGATTACTACAAAATAAAAAAAGTTATTATTTAAAAAATATTACTTACGGATAAAAATTCATAAAAAAATTGTACTTTACATATAAATATTATCTATGAAATTCTATTTGTATATTACCTAGAGATATAAATTCTAATTATAGTACGATCGATAGAATTCAAACCCAATATCCGAGAGTTGAAGACTAATACTTCAATCACTAAACTACTAAGATTTTTTAATAATAACTTACAAATAAATTATATTTATTTATAAATAAATGTATATTTATGTAAATATATAAATTATAAATATTTAAATATATAACTATTTAAATATATATAAATATATCAAACGATATAAATATATAAATATATTTATATATATTTATATTTATATATTTTATATTTATATATCTTATATTTATATATTTACACGGATAAATATAAATATAATTTATTTGTTAGTTATTATTAGAATATTTTAATAATATAAATATAATTTATTTGTTAGTTATTATTAGAATATCCTAATAATTTAGTGGTTAGTGTATCAACCTCCAAGTATTAGATTCGATTTACGCTCGTGATAATTCTCTTATTCTAATAATAATTAGTCTTTTTAGTGGATGAAGACATGAACCAATTAAGCCTAAAAATCTTAGAGGTAACAAACAAATGAATTCAAAACAAGATTCCTGAATTGGGAATAAATTCGATTAGCTACTTGGGAACGTATGAATGATTCTAATGACCTATGTCTATAAAGATAGTTCCAGTTTAATCAAACTTGAAAAACTTTTATGAGAATCAAGCAAACTGAATTAATTAAGGGAATATTTACGAGTTTATCTTATAAAGGTGATTTGCTACGTTTTTATAAGTTTATAATTTTAGACTCACATCTCAATCAACTGTATCATATCAAAGCATATAAATAAGCTCTACTTTATTAAGAGTTTTAATTCAATGTTCACATAAACTTTTTATCTAAAAACATTTTATATGAAGTAATCTATTGATCAAGTAAAGGAAAACCATGAACAATTACACAAAAAAATTCCGAACAAATGAAAGAAAAGAGATAAAATTCGATTGTAATGCATAGACAAACTGAAAAGGCATAACTTTGAAGGTACAGAGTTATCACCCTAAAACACACAAAAAAATAAAAATATATTATATATATATATATATATATATATATATATATATATATATATATATATATATATATATATATATATATATATATATATATATATATATATATATATATATATATATATATATATATATAAAACAAAATTAAAGGTGTCATATATCTTACTAAAAATATAATCAAATGATATATTTAAAGTATAAATCTCATTTTAAATATGATTTAATCTATATTTCATATTCTTGAAATGTTTTAAATATAAAAAAGCATGTTGAAGATGTTTATTATAATTTTTTATATATATTGTCATTGAACAATGTTATGTATGATGCTTTTTAACTTTTACAATAGTTATTTGATTGCACGAAGTAACGAAAATTAATTGAACTTAGAGTGTGCAGTATTTAAACATTATCGATTATGTTCACTCTTGAATCAGAAATCATGATTTTTATAAATAAGAAATTTATTTAATCCGTTTATTACTCAAAACTAAATTTAGACTCGTATTTTTTTTTATTATCTAAATATAGATAAAAAAAATTTAGCTGAGCAATGATATAATAAATGTTTTTCTCTTTGATTAAATATCACAATGTAAACACAAAACTTTGTTTATGAGATCAAGACGATGTTATAAATTAGTCAATTATTATTTATAATCCAACTTAATTTTTAAGTGTTTATAACTCATATTATAATATTATTTACATCTTTAAATAATACAGTTCAAACAAATATAATCTTATACATTATATTTTATTTTATTTTAATAAACTAATTTTAATATGTAAAAATTAGATCTTGTCTCGCATCATCTTTAGAGATTTTTTTATCTTGACCAATTTAATTTTTAACTATTGTTGAATCAATAGTAAATGACAATGAAGATTATTTTCCATACTAAGTTTATAATAATCACGTCTTTAAATTATACAACCAGTTTACATGCAATATATTATCTGTTTGTTTGAGTATATATCTTATCATTTTCAAAATTTAATAGTTTTAGTTAATTTAATTAAAAACATGTACTACACTATTTAATAAATTATCACACTTTATTGAAATAAGTCACTAGTACAAAATAGGCTTTTAACATCGGTTCTAGAATCGATGTAAAAAGTCTAATATTTTTTTTATTTTATTTATTCATAACACATCTCTAATTACCCTATATATTAATCTAGAGTTTCCTAGACTATCCTCTCCATTTTATAACCCTTTTATATTATATTTTTATTATTTATATTTTTTATGAATTTGAATTATTATCAGATTAAGAGAATTGTCACTGCAAGATTCGAACCCAAGTACTTTAGAGTCGGAGGCCGATACTCCAACCACTAAGCTACCATTGTATGTTGGATGTGAGGACGCGCTCGATGATGAAAGTGTGTGTCGAGTGAATTTTTAAAATTTGATGTCAAATTTGTGAGCGAGTCTCTTTATATGGATTATAACTTAATGACAAAATATAATCTTTATAATTTATTTATATAATGATATAAAATAATTTTTTTCTTTATTTTATATCATTATATAAATTAATTATAAAGATTATATTCTATATTATTATAAATAAATTATAAAGATTATATTCTATCATTAAATTACAAATTCATATAAAGAAACTTGCTCACAAATTTGACATCAAATTTTGAAAACCCACTTGACACACACTTTTACTCTCGAGCGCGCTCTCACATCCAACATATAAATATATAAATATATTTGTATTTGTATTTATATATTTTATATTTATATATTTACATGGATATACATTTTTATTTGTATATAAATATAATTTATGTATAAGTTATTATCGGAAAATCTTGGTAACTTAGTGGTTGGAGTATCAGCCTCCGATTTCAAGGTATTGGGTTTGAATCCTGCCAAGTAATAATTCTCTTAATTTTATAAAAAGACTTTCTACATCGGTTCATCCTGGAACCGATGTAGAAAGTGTTTTCTAGGTTCATCTCGGGAACCGATGTTGAAAGTCTTGAATTCACTTTCTACATCGGTTCTTAAAGAACCGATGTGGAAAGCTCGATGTTAAAAGTGATTTCATTACTAGTGAGTAAACTATAAGATATTTATTGTTCTTACATTCAACGTTGAGGTTGAACCATTACTTTTTTAGTTATATATATTTTTCAAAAACATTGGCTTCACTTGTTAATTAATGAAGAGGGATTACTAATAATATTTTTTTTTACAGGAGAAATTATTTTCGTGCAATATTACACTAACTAAAGCAAGCTAAATATTTTAACAATAAGTTGTCAAGTTTTCTTAGTAATTATTTAACTAAATAATCAATATTATAAATAATTGTTAAAAAAAACCGCAACAATATACTTAACTGCAACTTAAAAAAAAAAAAACTTATGTTCAGTTGTATTAAAAAATAATTATTTATATATACTAACAAATCAATAGTTACTAATAAGTTTTCGATTTATATACTACACTTAGAAACCACCACCATGTATATATTATTTCATGATTTTTTATTTATTTATTTTGTAGATCTATCATATAATTAAGACCTCCCCTAACGTTGATGTCATATTATATCCTATTCATATAAAGTAAACCGTAGGGGTAATAATTTTTTTTTTAATTCTTTTCAAATTCCAAAGTCAATCATTTTCTTTGACTATTTCATTTTTAATAACTATTAAAAAAATTTAAGGTCAATTTTGAACGTCGAAGTTTATGTTCTATAATCTGTAATCTTTTATGAATGATTAAATGTAACCATTTTAAGAGTCACCTCAAAAGAAAATTTCCAAGTATCACTCACTGATGGTGAAGGTAAATATACAAAAATTACTTCGAATATAATATGCAAGAAAGTTTTTCATAAACTATTCACCAAGTGAGTTTATTTTATGAGATAATAATTTACTTTGGAATTTATAGTTTTTTATTGTCAATATAATGTACTTTTCCTTATAAAAAAAAAGTAATATAGTTAATGAGTGTGTGTAAAGTTATACAAAAAATAGTATTTATTTTTATTTTTAATCTCTATCATTCATTTTCTTAAACTTCAATGATTTTATGACCATTGTAATTTAAAAATATAAACAAAATATATGATCTATATACAAATTAAAAAAATATATAAACTGTATCTTTTTTCTCTAAAACATCAGAAAATATAAACTGTATATCAAAATTATCTTCTGATAATAAAACAAGTGATTGTTAAATTTAATGAATAAGAGACATATAAGTAATGACGGTATGGTTGAGAATGTAAAATGAGAAATTATATATAAAAAATTATATTTTGGTATTTAATTATTTTTTTATTATAAAAGAAATATAATGTAAATTATTAAAAAAAATATTTTCTTTTTTATTTTTATATTGTATAATAATTGGGTTATTTTATTTTTTTAAAAGAACATTTTTTTAAAATTTTAAAAAATATTATAATTCTTTCTGATAGTAAATTTTTATTATTTTTATTAATTTTTTTCTCATCTTGTATGTTAACCGTGAATTCTTGTGCAGCTGCTACAAATTCTTAATAAATCCACCTCTTTTGTAAAGTTTAGTGAAGTTAATACGCAATCACTTTGCATATGAAACAAAACTCTTCCAAAAGTTGTTATATCAAGATAATAGAGTGAGAAGTTAGAACTGCATGATGATCACCATCAACAATATAACGACTCCTTAAACCTTTTAAACTATTCAAGATTTTCTTTTGACATTTTAAAACATCACAGATAATATAAAAATACCAGACAGAGACAGAATTTACCAATCAATAATTATAGAGACCAATATATATTGAAAAGACTAATAAAATTTTGGGTGTTTATAATCATGGATGATGACAAGCATATATATGGTCAAACTTTGATAGGGGGCTAGGCTCCTTATAATGAACCAAAAAGCAACAGTGACAGTGTGAAACCAAAAGCATTTTGGAATCAAAGGTTGAGTCACACATCTAAACTGTGCCTCTCCATACCCCTACCCATACTTTTGTTTTTGTTTTTTTTTTTAATTGTTTTTTACATGTCTTTAAAAAAAATTGGTTACTTATCATTTCTCACCAGAATGACATAATTGTGAAAAGGATGGCATAATAAGTTATAAATCTAGTTTCAAAATATTAAATTCAATTAAAATGTTTCAGAATCCTTGAAGCACATGTTGAGTTATAGATAAGACTATAGGTGTGTGAATAATACAAGTAAAAAGAGCTCCAATCAATGTAGTTAGAAGTTGTTTCCAGTATGAAGTTTTGGAGTTTCCTCGATCGTGATAAAAAACTGAAAAAACTAGATTATAATGAGGTTAGGTTTAATGTTGTGACTTTTTAAATAGAAGCAATTTTTACCCCCAACGAGAGTGATAATGTTAAGAAAATCATAGAGAAAGGTGGCATAACAATATCCGAAAAATACAATAAAAAACAAGGGAATTACAAAGCTTGGAGTGAGTGGACCCCACAGTTGGGCTTAAATATGATCATTCCGTTGAGCTTTGTGTGCTTGTGCGATCTATCCTGAGACTGAGTCTGGGCATAACAGACCACACCATCATAACCTCATAACCACATAGTGTCGACATGGTTTGCGAAGAGGAGTTGCTGATTGAAAAAGTGTGCGGGCTGTATGAACAAATCTCAAGCCTGGGGAGTCTGAAACCTTGCAAAAATGTCGACATGCTTTTCACCCAACTTGTCCTCGCATGCATACCCCCTAGCCAAATCGATGTCACAAACCTAAACAAAGACGTGCAAGAGGTTAGATCTAACCTTATAAGACTCTGTGGTGAAGCTGAAGGTCACTTAGAGACCCACTACTCAACCCTCCTAGGCTCATACCACAACCCCCTTGAAAACCTTCATATTTTTCCTTATTATTCTAACTACCTCAAACTTGGTCTCCTTGAGTTCACTATCCTCACCCAACACAGCACTCATGTCCCTGCCAAGATCGCCTTTGTGGGTTCTGGACCCCTTCCTCTCACCTCCATTGTGTTGGCATCAAACCACTTACCTTCCACCACTTTTCACAACTATGACATGGACCCTTTAGCCAATTCCAATGCTATGCGCTTGGTTTCCTCTCACCCTGACTTGTCCAACCGCATGGTTTTTCACACCAGTGACATATTGGATGTCACGAACGCTTTGAAGGAGTACGAGGTTGTTTACTTGGCAGCACTTGTCGGAATGGACAAGGAGGAGAAGAACCGAATCATCGATCACTTGGCCAAGCACATGAACCCTGGGGCATTTCTCATGCTCAGGAGTGCTCATGGGGCAAGGGCTTTTCTCTACCCTGTGGTTGAGCCTTGCGATCTTCGAGGCTTTGAGGTCCTCTCCGTGTTCCACCCCACCGATGAGGTCATCAACTCCGTTGTCATAGCACGAAAATATCCTGTGCCTGTGCACTCCCTTGATCAAGGCCTTGGTTCCATGATCCTTCCCAACAAGTGTTCCGAGATTCAAGCCTTCAACCCCCTCAACCATGGGAACATGATTGAGGAATTGGCCGTTGAAGAGAAACTCTTGTGAACGAACGATTTCCCCATATCTGAATTAGTTTGCTCTTATCTACTCCTTATCGTACTTGCTTAAGATGAAGATTGGGTCATGTGGTGTAGCAACTTAGTTTCTTACTTAATATTTCCACTTATGTCTGACTGTTTTGTATCTCACCCAGCAAAACTCAAGTGTTTTACGTTATGGTGTTCTTGAATTTGCAATAAATTATATGAAATATATTATGTGTTTTAGATAATCTTATCTTCCGGAAACAAGCCATAGCCGGAATGCATGCTAGCATACCATGTTTACTGTTTATTCTACACTTTTTTTTTCCTCATCTTCATTTTCTAATTAAGAAAAACTGCTATGCATATGTAACTGCCATGCATTGATATCAGAGGATGGTTATGGAATTGCTACAAGAGCATCTTAGCATACTGTTAGTTTGCTTTAAAGTTTAGTTCAATTAATTTTGATCCAGCTTGTGAATTTGAAATGTATATTTTTATTAATCTAAATCACAAAGCATTCACATGGGGAAGTTTTTCTCTTGATAGATTATGATGAACTGACGTTTCAATTGCTTGAACGTAAACTCAAACACACAACCGATGTTACTTTGATTTAAAATATGATGGAAACTAGTCAGGTTGGCCACAATTTATCAAATTTGGGATTAACTCTTCATTCTTCAACTCTTTGATATTGTTCTGGATTTTATTATTCATGATGTAAGAATTGATATGACTGACTTAAGATTTCTGGTTTTTCCTTTTGCACTTCTATCACACAAAAAAGTACAGTGAAAACAATTTTGAATAATTAAAATTGATTGAAAATGTATGTGTAAATTAATCTAAATCTTTTGAATGTGAGTTCTTTATTTGAAAGCATGAAGACTGTTGTTTTGAAGGTACAAGCATTTTTATTTTTTCAAGAAACAATCATATGCATCTTTTTCATGAAAATAGGTCACATGTACATGAATTAATATTGAAATGAAACAGCTCCAAAACCATTGATATGCAATCCCTAGTTTGAAAATTGGCTTTCTAACTTTAAATCATAGAAGTGCTTAATTTTCTCTTCTGAATGTCATAGAGCTGCCTTGGCAGCGCAATTACTTCATTATCCAGCAGATGGAAATATCACTCAAAAAGAGAGAGAGTCCCCCAATGGCTCTCTTTGATATCAACAGACATAATTTTGCCTTTCAAATCAAAGATTACTTTGCTTTTAAAGGATGCCTACTTATCTACCTTTTTCCGGTTCTTGATCAGTCCAAGTTTGTCTTTGGTGAAATACTTGCATATGCTGATGATGGCATGCTGAGATACCAATTTGTCTTTGACCTCAGAAGAGCTGAAGAGAGGAAACGATATAAAAGCATATATCTTCACATATATAGCTGTACCAGATCACTAATTAACCAGGCATATATTCATATTTTTGATGCGACTCTAGAGATATACTAATGATGAACTATGATGTCAATGCTAATTAAAAGGAAAATCGATGAAGAATGAAAAGATGTCCACATAAATGGAAAGACAGATATTTGTTGGGTTTTAATCTTATATGCCTTTTGAGTTTATCAGAATTGTAGATGTCTCCTTTTATCTGTTTGGTCTATTAATTAGTAGAATTAGAATATACTATCCCTAAGTCCTATGGTCATTTCTATATCGGCATATATACTTCACAACAGGTGAATCTTCTTGATTTTTTCTCAGTTGGTCCCTTTTTAACAAAAATCAAACCAGGTGATGGCAATGTTTAAAGAACACGTATATTTTTCTGTGCTTCCAGATTGATATGTGAAAAGCTTCAGGTATAAGTTCTTAAATTGTTTGCAATTTTTCATTCCTTCACATGTACATAGTCAACCTTTGATGACAAGTGAAAAGGTTGTGTCAATATGTGAATAGTTGAATATTTTCATTTAAATTAAAAGAGTTGTTTTGTTTTATTTAAAATAAAGAATTGTATTCATTGATTCAATTTGATGAGTTGTTTCTTTGTTCCATTTAAAGAGCCGTGTGGATTCACTCTAATAGATACATATATTGTTTTGTGCAAATCAGTTATAAACGTGTAAAACAAAGAATATGTTCTTCTTATATAAGGACAAAAATTCAAATAATATGTAGTTATTCACGAAAAAAAAAACAAATTAGAATAAAGTTTTAGTCAAATTGAAGAAGATTTTTCCTAAAACTTCTTAGCATCACTTTATTTTTATTTGTCACCATGACGAAAATTTCACTTAAATTTTCTTAATAGATAAACTAATTTCATTAGTTTGTATAGTTTTTTGTTTTTTACATGTTATTTTGCATATGTTTGAGTTTATAGCTTTTCATTTTTACCGTCAACTTTAATAAAAAAAATCTCCATTTATTGTACCATTTGATATTTTAATGAATTCCTCCTGAATATTATTATAATATTTATTTTAATTATTATACTATTTAAACTTGAATCTTAGTTCTTATTAAAATATTTGATCTTAAAATAAAACTAATTAATAACTAACTAAAACAATTGACATTATAGCCACATAAAAATATTTTTAGCTAAATTTAAATATATATATATATATATATATATATATATATATATAAGATAATTTCTAATTCAGATAATTAATTTTACTAAATAATACTCTTATTCTTTGTAAATACTTTACTTGTAAACTATTAAGTGGTTTAGTTGAGAAAGATGAGCACTGCAGTTCAGCTGCACGATGCATTCACTGTGTAGGCTTGCATGGACCAATTTCAGTAGCACACAATCCGATGGACCAACAACCTCTGTGCTCCAATCTCATATCTTCATTTTTAATTTTACCATAATGAACTCTTATTATTAGTGATGGATTTAGACCATTGTAAATGGAGTGCAGGAAAAAATTATAGGGGTGCAGAGGGAAAGTGCTTTCGAAAAGACAGGTCCAAAACTTGATTGTAAACGTGATGTTTGAATCAGGCTTGGGCCGTTTTTATATGAAAAATCAAAAGCCTACTACTAAAATAGCTCCAAAAGCTTGTGAAAAATCCATTAAATTTAGCCCAATATTGACGTCGTCAAAAAACTATCTTCGAGTAGGACTACCAGCTAAGTTGCGGTTGCAGTCAATAACTTCTTCATAACTCAATCATTTGTCAGCTCATTATAACTCAGATAAACTCACGTCATATAGACAGCCTCTTTTATTTTTAAACTATGTAATAAATAAAATTTACTGTTCTAAATCACATTTGAAAAAAATGATAAATTTCAATCAAATTTGAAACTATTTTTACCTTTGACAGATAACAATAATAAATAACTAAAGATTACGGATATTTAAACCTGGAATTATTGTAATCTCATTTAAAAGAGTAAATAAATTATAATAAAAGACTAAATCTGGTTAGTTATTATATAATAAAGCGTTTCACTTTTTACATTAAATTATTTTCAAAATTCAAACCTAAATAATTTCCTTATAAGATTTACGTAGATTTTAATAATCATTTTAATATCACATTAAAATTATACTTGAATCATTTTTATCAATTTATAAAATAAAATTTATATAGTTTAACAATATAAATTTACTATATCTGAAATTTATAAATGATTTCTAATACATCTCTCAGCCGAATAATGGACAGAGATAGTTTTAGGTTATCTCCAACAACATTTATGTACTAATCATTCATACATAAGAATTAACAATCTTTTCTTGCGAAATACTAAAAACGAAGGAGTAGCAGCAATCAGGAAATCTTTTCTTCAGCAGGCTCAGGAATGCTGAACAACAATCACGCATTCCACTACCATTGCTACAACATTGCAGAGGGTTGAGTTGAGAGGGTTAAAGAGCACTTGCAGAACTAAAAGAACATAGCTCCTCCTATGCCACCGCCACCGCCGCCACTAAACCTATCCATGACAGCAAATCGCATGTCCTCAGTTGGTTTCCAATGCCGTTTTCTCTGATTGATGAACCAATTATTTATCTGCTTTTGATCCAGTCCAGTCATTGCTGTCAACTTCACTTTCTCCTCCTCCTGTATCATTCATTCATATCACATATCATTTATGGAGTGAAACTTGTGAGAATCACTGAAAATCTTCCAATTCCTGTAACCTTATACCCACATTAAGTTTATCCAAACCATGTTCAAACAGTATTTCAAAAGTCATTGCCATATATATATATATAGTAGGTGTAGGGACTGAAAAAAGTAATTACCGTAGGATATGGCCATTTATTATGTGTGTTCCACCAGTCCATGAGTGCCATCTTTGCATCCTTTGGTAGCTTACCCTTTTTTCTTCGTTTCAGAAACTCCTTTCTCAAACCGCTAAAATGGCCACTGTATTTGCGAAGGAGCATCTCTTTAAGATTTTGATCACCTGGGCAAGTTACAGAAGAAGATATATGACCTTCAACTTCTTCCATCTCCCCACAACATAATTCTTCATCCGATGCCCCACAACCTACTTCATCTGACAAATCAAAAGGATCCTCAATATATATACGCCAAAATGACGACACTGTAACACACTTACACTTTCTCTGATTCACAATGCATATAAAGTACTGAGTATTGGTGAAGAGAACATATTGTTGAACTAAAATGGCAAGGATTGAAGTGAAAGAGATGACCATTTACAATAGTTTGGCTACAGTAATTGATTGCACAGAGGGAATTATAAACCCTTTTATTATTACGTAAAAAAACAACTAATACTTTCTCTTCTTCTTCTTCTTTTCTATTTCTATAAATACTTATTAAAAAAATTATCTAAACAATATCAAACTGTAATCCGCATTTTCTAAATTAGAATTAGAATGTCAATATACTTCTACTCGTTTAGGAAGAATATATTTACCCTTCCGCCACAAGGAAACAATAAAATTTGTATTGTAAAGAATAATATATATAATAAATAAGAACTCTTTCATTATAAGTATTTCTAATGTTTTTCTTGCACTTCCTTTCAATATGGGTACGTTTTCTTCTTAAGCTTTTTTAACAGAGAAAAACAAAATATTTTATACATAAATTAAAAAAAAATCAAAGAAATTATATGAAAGAGTTTTTAGCATAATAACCTATGCACAAGTTAACTTTACCTTATAAAAAAACTCCTTTAATTTTTTTTTCCTAATTTTCTCCTCTATAATATATAAAAACTTCTGCAAACATATTTTTTTGTTTTTTAATTTTCAAAATGTTTCCTCACTATTTGCTTAACATACTAATTTATATCTATTCTTCCCAATATTTTTATTTTATTTTCACATTTGTATCATCTTTTTCTTTCCCAACTTTCTTAAACATCTCATCCCACCGAATGAGATTAACACCTTCTGATTCTCAAATACTTTTTCCAATATTTATTTTCAGAGGCGAAAATAACACCCCTAATAACTTGTACAATTTTCTATTTCCTATACTTACAACAAACTAAAGATCAATACCCCATATTACGAAACATCCTGGAATCACTTTATAATATTTACGACCTCTATTAGTAAATAATTCTTTAAAAAATATTATTTGACCTTGAAGTTACAGTTTTATAAAATGATTAAACATTTCTTCTCACTTTATCAAATAAGTATTTATAATCTTAAAATCTCTTGTCGTTCGAAAATTAAGAATAGATTGTCTTGTCATTGTTGTTCTTATAGATCGACATAACCAAGGCTGTTGTGAGTTTTCTTGGGAATATAATGGCTGAGTTATGAAATGCCTTGAATACTCCAACATTTCTTTTAAAACCAACAATGAAACACCTTATACAGCATTTTTTTTCTTTCTTTCTTATCTCTTTAAATCACATAAATCATCTGATTCCACTATGTTTTGTATAGAGTGGTGATATTTTGAAATTATAAAAAGACAAAAATATTTATTATACAATCTTGTTTATTAATATTAAAGGCATTGATTTAAAATAAAATTAATTAAAAAATTATTATTTTATTAATAAATGAAGTTATTGAATGAATGTTGGTTAAGAATGGTTTTCAATCTAATTTTTCATTTTTTTTTATATTCTCTTCTTTTATGGGATCAAATATAATTTCTCTTTTAAATTTAGCGTAGGAGCGGGGGTTGGACCTTCAAAGTAAATATTTCTGAATCAGCTGTATCTTTAACGTACAAAATGGGACCATCTATGTTCAGAAATTAAGAATAAATAAATAAACAGATGATGGAGTCAAATCCACAATTTATATACTATAATATTAATCTAGACAAAAAAAAAAAAAAAAACTGCTATGGCTCTTTGTTAGTTCTGAGAATTAGAGTTTCATCCATGACTCAGTAGTCACCATGATGATATAAACCAGACATACACCACAGCACAAAGGAATAAGCGTGAAAATGAATCGAGTATTTACCGGAATATTTGTCATCCGATGACTTTGTTAGTGTTCCATTACAAAGGTTGCTCAGCTGTGATTCCATGTTTCCCAAAAACAAAGTCGCTTCATTGAAGGGCCTGGACAACTCCTCCTTGTATCTATGAAGCACTTCGCAGTATGTTTCCTACGGAAACAACAACATCAACAAATCAAATCTTCGTTAAAAAATAGCACAAAAACTCCTCGGTCATGCATATGTGCATGTATATTTAGGAACAAGATAAGCAACCATACCCTCTAACTGAATTCCACAAATTAACCATAATAAATAAACTGTCACAACGATTTCATCATTAATTTTCTTTCAATCTCGACTTCCCCTCCAACGAATTTGGAAACCAAGCAAAATATATCAAAACATATATATCATTATACCCTAAAAAGAAAAAAGAGAAATTTTAGAACATACCATGAACTGGTCAAGTTCAGGACCATCACCCATCTCACGGCGAGCATTCATGCGGTGGCTTTCTCGGCCTATTTCGTCGAGAAGGCATGTCAGTTCTGGCGGTGCTCCAACCTTTCAAAACAAGTACCATTAACCATTCAATTATTCATATTCACGAGGGTCACTGAACATATAATTTGCTATTGTTCTTTCACTAATATTTCGGCATGAAAAGCAGCAATTCTACAATCTACAGTTTGTGGACGTACCTTTTGGCATTCTATGTATGCAGAAAGTAAATCTGGATAAAGAGGGTGATTGGCGATCTGGATCTTGATCATCCGATCCGTCATATCAGACTCGGTTACATTCTGTTCAGGTGCTTGTAGCTGCAAGTAACAATTAGCTGTTGTTCCTAGACGCATATCCGAAGTAGTAGTAGCAGCTGCAACGCCGGCGTTCCCAACTCTAACCACATCCTCTAGACAAGGCAAAAGAGGTTTCAACCTGTAAACTGCTTCCATCACTTGCTCAACTTAAGTGGGGTCTGGATATAGAGTGTATTACACCCAAGCATGTAAGTTTTTGAAGGACAAAGCAGAGTTCAAATATGGACATGATACATATGTAGTTAAGATGATGAGGTTTCCTAATCAGAGCATATATGATCCAAGATATTTATTTAATTCTAAATTTGTTATGTAGTAGGAGGGCCCTCTATGTAAGGAGCTAGAAATGATAATTAATGAATAGTTAAGTTAAAAGTTGAAGATTGCAAAGGGGTAGATGTGTAGGTAAATAGGAACTTAGAGATGATAATGACAGAGGAAGGTAGGGTTGGGGGAGAAGAAAGTTGGAGTATGAAGGTAGCTGGAGTGCAGAAAGAGTTCGGCTTTCCGAGTAGAGCGGGGAAAGGAACAAAAGAGGAGAGGAGGGATAAGGGATGAGAAGAAGGTGTGGGAGAGAGAAAGGAAGAAGAAAGGAAAGAGTGGAAGGAATTGACAAGTTGAAGTGAAGGGGTGATTTGGGCATGTGGATGCATCATGTTGTAGGTGGTGTCAGTGTAGGCCGTACGTACATGTAGAACACTGTCTCACTGAGATTCTCACTCCACCAGAGAAAATAAATCACAAATCCCTCACTGCAACGTAACCCCTCCTTCGTTCCTCACCTTTAATACGTCCGTCCCTACCATATGTTTGTTTCACAAATTTCACTCACCTATTTTAGTTTTGGAAAATGATAATTTTAAAACCTAAATCTGTACCATTCTTATAAATAATTCTATTTTAATATTATAATAATAATTTTAATTTATTTTTATTAGATAATTTTATAAATTATTATATTAATAAAAAAAATTGTTCGAAGATTATATAATTTTTAGTTATAAAAATATCAACACTCTTTAATTTTAAATATATAAATAAATAGTGATATTTTGACAATCACAGATCATATTATTTTTAAACAAGTAACTTTTATTAATATAATAATTTATAAAATATTATAAAATGATTTAATAAAAAAATAAATAAATTAAAATTATTATTATAATATTAAAAGAGAATTATTTATAAGAATGGTATGGATTTGAGTGGTAAAACTATCATTTTTCTATATAAATATCATTTTACAATAATAATATAAATTACTGCTAAATGAAATTACTATGTTTAATATACTTTCCTGTCAAAGAAATTTTTTAGTATACTATTTTGATTGATAGAGATGAAAGAAATAAGTTGAATTATTCTTCTTTTTTCTTCCACCAAATCAACTATGTTTATTCATTTTTTCTTATCCTTACTAACATTTCAACCATTTCTATCATTATTATCGTATGAAAAAACTTAAAAATTATAAATGATAATTCAAAATTATTTTTGGTCATTTAGCTTTTCTTTACCACCTCAATGGTAACAACAGAATGTGTCATTGTTTCCCCAACCTATATATAGAGCATGTATAGGCATATTAATTATGTTAATTATGATTGAATGAAATGAATGTTTATTGGTGATATGTTGAAAATAGCCTCATAATCTTTTAATCTCTTCCAAGTTAAGAGGTTTAGGAAATGGATTTGGAGTTAATTAGGTTGTTATGAAGATACATTCAGTGAATGCAAAACTCAATTATAAGTTTAGTTGGAATATTGAAAAGGTGGTGTGGTACGAAGATTCTAAAGGAGTGCCTAATAAATTCAAACAAAGTCAGCGAATGCAAATTCAAATGCGAATGCAAATGCAAATGCAAGCCACTCCATTATTTCCGCTCGTTTTGCACGGCGATTAGTCGATCGATCACCTTCACCGCTCACTATGGGCTACTATGGGCTGGATAGGGCCCAATGTGTAAGATTTTCAATTTTAAGATTAATTAATTAATTAAACGACTTAATTACAAAAACTGATAATCATAAAACAATGCATATAAATTTAAAACAGTATAAAGAGATTAAAAGTAATTGTGAAGAGCAGTAACGTAACGGGTAACATAAATGATGGAAAGATAATAGAATTACGAAAATAATAAAATCTTGATAATCACTAATATAAATTTTAATTATTAAGTGCTTAATTTATTCATTTAAATCTATTCAATTAAAAAAAATCATAATCTAAATTAAAATTTTAGGGTTTAGGGTTTATAAAAACATTACTAGCCTAAAAAATTGAAAAAACATAATTATATTTAATTTTTGGTTAATGCATTTAAAACAGAAATGTAACGTGAGTCGATCCTTTCATTTCTCAAATTTTGCATAGAAATGTTTTCAAATAAGATTGATTACTTTTTAATATTAATTAGTCTCCTTTTTATTTCTACTCCCTGACTACAAATTTTCTCACTTATGTCTACCAAACAAAAATGCAAGAGAATATAGTAAGAGTGTATTTTCTTTTTTTAATGACATGAAGAAATTTATTATCAAATATTCACTAAAGATGCTTTTTTAAATAAAAAAAGCAAAAAAAACAAATAAATAAACCCAAATATTAAATACTTAATAATCACAAAAAGATCTTATTTTAATGCTCTTGCAAACAGACTTGAAACATTGAAATTGATTTCTCAAAAAATGGAAACTTTAATTGAATTGAATATATAATTTAAATAGTTACTACTTACCTGGGTGGGTCCTAAACAGACTGAAAATTTAGAAATGAGACAACCATGCAGGGTGAACAGTTTGACCTAACTGACACCTTTTCAATAATTTGTTATGAGGTATACTGGTAGGTCCTCCACTTATATGTGTGTGAATATATATAATATAAAATTATAGCGTTCTACTATTATATGATTAAGGCTTGTCCTCGTCTCAAGATAAATTTTGTTAGGATTAATTTTTATATTTTATTTATTTTATAATTTTTTAGAGAAAAAATGTATTTAAATTATATTTAATTTCAATTCTTAAATAATATAAAATTCGTGTCATAATAATACTCTTTGATTATATCAGTTATTAACTAGAAACAAAATAAATGTATTTGGATGAGTAGATTCCATGTTAGAAGTAACACGTTATAATCCTAACTTGAAGAAACATAAACTTAAAAATGTTACTAGCTTCTTCATTGCTTATTATTTGGTTTATAAGAAACAAATTCTACTGTCTATTACACTCTAAAAAAATCAAAATTTCAAAATGAAACTAAAAAGTTGAAAGGGAGAGGAGAAAATACAAACGGGGCTTATTTGAAAAATATGTATAAGAACTTTAAAAATTTATATTTTTCATTAAATTTAAAAATTTATAATTTTAAATAATCAATATATAATATAAATTTGTGTGAATTTGAATTTCTTCTTAAATTTTATGTGGAAACATCATATCTCGTTAGAAAAAAAAATCAAATTATCTAAAAATAAATAAACCAATCTATTGAATTTTTTACTAGCAATGCTGTTCGCTTCTAAACATTTTCATCTTTAATTTATTAATTTCTTAAGGCAATTTTTGTTATGATTTTTTTATTTAATTTTAATGTATTCTTCCACTTATTCAAATAGGAATAGAGATCATTTTTTTAAAATTATTTAACCAATAAATACATTTTATTCACTTCTTTTTATTGGTTTTTCTCTTTCCTCTCTTATTACTATTATTTTTTTTATTATTGAATCAATTCACTTGCTACAATTTTTAACAACATCTATTATTTATCTCAAATTTTCAAGTCTTAGAATGATATAATATATTTAAGTGCTCTAACAAAAAAATTACTTAAACGATATATTATTTAAAAGTGTTAACTTAAACTTGTATTAATTTTTTTTATTAAAAAATAATTTTTGTATCATGACAATCAAATCCAAGAGTCAATTCGTGTTTAAAACTGAAGGAAATAAATTAAATTGATTGAGTGTCAAATTTTTCGTTTTAAGAAAGATGACGAGTAATATATATAATTTTCATCTTTTTATATTTAATCTTAAACTTTATAATATAAAACATTTTTTAAGTATATTTTTTCATTCTCATGATCATTATTTATTTTATATTTTATATTTTTATTCAATGCTTTTAAATTTTTTATTTTTTTAATATTTTTAATTAGGTCAATATATTTTTTTCCCTTATCTTTCACTTTTTATATTTTTGTTAATTTTTTCAAGATAGTTTTTGTTAATTTTTGTTTTTTATCTTTGTTTAAATACCACATAAATCTTAATAACAACAAATATTATTTTATTTTTAATTTATATTTATTAATTTTTATTTTATTATATTATATTTTTAATTTTTATTATTTTATTTATCATACTATCATATTTTATCTTAATTAAATAATTATATTTTAAAGATTTAACCATTTTAAAAGATTAATAATTAAAACTAGTATTACTTTATATTAAATAATTAATTAAGAATTAATTTATTCAATATTTTTTATAAACTATACTTTAAAATATAAACATAAAAATAAATAATTTATATTTAATTAAATATTTGAGTATAAATGTTATAATATATAATAATAATTTATATTAATAGAAAAAATCATTAAATACTTTTTTACTTATATATTTTAACATAAATATAATAAATGAAAAAAATATATTTATGTATAAGAAATAATATATAAAAAACATGAAAATAATTTATATATAACATTTTGTTATAAATTAAAATAACGAAACAAGTGGAGGACATAAATCCCGAAATTCAACCCCACAAAGAGAACAATGAAAAGAAAACTGAATTCCGATTTCTAACCGTAATCAGGACAAGAATAATTATGGAAACGAGGGTTGGGAAGGGAAAAATCTGTTCGCCCCACAACATCCCTTACTTCCACAAACAATAACGGTAAAGTTGATATCTTGAGAAGATAATAATTAAAATTTATTATTATTATAATAACTTGTTTAAGAGATGTTTGAAGAAACCAAGGTTGTCTGTGGAATATTTTTCTTTCTAAAACAATACTAAGCATTATTAAACGACATTGTTTAACTTTAAAATAAATAAATCTAACTAATAAAATGTTTAATAATATTATTTATACAAATACTTTAATAATTTATCTGTTTATAATATTATTATTATTTTTATCAACGATATCAAATTATAACAAGGAGTATTTTAGAAAAATAGTTATTTTTGAATAGTTATTTTAACCAGGTATTCAAAGTTTATTATTTATGTTTTATAAAAAAAGTATAACAACATCTTTTTTTATATAATATATTTTGATGATTGAGAATACAGTAGAAGTATATACTCTATACATCATTAAGAACCCAGCAAAGCGATGGGTCCTTTGGTCATGCTGCTGGCTCTGTAAGCGTGGCCAACACCATTCGCAACCTACAAGGAGATAAGGATGTAGAAAGATCACGCTTTTTAGTAGTTGGACTTATTTGAAACTGACCCAAGAACACAAAAATATAATACATTTTCCCTTTCATTATCAATTGTCTTATTGTCACCCTTATTCTTATCTTCTGGACTCTCGACAACATCCACCACCTAAAAACATGAGAATAACAAAGAAATAAACAACCACTATGGTCCACGTTTTGAGTAATTTATGAACTCCTTTTAATCTGGTTGGTTACCACCATTTTGTCTATATAAAATGCAATGGAATGCATGTATTGGGTAAATATACATCAAATGACAACTATATCTGAGGATTCAGCAAGATACTAGAAGTTCTGAATCCACAAGCATCTTTTCCTCCCCAAACCAAAATATGGCTATCAGCAAGTATGTTTGAGAGTATTCTATTAGCAGCAGCACTTTTAAAATTTTATGTTGTCAGACTTTACCTCACAGAAACTTATGCTTCTCTTATCATACATATATGCATGAATTTAAGAGAATTAGTTTCCATTCCACAAGTTGTTAAATGATGATAACAAGAAGCACAGAAAGGGTGCAAATATGTTTGGAATAAATTGAAAGAGGTAAAAGAACAGATGCTTCACTTCTTGTATCAACTTGGACTCCTAATTTTGATGGAAAATCCTGCATATATATATATATATCCAAAAAAACCAAAAGGAAGTACTGAAATAATGGATCTCTCCACCCCGTCCCTAGGAAAATCTAATATTCAGGTCTCAGGGTGATGTATGGCAGGTTTGTCAGACCCTTTATTTAATTATTTTGGCTGCATAGGAATCCTCATGATCTAGTGAAGTTGTGAGGGCAGGAGAATGGGACAAGGTTGAAACCTTTACCCTATTATAGAGGTCATGACTGGTGCCATGTGAGCTACCCAATTATTATTATTATTATTTTTTTTTTGACATTCCGGATCAACTGTTTCAATATATGTGCCAAACTCAACTAGGACAACACCTCATTGTGGAACTGACCTATTATGAGCACCAATCACCAATTCAGAAAAGACAGAAAGTAAAGAACATGATGTTAACACTCAACAGATATAACATATAACATACATTCTGAAACGTTTCATTATGTAATAGAGTTCAACCTGGGAGAAGAAATTCTCAGGAGGCTGCTCAAATGGTTCCAATCAACCCATTTAGAAATAACGAGCATGATTTTAACAAAGATAACTTCCCACTCAGTGAGGTTGAGCAATGAGAGTAAAACTCAAAGGGATCACATTGAAAGTTGATGAAAAACTACCAAACAAAACAATTTCATCTGCCGTGATGTCTCTGACAATAACGGATCCTGGTAATCTTCATCCAACTTAGAAGCAGAAATATTAAACACAGAAAGTGAGAGTGGCAGGGTTATGCACAAAAATAAAAATCTGGCCGCTGAATAAAATGGTAATATGCAATAGCTATGTGCTGGTAGTTAATTTTTGAGCCAAGGACATCCTTTATGAGCTGGAGGCGTCCCAACATTTTGTTCTGTGACTCAAGATACTATGATCAGCAACTTTTATTGAATAAAGACATGTTAAGGTAAAATCTGAGTAAATACTCTTAGCAGAAGTAAATACGAAAGAAAAGAAAAAACATAGACAAAATTAACCTATCTATAAATTACTTGAAGTAAATTTTATATTGTTAACTTCTTTGAAACTTGATTATTAATTTAGCGTAAAATTTCAAATCTATTAAATATGTTCTTAGAAACTTTTCTGTATTTTTGTCCCTCTAAAATATAAACATTTTTTTTAATTCGTGCTGGTATAATAAGATAGAGAAAAGTTGATTTGGACGACAATTTAAACATATAAAATTTATAATCAATATTAATTTGGTTACAGATCCCTAAAATTATCTTCAAATCTTAGAAGGATGAAAATAATATGAATTCTTTTAAAAACGTATTTAATATTTTAGGAATTTTGTATGGACACAACACATTTTACTTTTAATTTTATGTTTGATTCTTTGTAAAATAGTAAATATAAATGTATAAATTTTACATGGACACAACGTATATTAAATTAGTTTGTATAAATTTTTTTATGTTAGTTAGTCTTTGTAAAATATAAACATGATTTTTTAATAATTTTAATTTTTTTGGCATAATAATAAAATAAAAGATAAATGTGTATTATTTATTTTTATCATAATTTTTTATAATTTAATAACTTAAAATAATAACATATTTTAAGCATTAAATTATCATATATAAATAATAAAAATAGAAAATAAATCTATAATTTGAATTTGAATTTTTAGAATAAATAATACATATCCTGTCCTGTGTATATATATAAACCAAAAAAACTAGTGTACATATAATGAGAATCACAGCTGCGGTCGAGAGTAGACATGTGGATAAGCAATTGGGATATGAGGAATGAAAAAGTGTACAGTTAGCACTTTGTCTATACATTGGAGTGTGAAGTGAAATATGAAAACAGGAAAAGAATATGGAATGAAAGAAATGGAAAAAAGAATGGGTTGGTGGCAAAGGTAGGGAGGGAGAGTGGATAGTGGAGAAGAGGTAGTGGTCTTGTCAACATGATTGCAACTATGTTTTCTTTTCTTTTCAAGAGTTTGAGTGAAGCACTCCTCATGCACAGGCTCTTGTTGGGGCCTTTCTTTTGTTTTATGATATGATTTTGATGTTCACTCACCCACTCAACCTCAATCTTAAAAACTCACAATGAATCACTCAATCAATCACTCAAATCAATCGCTCCTCCCTCTTTCCTTCCTTCCCTCCCACCACCACCACCACTATCACCTTCGCCTATTTTAATATCCACAAATCTATTATTCTCTTTTATGATTACTACCAGCTGCAAAATCCATTTTTTGTGAAGGTAATAGCAATTATATATAAATCTGTAACTTTTTTTAAAAATTAACTCTTCTAATAAAACACTAGTCCTTCAGGTTACATAAACTTTCTAGAGATGAGTGAGGAAAAAGAAATGGTTTGATGAGGTGGCGTGTCCAATGTATGAATAATGTATGTATTATGGGTAGACGTGGCAGACAGATCAGACAAGTGACAGAGACGAAGCCATTGGCACTGGAAGACAGAACGACAGCGTCCCGCGGGAAGCACGGGCGAAATTTTCTGTTCTCGCTCCGGTCCCTCCTCAAATCCTTCGTACCATACAACAACTACCTCTCCCCTTCTTCATTCCAACACTTTCTTTCTTTCTTTCTCCACCTTCTTTTACTTCCCACGTGCACACTCTTTACTTCATATTACTATAACATAAAACAGAATCAATTATGTTTACTATTTATTACCATTTTTCTATCCTCCTTATTACTTTTACTTCTCTCTCTTCTATTTCGTATTGAATGTATATGCCACATAGAGGTGTCAAAAAATACTTTTCAGTATATTTTGGACCCTAGCCTAAGTGCCACCACGTGTTGTTTTAACTGTTTAAGTTGACACTGACACTTTTTGTTTGGAAAGTACGTGGTGCACACCTTTATCTTTTTACTTTACAGTTTAACCACTGTACCTTAATTATTGGCTAGCTAGGATAAGATAAGCAAGTAGGGGAATGTAATGTACCCATTTTGAGTACTTTCCAAACCTATTCATCCACCTCCTGCCCACAGTGCACCCATATATAATATCACCCATACATTTTACACCACACCATGTGCACAACCTCAAATTTCTTAAAAATCTCCAAATTCTCCATGTTACGCTTTATGCCCCAAATTGTTTCTGGCTTTATATCTGCGGTCTTTTCACGTTACTTTTTATATATGATAGGTCATGTTCAATGAATCCATGCTCATGTATGAATGAATATTTGTTTCTTAAGGACAATCCTCCTAGCATATATTAACTTATTAATCAGTATCATCAAACAAAAATCTTCCCATGCAATGGGAAGAAGACAGGATTATACTGTAAAGCTAAAATCAAATATTATACAGATAACGATTGATTAAGGATATTCATAACCACTCATGTACGTTGGATTATGTCCGAAATTTACATAAACTTTATTTCGTTTTCCTCTTCAATATTTTACCTGAGGATTTCCACTAGCAGGGCCTCCAAGTGTTAGAGCCAACCCTTGAAGATCACTTCTGATTTTATGCTCCTTGGAAACAACACTAGGACTGGCTCCCATGATTGGAAATGGTAAAGCCACTGGGTTTTGCCATGATCGTGAACCATGGTATGGCTCTGCATGCAAACACATAGGTACCTCTTGAGAAGCCCTTAAAGCACCCAAAAATGATTGAGAGGAAGGAAGTGAACTTGATCGAGGATAAGTTGGTTTAACACTGGCCCCCTTTGAGACAACTCCTGATCCCTGATGCATTTTTATGTTTGTTGCTGAAACTGGTTACAACACATATCATATATGATCATAACTTAACATATTATAGCACCAAAGTTTAGAAACTTACAGGTGTAAATATGACTCCCCGGAAAATCCTTCCATTCACAGCTGCAGGAGATAGCGAAACTGAGTCAAAGGGTCCTTCAACTCTCTCCCGAACTTCAGCACCAATCTTGTATTTCAAATCAAGAGTGAAAAAAATGAGCAATTAGGAATAATAGTGATATTATTACATGTTTCAGACTACCATGGTTCCAATAATCTACAAGTGACCTAACCAAGTTTTATTAACTCTACGTGTCAGGTAGAGATTGACCAGGAACATGGTCAAGCAGTGATCCGTGAGTGTCTAAAAATATTTAAAATAATAAAAGGGGAAAATTGTAGTAGTGTGTAATTCTAATACTGAGCAAAGGATTCACCAGGTGTTGAATGGGTCGCATCATTGGTTTCTGCTCTGCAGCCTCATGTTGAGCTCTTCTTCTATCCTCATTAACATGAAGACATTGTTCTTGTTTTTGTTGATGTTGTAGGAAATGAAGAGCTTGTGGAGTTTTAAGTGGGATATTCTTCAAATTTCTCTTATAACTCGAGTCTTTTTCGTGTTGGGAAGTGGTTGGAAATAATGTATTTGCCTTTTGACTTGGGGTCTGTTCTTGATCGGATTGATATGGAGATGAATGAAGGGACAATGAAAGAAAACAATCTTCTTGTTCTGATTCAACATCCCACATCTTTGCAGCAGCAACTCTCCTCCTCTTCTGTCGTGAAGTACCTACGTACAATTATTTATTATCAGCCAATCAACCTATCGATAAATACTTACAAGAAATAAAAGAAGTAAAACGAATTAAACTTCTTTTTCTAATAGTACTTACTAGGATGTTTGTACAAAGTAAAGACCTCAACCCACCTGAATCAAAGTGATAAGGTGACGATTTTTCTGATGCAATTTCATAAGCTCCATTTCCAAAAGCTTCCACATTATTCCTCACAAGGATAGATTTCTGCTTTAAAATTCACTGTCAGTTCTACTTTTGGTGAAAAAAAAAAAAGGTAAATAATGGCATCGGTATATAAACTTCTGTACCGAGTTGGTATCCGCTTCTGCTGGGATAATATTATTTTCTTGATTCCAATATGTTCCAACAGGTTTGCGCATGGGAACGCAGTAACGTCCATTTGGATGCTCTGCTGCAAGCTGCAAAACTAACAATTCATTGAGTGGACGTTCATCTTCCCCGCACCTGTTAACAGTAAAAGAACAAATAAATTAAACTGGCAAAGTGAAAGAAGAACATTGGAACATTGGTTAGAAATCATTATATTCATAGACAGGATCCTACCCGCCATATATTGCAATATCCATGCCTGCAGCAACAGCTGTATGAGAAAATCGCCCTTGTGGCTGTTGAAAATGTATATCAAGTTGAGTCCATGAAAAATTGCAGATATCAAAGATCCAAACATCATTATAGTAACGTTTGTCTCCAACTCCTCCAATGATATATACCTGCACATCAACCACAGCTCATACAAGATTTTCGAAAGAAAAATGACAAAACCTGAGCATCTTAATATAAACCTGATGCGGCTCTACGTAATGAGCTAAAATCCATGAATGCCTTGACAAAACTTGATTATGAAATGAATCTAGAAGAAGTACATGTAAATTTCGTGATGAATTGAATTTTTATGCAGGTGTAAAAAATTTTACAATGTTAATCAATCAGAAATCATCGTAGTATAAGTTTATATGACAATCGATAACTGAATGATAATGTAAAGATATTTTCACTGACAGTACATACACCATACAATATTAGGTAATAAGCAAGTCCTAACAATAATGAATATCACTAACTTGCCTTTGTTCCAATGTTTACTGCGGCATGACCTGCCCTGACTCCTGGTGGAGAACCTTGAATCGTCAACTGTCATTGAAATGCAAGATGTTAAGAGTGGAAAATCTAAAAATTTCCATCTCCAAACTTTAAAGAAAATTATTAGTAATTGTCATAGAAGGGAAGGAAGGAGCATACTCTGGACCAAGTCATTGTAGCCATATCAAGCACGTGAACATTGCCATGATACTGATCACCAGAATCTCCACCATACACAATAAGCCTGTTCCCGATTGCAAGGGTACTATGACTGTCCCTGGGGACAGGCAATTCGCCTTTCAACTCAGGGGAAGTCCAGCTCATGGTTCGAAGATCAAGAATATGCAGATCATTTAAATAGTTAGCATGGCCTTCTCCGCTACCACCAAATATCACTATCCTTTCATCACCAACCAGCGTGGCAGTATGGCTTTCTCGTGGAGAAGGAGGAGTCCCTTTACATTCAGGTCGAACCCACTCTTTGGTAACAAGATCAAGTATGTGAATGTGATTCACCTTCTTAAAGCCATTTGTGCCACCAAACACTATCATTTTATGCCCCACAAGAACAGCACTATGGCTATCTCTAGGCCCTGGCTTCTCACCCGTAGTAGTAAGCTTGCTCCAAACCATTTTGTTAAGGTCCAAAGTGAGAACATCGCAAAAATGCAACCCCCCACAGCAACCCTGACATAGTACAGACCCAAACTTTATTAAAGAAAAACATTTAAAGCTTACCAAACCCACAATTTTAATCAATAAAAGTATATAAAGTATTTCATACTGTCCACTAGTTTGGTTGAGAGGCAATGTGATGGACAAACGCGCTTCCTCGCTTTCATATATAGAATTACAAGTGATGGAACAAAAGAAAGGAAATGGTAATTATGTTGCAAGCGATCTCAACCAAAATATTGAGGCAAAACTATTTTGTTTTCAATTGTGCTTAAACTTTTGCAATATCTATCAAGTGGAAGGAGACAATTAATTAATAAATAATAAAGCGAGAGGTCTCAGATTAACAACAGAGTGAAGCAGGACAGTTTCTTTTTGGATGCATTTTTATAACGCAGGGATGGATATAATAAAAATGAAAAATGTGAATATTGCTATATTAAGTAAGCAGAAAGATGATGGTAACCCAAACTCGTCTTGTCCCACTAATTACAGTAAGAAAAAATGAATTTGGTTAACTGTCTCCAAGAAAAATAGGTGGTAAAAGAGATTAGGAAAAAACTAAAATTCAGAGGAGAAAGTGCTTCGGTTCTTAGCCATATATAGGCAGCAAAAACTAAGTGAACTTTGAGAAAGAACGACAGAAGTACTAATAAATACTACAAACTAACCAAACTACTGAGAAAAATTCCCAGAGATGAAGAGACATAAACATACAGAATAAGCACAGCTTCAAAGAGTTATAACATGTGGGGAGCAGTGTGCAGACATCATCAATAAGGACAACCCAGTAAGCAGCAAAAGTTCAGAAAATATTTATATGAGATTAAGAAACTAGCCAATGGTTATTAATTACAAGACGGAACTAAAGACTTGTTTTTGTTTTTGGAGCAACCCATACATACCCCAAAGACATACATAAGGCCCTTGGAGAAGCAAGCAGAGTGCCCCCATCTTTCAGAAGGATTGAAACCCAAAACCTTTGGGTGCAGCCACATTGTTTTCTTGTTGGGAACTTGAGGTAGCGAAGAACTCATCTTTGAATGTCCTTTGTGTGTGTTTGTGTGTGAGTGTGAATGTGAATGTGAATGTGTTATGGGTAAGTGGAAGCTTAAAAAAGCATATAGGTTGAACACAGTAGTTGACACAGATGAAGAAACAGTCGAGGACGAAGAGTCGTATGGAAAGAGAGTTTGATTCAAAGAGAACATCAACAAGCCAAGTGATGTATCAACAATCAATATCAATAGACATGAAAAGATGGGCGCTTTCAAGTCCAAATCACTGTGGCAACCAACAGCAAGTGATGGATGTAGTGAAAACAACAATTTTTCTCCCCCAAACCATTAAAGTTCTTTTTATAAATATAAAAAAAAAATAGAGAATACCAATAGAATGAAACTAGCATGAGATTTCTTGAATAAAATCTCCACTTTGCATAGAAAAACAAATACTACGGTAAATCAAACTTGGTCACCATCTATAAAGTTAACAAAATGTTTCATATATTGAACGTGATAGAAAAATAGGAATTCAAACAAAGTATATCAAGAAACTGGGCAAATAAAAATAACTAAAAATGAAATAATGTTGTTGATATATTATGATATTTTAATAAAAAATGATTTATTGATTTTTGGTTAAAATAATTAAAAATACTTATTTACAATGCATGGATGATAATAAACAAATAAAAAGGAATAAGAGTTTGGTTAATGTTGAGAATATGATACATTAAGCAATGCACATACATTACATACTATAGAAATACGACCTGGTGACGTATAATGAATGTATTGGTCGTGTTTCCCTGCTTAGCTGGATAAGCTTGAGGAACGTGAACTAGTGATGTAAAATCATGGAACATGACTTGGGAGGAGAGAGAGAGAAAGAGACTATTTTGTTAATGAGTATTTTACTATTTTATCGGGCATGTTTAGTAATGTTTATTATATTTTTTGTTAATAGATATTTTACAAATTTAAAAGTTTAAGATACTTTTATGAAGCAAGTATGAAAATGAGGTTTGTATATGAATATAATCATCCAGGTTATTTCAATAAGTATAAGTAATATTTGTTTAACAAAATAAACATTGATATTAATGAAAAGTTTAATCATGTATTAGTGGTAAAAAAATAATTTGAGAAAGAGGAAAAGTGGGGATTTAAGGTTGGGTTCATGCTTTGTCTAACTGAAAATGAAAATGATGTAGTGCGGTGGCATAGGGTTGTTGGAAATGACGAGGAAGTTGTGTTTGAGTTGGAAGGGTTTTTGACAGTTGATAATGGCAGCGATAGGTACTCGGTAGTAGGTCATAGGCTCAGAGTCTGTGTGTACACATACTCTCACACTTTGAATTGAATTGGAGAAAAGTTAAAAAAAAAATATATTTAAATGTTAGTAACTTATATTTATTTTTTTATCTACCTACTCCTTCTTTTCCTTCCAAGCATAAAATTATTTACAGTTTTTTTTTCTTTTTTACTTTTATTAATGGATACTCATGAATGCATACTTGTAAGATACAAAGGAAATTTTAATATAAAAATATTTATATTGTTAAATGAGTACGAAATACATGCCTATTTTCAATATAATTTATTTTAATTTTATTTGACCAAGGTAATAAAATTAATTCGAAGACCTTTTTTTTTAAAGACGACAGAAAAATACGAAGATATTAAAATCAATTTTAGTACATTTGAAAGATGAGGAGGATTAAACATTAATACTGGATATAAAATGAATCTCAAAAAAGTATTTATGGGTTGAAGTTTTAAAATAAATTCTTTTAAACTAATGTTACAGATAATAAAATATTAATTAATTATTTTAAATTATGATGATAAAAAATAATTTTATTTATAATAATAATAATAATAAATATTTAATTTAAACTTATTTAATTATAATAAATCAATTATATTCATTTAATTAAAAATATCAAATATTTTACGTATAGTTAATTTTAATAAATTAAATTGACTTTTAATTAAACTTAATTAAATAAAAAGCCTATGAATTTAAAAATCAATAAAAATAACTCAATTCGAGATTATTATATAATTAATATATAACAAACATATTATTCATCTAATAATTCTATTATAAAAATATTTCTCTAATTTAATATATGAGTTTTATATATATGATAAATATTATTATTATTATATTATAATTATTATTTTAAATTTTCAATAAATAAATTATTAAAATTGATTTAATTTGATTAATTATCATAACTTAATCTAATTATAATTATATTGAATTATTAAATAAAAAATCAATTTAACTTATAAATATTTAATAATTTTAATTAGATGAGTAATTAATTTATTATGATAAAATACTTTTAAATTATTTTTTATTTATATTATAAATAAAATTATTTATTATTATCATAATTTAAAATAATTAATTAATATTTTTTAAATTTTAATGTTGATTTATTAAAAATTTTAATTAATATTTTTAACAAGAAAAATAAATGGGAGATGAAATAAAAAAATAAGAGAGAGAAAAAAATAAAAAATAAGAATTAATCTTATAAATAATATAATTTAAAATAAAAATTACTGAAATATATTTTTTATAAATTTATTTATCTAAATAGATTTATTTATCATTCATATATAATTTTTTTCTAATATTTTAAAATCTAACCATTTTTAATTGGATTTAATAAAATTATATTTTTATAATATAATAAATATCTACTAATTTTATCATGAAAGTTATAAAAGAATAAAACATGAATAATGATTAAAATATAATAAATTAATTATTATTTAAAGCTAATATAATTAATATAAAATGAAAAAATTAAAATAAATTATATCTTTTATAAAAAAAATTGATCTAACTTTTTTTTTATTAAAACATGTTCGACCTAATCATTTAATTAAAATTCAATTATTTTAAAATAATAACTCTATTTCTAGTTCGATTCATTCCACCGATTGAACAGGTGAATTTTCAAAACAGTGATTTTTTTCTCACTCTTCCCGACTGTGTTTTTTCACCTCTCTTTACTCATTCTTCTAATTAAAAAATATTAAATTAAAATTTATTAAAAATTAATTAAAATATTTATTTAAATTACAAAATATCAATTATTTTTTTAAATATAAATAATTTTATTTATAATAATAGTAAATAATTAATTTATAATTATTTAATCAAAATAAACTAATTACTTATCTAATTAAAAATATAAAATATTTGTGAGTTTGAGTTTACTATTTTATTTAATAATTTAATCTATATATGATTTTTAAAAATATTAATTAAAAAATAATTTAAAATAATATAATTTTTTAATAATTTTTATTTAAATATTTTTAATTAAACGTATTAAATAAAATTTAATATAATTTATTAAAATTATAAGTACATGTAAAATATTCGATATATTCAACTAGATGAGTAATTGATTTATTATCACAAAATAATTTAAATTGATTATTTTCTATTATCATAAATAAAGTTAACCTTACATAATTAATTTATATTTTATTATATTTAACGTTGATTTTTTTAAATTACTTTAACATATTTTTATCTAATTTAAATCTAATATTTTTATTTATAGAAATTAGAGTGAGAAAGATGAGATAAAGATAAAAGATTGAAAAAAAAGAAAAATAATAAAAGAATAAAAAGAAAAAAAGATCTCCTGTTATGTAAGTCAATAATATAATTTATATAACATTAAAATATATAATTTAATAAATATTTTATTTGTATATATTTTTTAAATATATTATTTATTGGTACAAATAAATAAGAGATATTTTATTTAAGATTTTTTTTACTCATTTATTATTCAAAAATTAATAATTATTTATTTTCTAATTATATATATATATATATATATATATATATATTATAAGTAATAAAATTTATTATATTTATATGCACTTATTGTTTTTATATAATTTTTGTATAAGTAACATTTAAATAATAATATTATCATAAAATTTAAAATATTGAGATAAAGTTTATTTTTTTAGACAATTATATTTTAAAAAAATAATTATATATTTTTAAAAATAATCATATATTTTTTTACAAATTTTGTATAAGTAATAAATTTTGGCATTAATATAAATAATAATTTTATTATATATATATATATTAAGTTTAAATTTTGTTAGATATATATATATATATATATTATGTATATTTTTTGATGATATAAATTATAAATTTATTAATGATATTAATAATACCAAATGAATTAAAATACTGTTTTATTAAATGAGGGAGGGTATGATGATTAATATGTCTTCTTTATATATATAGAGAGAGATATTAAAAAATAATTAATTTATACTAGTTGCAAAATATTAAAATAATTTGATTTTATACTTTTTCTTAGAATATATTTGTTCTTTCGTCAAAATTGATACCAACAAAAAATTATTGAAACTAGAATTAGAATTGAATGAAAGATATTATTTTAAAATAATAAAATAAATTTTATTCACTAAATATTTATCTCAAACTTTAGTTCTTTTGAGATAAATATTTTTTCTAAATTTAAAAAATATTTTAATTCTTTAAATTTGAAAATATAAATTTAATCCCTACAATTAAATTTGAATAACTAAAAACAAATTTTAAAACCTCACCTCAGTCGCAAGTGTTACCTGTTTCTATAGTAATTACAATAATTGATAAATCAGTAGTTTTAATATGTAATACTGAAGTATATATAAACAATAACAATATTATAAAAAAGTACGTATTACAACTATAGAAATGATAATTATAATGCAAATAAGTGTTATTTACCTTAGAATTACAGATCACTTTTAAAATTATTACTTGTTATTGTCATATAATAAATAATATTATTATCGTACCAAATATACGTACATACATAACAATAAATAAATTAGTAGCAAAAATATAAAAAATAAATAATAAAAATAAATAATAAAAACATATACTCATATGTAAGAAAAAGAAAAAAAAAACAAATATTTGAAAATTTCTATCACCACACTTCATTCAAAATTGTAAAGCTTTTATAAATATTTATGTAAAAATAAAATTATGATATTAAATATGAGGTTATTATTTAAAAAAAAATCAATTGAATTTTTATTCTTTATATAAAATTATGAAAATATTGATTGAATATTATAAATTTTTTAATTTAAATTCCTAATAAAACATCATAACACTTTTTAAGTTTTCTTAAAAGTCTTTTAAAATTACAATTGAGAGACTTTGTGGAAGGAAACCAGACACAAGATGCATAAATGGACAGAAAAATTCCTCTTACAAGAAAAAAATGAAATTAAAAAATATAAAAGAATAAAGAAATGTTGTGGTGAAGAAGTGGATAAGGCACCTCGTCATGAGTTTGGTAATAATAAATTATAAATTAAGATCCTCCCCGCCATTCACAAACAGAATCACTGCAGTGAACCGCAGAAGCATGGCAACGACATTTGAAACGGGTGGTTTTCAACTATCGCGCCCAACTGCCTCAACGAACTTTTTATTCTCCGCCACTCTCAAACGATCGAAACCTGTTTCACTCCCTTCTTCTCGATTGTTCCATTGCCGATCGAAACGCCTCGTTTTGACGCTGAGAACCGCGGTGAAAGCCTGCGCCGTGAATGTTGAGGAGAAGAATGTCGCCGTGGAATCTGGAGAGTGGGGGAAGGTTTCAGCGGTGCTCTTCGACATGGATGGCGTGCTCTGCAACAGCGAAGAGCCTTCTAGAAAAGCCGGCGTCGATTTGTTCGCCGAGATGGGCGTCGAAGTCACCGTCGATGATTTTGTGCCGTTTACAGGAACCGGTATTTATCAACTAAGGCCTTTTCCCAATAGGTGGCTAAGATAAATAAGTTGATTTGAGTCCGTTACATTGATCAATTGTGTAGTCTTAATGTTTTGTTGTGAATTTTGTTTATGTTAAAAATATAGTCTTTAATCCTTCTTAATTGTTTTACTTCACCGAAATATTTATGGTGAAGTAAATTAGAGAAATAAAAAAGTGGATAGAAATTGTTGGTCAAGTTTGATCTAGTGATTACTTGGTAGCAAACTACAAAACTTTGGTCATCGTAGCTTTAGAAGAATTCCATTTCCTATCTGAAACTAGACAAAAGAACAAAAAAAAAAAAGAACAAATTTTATATTGTCATTTCGTTTTTTAAATTTCCTTATCTTTTAACTTCCATACTTGCAATATGTAGCATGTAGCAAAGAATGTGTTCGACATGCCTTTTTACGAATATACTTGCTGCAATTTTAATTTTCTTTTATCTGACTATGTTCATTGGCAGATAGATAAGCACCATTTTGTGTCGTTGTGTTGCTGATTTGATTATTAAGCTTTTAAGTGATTCATTGTTTTTTTCTTTTTTTTTTTTTTTAAACATGAAAGGCGAAGCAAACTTTTTGGGAGGTGTTGCTTCTGTTAAGGGAGTTAAAGGATTTGATCCAGAAGCGGCCAAAAAAAGGTTCTTTGAAATATATTTAGATAAGGTATTAATATGTTTCTTGATGCTACTTTTTATTGCTGCTACATCTACTCGATATTGCCTAAAGTGTTCTACTTATCTCAGTTTGCAAAACCAGACTCTGGAATAGGATTTCCAGGTGCCCTTGAACTAATATCTCAGGTACTTAAGACTAATCATGATATTAACTTTGTTTGATTGCTTTGCTGATTCATCAAGTAACTAAGAAAGGACATGGTACCGCATAACAGTGTAAAAGCAAAGGGCTTAAAGTGGCTGTAGCTTCAAGTGCTGATCGTGTAAAGGTTGATGCAAATCTAGCTGCTTCTGGTTTACCATTCTCAATGTAAGGCAACATTCTGGGTAATTTTTTGAATCTTAAAGGAGATATTGACCTACAAATAATTTTTTTTTGCTAGTACACTACACGTCATTGATATATGTATGTATGTATGGAACTTTTATTTTTTTTTTCTTAAATTTCTTAAATTAGTTATAACAACATTTAGGTATTAAAACATAATCCAAGATGAATTGTAAGTCCACTGCGTATTATATGCTAGGCTGTAGGATTTTTAATTTAAATGAGGTTTAAACAATATACAATCGCTCTTACATGTCCAGCCTAAGTTCATTATCTTGACTTTAATTGTAACCTACATTCTATAAATGTAGTTCTCACTGTACAATTGCATTTGTTTTATTAGGTTCGATGCGATTGTCTCTGCAGATGCTTTTGAGAATTTGAAACCTGCTCCTGATATTTTCTTAGCTGCATCGAGAATATTGAATGTGCCCCCTAGTGAGGTATATGCTATTAGATTGAGCTTATTATCAGAGGCCTATGTTTTTTTGGATGATTGACATTTTTTAGAGTGGTGATGTTTTATTGTTAAAGATGTAATATAAAACCAATCATTTTTGCCTTCACCTAAAATCTTAAGCTTTTAGGATAGTTAGTCTATGACATGGTATCGAAGCCTCTATGACCAGGTAGTCTAGGGTTTGATCTATCTTTCTCCCATTCTTCCAATAAAAAGTTAGATCTTAGCACACAGTGGTTTGGAGGAGTGTTTTGCACCCTGAGGAGTACTCTTGGATTACTAGGGGAGTATGTTTCCAAGAGGAGTACTCTTGAATTGTTTCCCATTTGTTCCCATCAATAACAATAATACTTAACTAGCATGAACCAGAAGAACATGATGAGGCCATTACTTAGCTTTTGGGTAATAAACTTATTGAATGTTTACTACTATGCAGGAGGTTGTCCTGAAATTCTTTCATGATAGCTTAAAACTATTTCTGGACTAAGATGCATCTGCAGTTACTACTAAGTGTGTGGACTCTTAAGTTTACCATGTCTCTTCTTGTTATGATTATCAACATCTAATAATTTATTGCCTAAGTTAGAGAAATATACCATTGAATTTGATATCCTACGTAAAATGATGGTTGTACTTTCTCTTAAACATAATAAGTAATCTCATCATACATAATTCCCAGTGTATTGTAATAGAAGATGCGCTAGCTGGAGTGCAAGCTGCCAAATCTGCTCAAATGAGGTAATTGACTTTTGTATTTCTTGTGTTAAAAGAAGATAATTACAAACCAAACCAATTTCTAGAGTCCAAAACCAGTATATGTTTACGTATTTGGGACAAAAAATATTTACATAATTTGTTTCATTGTTTGTAGATGCATAGCTGTAAGGACCTCATTATCAGATGAGGTTTTGGAATCTGCTGAGCCAACATTTATCCGGGATGACATAGGAAGTGTCTCACTTGATGATATTCTCTATGGTGGCTCTGTTGGATATAGTATGTAGTCTTGGGTGTTTGTTGTAAATCTATCTTTTTTCCTCCAAATTATTTTTGTTGCCATTGATGTAGAATTGGAAAGCCACATTTGGTCCATAATTTAAGAACTTTGAGCTACGAGTACTCCATGTATTGCAAATTGTTCTCACTTATTGCAAGACGCCCACTTTAATACTAGGCTGATTAGTCTTTTGGTAAAGTTGTTTGCTTCATTAAAGTATTCCTTTTAGTTAGGATAGTTATTTTTCTGACAATTGTTTTTGAATAGTGCGCAAGAGTGTAGATATTATATTGCACGAGGTCTTATCTAGACATGCCATTGCAGATGAGAGGATGCAGGGCTCTGAAACATTAAATAATTTTGCAGAGTCTTCATCAGCTGTGCTTGCTGGAGGGTAAGACAGTTTTATGTTGGAACCCTTTTTGTTTCCATTCTCCTGAATGCTAAAGATTTTCTTCCAAAAGCAAGTTCGGAAGGTATGCAGTCTTAGTATTATTTGCGTTGCTTTTAACGAATTATCATGGTGACGATGATGGATAGAAAAATACCCCCTGTATAGAATGAAAACATAGATTGTAATTAATACTAATTGTATTAACCTTTTTTGAGGGTTTATATTTTTCTGGTCTTAAATTCATTAAGTGTGCATTTGGTACACACTGATATGATTATAAAGAGAACAAACTATCAAATATAAGTTATAGGATAACTTTTTTATCGTGTACATTGTTTGATGGACAATGGATAACCCAAGCAACATAATTTGAAATTTACCCTTTTAATATTAGTTGTTAATTATCTTGACGATACAATTGATATTATTATTTATATTTTATAAAATAGTATTTATCATTATATTAAATATATACTATTAATATTATATAAAATATCATAAATATTAATATATATATATATATATATATATATATATATATATATATATATATATATATATATATATATATATATATATTATGTATGTGTGCATAATGTGATAACAAACATTGATGTTCTTTCTAAAAGCACGGAGAGACAGGCATGAATAGAATAACAATGGTGTCTATGTGAAACTTGCACAGTATTAAAATTGTAGGAGCGTCAGAATGGGAAATGGGGAGAGAAAAGAGAGATAGGGATATTTTTTTTCTTTTGAACATTTTGTACTTAGGAAAAAAAGTTTTTTCTTTAAATGGAATTGGCTTTTAATATATATTTTCCTATTTCGAAAAGGAAATATGAAAAGTAAAATCTAACGATCACCAATTGTAAAAGTTGAAATTAGTTGCTTCTGAACAGTAGCGTGATGTAATATAGTTCCAATTGCATTTATTCTCAATGTAAATAATTTTATGATTCATCAACTAGCCATGGAGGATTCCCATGAAGGGAATTCTGATGTTACAATTGTTTGGTGTCATTCTCCCATATGATGAATATTGCTTTCTGATGTATGTAATTTTATACCATGAAACTATTTATTGGTGTGGTATTTTTCTCCGAGCAACATAAAGTGCTTTTTGTTGATTTGCTATTATGAGGCTGCAGAAATAATTTATGGACAGGTTGCAGGGTTCTCGGCGCGATATACTGAGATTCGGAAGTCTGGGCGTTGCTATCTCTTGCCTGTTCTTCACCTTAAGTAACTGGAAGGTACATTGTTGTTGCACAAAATTTGCCTCATCCTTGGTTGCACCTTTTTAATCTCTTGGAGGGACAATTACTTTTCAAGTCGATCATGTGTAACTAGCTAATAGCTATACTGCAGGCAATGCAATATGCTTCCCCAAAAGCAGTTTGGAATCAGTTGTTTGGTGTTACCAAGCCACCCTTGGAGGAGAAAGAAGGTGAATTCACCGCTATCTTCCCATCTCATTGCTTTTGTTGATGATATATATAAATATGAATATGAAGGGCCACTGAATTTAATACTGCATGTTAGAAAAGGATAAATATCTCATTTCTGCTATAGGTGCCAAATCAAATTTTGGACCATAAAGTGATTGAAGCTTTATGGTCACGTCAAAGAAACAGTCAACCTGAGAACTTAAGCTGCTACATGCTAGATAGGACATATGAAACCTTTTATCTTACGATTAGTAGTTAAGTCTCTGGTCAAGTGTGCTGGTTAGCCTTTTTTCTTTATTTTTTTAGTTATACAAAAAGTTGAAGTGTAAGGCATAAAATTATCACTTTTTTGTTCTCAGATAACTCAAGATATGATAGGATCCAGCAATTTGTGAAGTACATATCTGATCTGGAAAGCAGGTAATTAGTGTTCTGATAAATTTACAGATAAACATTTTCTGATGATTGTAACCCTATGCTTATTTTATTATTAAATAGTTGCTTTCTCAATATTGTCCAAAATTTAACTTGGAAGAATATTTTCTATTGTCAGTTATTTTCTGTGTAGAATTGAAAGTACTACCTCCTACTTTGGAAATAAAAAACATTGATTGAATATTGAGCTACTGTAGAACTTGTAATTGTTATTAATATACTATGATTAATTTATTTTCACTATTCAAGGGGAAATGCTCAGATTGTTCCAGAATTTCCGTCTAAAGTTGATTGGCTGAATACAGCTCCACTTCAGTTTCGCAGGGTACTTATATTAAATTTGAATTGTAATATGATGAAAATTTCTGAGATAATTCATTAGGTTTTGATTCTAACTTTTGGCAGGATCTGAAAGGAAAAATTGTATTGCTGGATTTCTGGACTTATTGTTGTATAAACTGTATGCATGTTTTGCCAGACCTAGATGTTTTGGAGAAAAAATACAAAGATATGCCGGTAATTTCTTAAATTTTCTTTTCATACAGTCTTCTATATGAAAAGTCGTTTTACTTGTTCAGTTAATGTTTGATTTGAGAAAATGGGTTTGTTCCCTCCAAAGGGGTGAATGTGCACCATTTGATATCTGCTTTTTGTGTTCAGTTTGTTGTTGTGGGTGTTCATTCTGCAAAGTTTGATAACGAGAAAGATTCTGAAGCCATTCGCAATGCAGTTCTACGCTATGGAATTTCTCACCCGGTAAAATTTGAGCTTCGAGTCCAATTAATATTTCAAAGTATTTGTTTTTCTTTTTCTGAAAAATTGAACATTGGTCAGGTGGTTGTGGTCTGATGTTCAGTTTACCAAAAAATCAATGTTTTGGTTTGGTAGTTTATTCTGCTGGCATTTTGTTTATCGGTGTTCTTTGCTTTGATATGTAATTTTGTTAATTATTTGGGGCACTTGAACTTTTGTTTAATAAAGCATGCTCCACCAAATCTTATTTATTTCCTCCTTTAGGTTGTCAATGACGGAGACATGTTTCTTTGGCGGAACTTGGGTATAAATTCATGGCCAACATTTGCTGTAGTTGGCCCCAATGGTAAGCTTCTTGCACAACTAGCAGGAGAAGGTCACAAGAAGGTACTGATGACGATCTTTAGTCGCCTCTCCGGGTATTTTATTTTAAATTTTATTGTGATATTTTTAAATAATGGAAGATAATTCTAGGATTACACACATCTCAGGTGGTGTGCATAGTATGCCTTTTTCATTGCTGTTACTAGTTTGTGTAATACCAGAACTATGACTGTGGGTATTAGAGATTTAGTAGTGATAAAGAAAAAATTGTTACTGTGCTAGATAGCTGTATGAAAAACATTTATATTCATATTTGTCCTACTAATGAGTTGCACGGGTCTATCCATGGGATTGATGATTTTGGACCTTAAAAGACGGTCATACCTTCTGTTGCCTACAATTTAGGGTTTAGGGTATACATCTTTATATTATGCCTACGGTTTTTTAAGATTTTTTATTGTTATTGTAATTTATTTATTCATTTTATAGCGCCCAATTAGATCTATTAATACATGTAGTTATTGTTGTCATATCTGTTATTTTTCTTACAATATGGTGATAAAGTAAGTGTTGCATTATTCTTGTGTTGGAAAGGATCTAGATGATTTTGTGGAGGCCGCACTTCTGTTTTATGGAAAACAGAACATGCTGGACAATACGCCAATTTCCTTGAGTTTGGAGAAAGATAATGATCCACGCCTGTTGACTTCTCCATTAAAGTTTCCAGGAAAGCTAGCAATTGATGTCCTTAATAACAGGCTTTTTATTTCCGACAGCAACCATAATCGCATAGTGAGTGCTCTACAATCATAATCGCATAGTGACCGCCCATATCCAATACCTTCTCTTTTTTATTATGCAGCTTGTGGTTATTTACTAGAATTAGCAGTAAGTCATCTGGTCATGTTTGTTATTCAGGTGGTTACTGACCTTGATGGGAATTTTATTGTACAAATTGGGAGCAGTGGGGAGGAAGGTTTGCAGGATGGTTCCTTTGATGATGCTACTTTTAACCGCCCTCAGGTACAAAATAAAGTAGCACACTCTATGCTTCTAGTGTATTTAGTTCTTGCTTAATTGTAGCATTTCATCAACATAGATTTTTTCTTTCCCTAGGGCCTTGCTTATAATGCAAAGAAAAATATCCTTTATGTTGCAGACACTGAAAACCATGCTTTGAGGTACATGACAATCCATAGTCTTATTTTGATTTTTGTGATATATGTGAAAGCATCTGGTTAGTGCTTTATGGATATTTTAGTGGTAATTCAGTAGTAGAAAACAGCTGAAAGACTCTAACTTTGTGAACTATATGCCATGCCTGCTTCATAATACCAAGATTGATCCGCTCATAATTTCATTCTTAGAAAGTTTAAGAAAATATTTGTTTGATTTTGATAAAGGAACGTTTTAGTGCTGTATTCATGTTGAATGTGAGTCAAGCTGTTAAGTGGATCAATTTATTAATTAAAAATACAACAATAAGAATTTTCTGTTCAATATTTGTTTTTTTTTAAAGGGAAATTGATTTTGTTGATGAGAAAGTGCGGACCCTTGCTGGAAATGGGACCAAGGGCTCTGACTATGTTGGAGGTGGAAAAGGAGACACACAGGTAATAGAATTGATTTCTTAAATATTGAGGATGAGTGGCATTTGCAAAGATATGCTAAGGATATAAGATGAACCACAAAGTTAGACTCCTCTATTTCTCTCTTTTTCCAGCTTCTCAATTCCCCTTGGGATGTCTGCTTTCATCCATTAGAAGAAAAAATTTATATTGCCATGGCTGGCCAACATCAGATTTGGGAGCATAATTTATCGGAAGCAACTACGAGAGCATTTAGTGGTGATGGCTATGAAAGAAATTTAAATGGATCAAGGTAACACGTCAAAATAATGATGTCCTTCCTGATGCCAATAATAATTTCTGTGGGAAATCAAATAGTATTTTAGGAAAGAATAAATCAGGAAATATACAAATTTCCTTGTAATCTGTACAAATTTGAATAATTAGGAACAATCCCATAAATCAAAGGATCCTAGCATAAAATAGAGTTATTATATTTCCTAAAATAGTTTAGGTCTCCTGTATATATCTTATATCATCTCTTTGTATTGATATAATAAAAATATCATATTTCAGTTAATCTAATTTTCCAGATGGTATCAGAGCTTCCGATCTAGGAAGCTCTGTCTGCGCGCGATAAACCCTAAGACGGCAGTCTGCATTGCTACTGCATATTTCTTAACCCTAAGACAGCAGCCTGTATTGCTGCTGCATTTTTTTTAACCCTAAGACGGCAGCCTACATTGCTGCTGCATTTTTCTTAATCCTAAGACGACAGCCTGCATTGTTGTTGCATTTTTTTTTAACCCTAAGACGGCAGCCTGCATTGCTGCTGCATTTTTCTTAATCCTAAGACGACAGCTGCATTGCTGTTGCATCGCACCTTTTTGCTATAATGTCAAGGGAAGAAGAGATAGAAAGGGTGAAAACCATTCTTAGTAAGCTGGAAAAACCTACAGGTATGTGTTCTTTGGCATACTCAGGTAAGTTTCCACCTTCTTTTGGATTAAATGTTTCAGATACGCCTTTTAAATATTATTGGATATTGGACTCTGGAGCCACAGATCACATGACACCATTAGCCAAACACTTCTCCACATATTTCATGTCTCAGCAACAAGAAAATTGCCACAGCAGATGGAACCCTTATAACTGCAGCTGGTCAAGGAAATATCCAAATCAATCCTTTAATAACCTTAAAAGATGTTCTCCATGTCCCAAAGTTGTCCACGAACCTAGTGTCTATACAAAAACTTATAAAGGATTTGTCATGTTAAGTTGTTTTTTTCAACGATCATTGTGTATTTCAAGACAAGGATTCGGGGAGGATGATTGGACATGCTAGAGAATGGAATGACCTTTATTATCTCGAAGATCCAAGTCTGCCCAGCAAAAATAGAATCTCTCACTCCTTCATATCTGAATCCTTGATGACCAACAGAGAAAAAATCATGCTTTATCATTTTCAGTTGGGACATCCCTCTTTTGGAGTGATCAAAATTATGTTTCCCTCTTTGTTTACCAAGTTAGATGTTGAGAGTCTTCATTGTGAGGTGTGTGAACTTGCTAAGCACAAGCGTATATCTTTTCCAATAAGTAATAGAATTAGCAATTTCCCTTTTTATCTTGTTCATACTGATGTATGGGGATCTTCTAATATTCCAAATGTGTCTGGTACTCGATGGTTTGTCACCTTTATAGATGACTGTACAAGGGTCACTTGGGTTTTCCTACTTAAACAAAAATCAGAAGTCAGTTCTGTCTTCCTAAACTTCCACTCCATGATAAAAAATCAGTTTGGTGTTAATATTAAGAGGCTTAAGTCAGATAATGCCAAAGATTACTTCAATCATGTCCTTAATTCTTTTTGTCAAAAAGAAGGTATAATTCATGAGTCCTCTTGTGTCAAAACACCACAACAAAATGGGGTCGCAGAGAGGAAAAATGGACATCTATTAAATCAGACTCGGGCATTGTTGTTCCAAAAAAGTGTCCCAAAAAATTTCTGGGGGGAAGCTGTCCTTACAGCAACATACCTTATCAATAGACTACCCTCTAGAGTCTTAGGATCAAAAAGCCCTATGGAAGTTTTGTCGTCTTTCTATCCAAACTTGTCTACTACAAATAATCTTAAACCAAGAGTGTTTGGGTGCATCTCATATGTCCATATTCATAGTACAGACAAGGGGAAACTTGATCCTAGAGCCTTAAAGTGTGTCTTTGTTGGTTACTCACCCACTCAAAAAGGGTATAAATGCTACCACCCCCCATCCAAAAAATTCTGTGTCTAGGGATGTTATCTTCAATGAACAAGAGGGCTATTTCCATCAACCTTATCTTCAGGGGGAGAGTTTTATGGAAGATAAGGAAAGTAGTAATTCTGGTTTTCCCATTCTTCCAGACTTGACATTTGAACCTAAATGAAATCATATTGAATGTAGTAATTCTGGTTTTCCCATTCTTCCAGACTTGATATTTGAACCTAAACGAGATCAAATTGAAGATCAAATTGAAGTTGTAACAAATGAAACAAGTCAATAAATTGGTCAAGAAAATGAAGTTGGTCAAGAAACTAAAATTAATTGTGAAGTTGATCAAGAAGATGTTGAAGCTGATCAAGAAGATGTTGAAGCTGGAAAATTTGGTAAGAAGCTGGTATACTCAAGGAAGACTAAGGCCATTTCAGGATCAAGCCATGTTCAAGAATCCAACTCGACTCCACAAAAAGAGGTAACAATTTTTTCTCCAACTGTGCAGGTTGAAATTGAAACCCAAAATGATCCTGACCTCCCAATTGCCATTAGAAAAGGAACAAGAAAATGCACCAAACAGCCACTCTACCCTCTCTCAAATTACCTGTCCTTTAAAAATTTCTCTCCTACCCATAAAACCTTTCTAGTAAACCTAAACACTGCACTTCTACCTAATACCCTATCTGAGGCATTGTCTGACAGAAAATGGAGGCAAGCCATGGATGTAGAGATGGAGGCATTGGAGAAGAACAACACCTGGGAGTTAGTCTCCTTACCAATAGGAAAGAGTCCAGTTGGATGTAAATGGGTCTATACAGTGAAATACAAGGTGGATGGATCAATTGAGAGATATAAGGCAAGACTAGTTGCCAAAGGGTTCACCAAAACCTATAGAGTTGATTATTTGAAGACCTTTGCTCCGGTTGCCAAAATGAACACAGTTAGAGTGATATTGTCCCTTGCTGCCAATTATGGTTGGAACTTGGAACAATTTGATGTTAAGAATGCTTTCCTACATGGAGACCTTGAAGAAGAAATTTATATGGAGATACCTCCGGGATAAGGTAAAGATGTTGTTGCCAACACTGTTTGCTAGTTGAAAAAGGCATTATATGGGTTAAAACAGTCCCCCCGTGAATGGTTTGGCAGGTTTACTAAAGTTATGACAGGTCTGGGTTACAAACAAAGCCAAGGGGACCATACTTTGTTTTTTAAACATTCCAAGTCAGGGGGAGTAACAATATTATTGGTGTATGTGGATGACATAATATTAACTGGAGATAATAAAGAAGAGCAGCAATTATTGAGCCAATGCTTAGGCAAGGAATTTGAGATCAAGACCTTGGGAAAACTAAAATATTTTTTGGGAATTGAAGTTGCCCACTCTGAGAAAGGGATATTTATATCTCAGTAGAAATACATCCTGATTTGCTCAAGAAAACTGGCAAGGCTAGTACCCCATTAGAACCAAACCTAAAACTTGAAAATGCAGAAGAAGATGTTGCTGTTGAAAAAGATATGTACCAAAGATTAGTGGGCGAGACTTATATATTTGTCGCATACCAAGCCGGATATTGCCTATGCAAGTGAGTTTAATTAGCCAATTTATGCATAGCCCAAAGGAGACCCATTTACAAGCTGCCCACAAAATTTTACAGTACCTTAAAGGAACTCCAGGAAGAGGGATTCTATTCAAAAGGAATGGTAATGTGAAGCTTGAAGCCTATACTTATGCCGATTATGCGAGGTCAATTGTGGATAGGAGGTCAACTACGAGGATATTGCACCTTTCTTGGAGGAAATCTTGTGACTTGGAGAAGCAAAAAGCGAGGTGTAGTGGCTCTGGTCCAAGTCTTGAGCGGAATTCCGAGCCATGGCACAAGGTATATGTGAGTTGCTATGGCTTAAAATCATCTTAGAAGACTTGAGGATAAAGTGGGAAGAACCTATGAAGCTCTATTGTGATAATAAGTCAGCAATCAAGTATAGCCCACAACCCGAGTGCAGCATGATAGAACAAAGCATATTGAAGTAGACAGACACTTCATCAAAGAAAAGCTTGATAGTGGCTTGATATGCACTCCATATGTGTCCTCTCAAGACCAAATTGCGGACATTCTTACCAAGGGACTGGGCTGCCATAATTTTGAGAAGATTGTATCCAAGCTGGGAATGGAAAACATCTATTCACCAGCTTGAGGGGGAGTGTGGGAAATCAAATAGTATTTTAGGAAAGAATAAATCAGGAAATTTGTATATTTCCTTGTAATCTGTACAAATTTGAATAATTAGGAATAATCCCATAAATCAAGAGATCCTAGCATAAAATAGAGTTATTATATTTACTAAAATAGTTTAGGTATCCTGTATATATCTTATATCATCTCTTTGTATTGATATAATAAAAATATCATATTTCAGCTTAATCTAATTTTCCATAATTTCAGTTTTTCTTCCGTGGATTTTATTATAGTAACGTATGAATTTGAATACCATGATGCTCCAAATGTCACTATTTTGCAGTCATTATGCATATCTTTATGCTATATTGATACATATGGTATTCAAAAACAATCTGTCTGCATCCCTCCTGTAATTTCTTAAGTTGCTTCTCTAGTATATCTATACTCACCTCTTCTATTGACTATCAATATGGTTCAACATTTCTCACCCTGATGATTTGATATTTCCTATTACTATTTTATAATATGTTCATCAGGAATCAACTGAGGGCTTATGTTATTGTTATTTATACACACAGTGTCATGATTTGTTTGGTGTAAACTTACACTGGATTGTTGTATAATTGTTGGGAATGTTGGTGTCCTTTCCTTGAAGCACTTTCAGTAACCTGGGAATTGAATCGGTCATTTTAAGAAACGGCTTAAATATGACATTGAGTGATGTGCATTAAGGATCTGTTTGTCTGTGTTTTTTAATGAAAAATTGTTTTTTGATTAAAAACAAACATTTTTAAAATGATAATAACTAAAATAGTTTTGTTTGAAAAAGGAAAAAACATAAGAAAGTTATTTTAGTGCTTTTCTCATAAGCTTAAAACAGTAACTTTTGAAAATAACTCTACAAAATAATTTGTTATAGAAGTATTTTTTTCAAGCTTAAACAATCTGGCCTTTGTTTTTTCCCTAGTTTTTTTTTTGTCATTTCGAATTTAAATGGTTGAAGACTCTTTGGTTGTTCAAGCCTTGTCTAATTCTAAGATGGTTTCTTGCACGTTGAGAAACAAATGGATTAATGGACAGTAGCTCCTCAAGGATATACTTTTTTTTAGAGTATTATCTCATATCATATATATAGAGAGGGAAATAGATGTGCGGTTGCATCTTATGCAATTAGGAACATTGGTTATTTTTGGTGGGATAGCATTCCTCCCACTGTATCTTATTAGAGATTCTAGTGGGTTTTGTCTGACCCCCACTTTTGTTTTGTTTCTACTTTTTCAATAATATTTAGGCACGGTACAAATGATTGTTACTAGCTAAAGTGCCAACCTAGTTGGAATTGTTGCTAGTATAGAGATGCCAATGCATACTTGTTTCATTAAAAAAATATTTAATGTCTTGAAGGGTCAATATTTTGAGAAAAACTTGTATAAGAAAAACTATATAAAAATCTCAATCTTTAATTTTTCACCCTGAATTTGGCTAATTTAAGGGGATACAAACTAGTGAAAAATTCAGGAACGAGCTTTAAATGAAAAATTCACCTGCTTTTAAGGGGACAATGAAATTGATTTTATTGCCAATGATGGCTTTATTTTTCGTTTTAAGGGAAAATATGTGTTGTGCTTGGTTGGGCCATGGTTTTGAAATTATTGGTTACAGTTTATTCCATGTATTGTGGTGATTTTTCAGCTCTGAAAAACTTCTGATTAATGCTTACTTAATCATGTTTTGACTGAGATAGTCCTACAAACACGTCATTTGCACAACCTTCTGGTCTTTCATTGTCTCAAGGTAACCTGTGACAACAATTTAATTGAACTTGGTTTTACATTAACTGTCATTCATAATAATAAATGTTTCACTTGATTTTGCATGATAAGATCGAAGAAAGATCTACATAGCTGATAGTGAGAGTAGTTCAATTCGAGCTGTGGATCTGAAAACAGGAGGATCTCAGTTGTTAGCTGGTGGTGACCCCATGTTCGCTGAGAATTTGTTTAAGGTAGTTTTGATATAATTTGAGATATCAGTTACATAGACTTATCTTCAATAATTCAGTTTAATTATAAGAAGGAAAAAACATTGCAGTAGATGAGCTTGGTTTTAATGATATAAATGTTCTTCAATCTTCAAACACACAGCCACACAACTTTTATTACGGATATATCATATATTTAATAGCTTTCTCTTTAAAAAAATTCTCCTGATGACATACCTTTATATTCTTAAACCTCTACAGTTTGGTGATCAAGATGGAATAGGCTCTGACGTACTTCTTCAACATCCATTGGGGGTTATGTGTGGAAATGATGGTGAAATTTATATCGCAGATAGCTATAATCACAAGGTAGACAACTTAGACTCATTTACTTTTGAATTGTCATGGCTCTGGCATGTATCTTATTGAGATCTCTGACTGAGTTATATAACTAACGTATCCCAGTACCAAAGGCTCCTCGCTAAGCAAAGGTATGGGGGAGGATTGTAGATAGCCTTACCCTTGCATATGCAAAAAAGCCCTTTGAACCCCTGACCAACCGATATATATATATATATATATATATATATAAGAATGATTGTTTTGAATATTTTACATTTTCCTGTGTCTTCATATTCATTGTCCAATTTGTATAGTTACTGAAGTTTCCGACAATTCTCTCCTCATCCTTGTTGTATTGTCCTCAAAAGGCAAGGGTTGACTTGTCATCCCGCTGGTTTCTATTAAGAATCAATATTTGGTGTCAGGCAGGTTTAAATTTCTTTTTAATTAGATATCTACTTTAACCTTCTTTATGTCAAATCTCTCGAGGGTAGCTAATTCTTTTTCTACATACCTGGTTTGGTCTTATACGTGATTTAATACTAAACATAGTCAGATACTCAGATTTATGTCATCAAACTTACCTCTTGGAGCTTTGAAGTCATACATGATACACCTCACTTAGACACAATTTAATTAGTTGGATACTTAGACTTTAGCTCCATTATCCTCATTGACTGAATTTCCTATTTTCCTTCTCTCTGTTATGTTTTAAATTATCAGATCAAGAAGCTAGATCCAACTAGTAAAAGAGTTAGCACCATTGCAGGAACTGGAAAAGCTGGTTTCAAAGATGGAACAGCTGTAAAAGCTCAGGTTGGTAAAATGTTCTATGCTATTTTCCTAAATCTTCTCGTAGTTAAATTCCAGTTTATACCCTTGTTATAAAATGCTGAATTGTCTATACAAGACATAATGCAGTTGATTCCTTTTTTCTTTCAGTTTAGTACCTGTGGGTGTGTAACTGTCAATTGTTTCAAAGGTAGATTGAATTTAATGAAATAGTTTTTGGTGGCATACAGTGGGCTTGCATGAGCTCAATTTTTGTGAAAAATGACTAACAATTCTTCTAGTATTTGGAATATCAGATGCTCTCTTCCTATTATTCTTCTACATGTTGTTTAATAACCACTAGACTCTCAAAGAAAACCACCACAGATATATTGATGCAGCTTAGTAACACTTAATGATATTTACACTATCTTGAAATATGCAACAGGTTTCCTGGGATTTATTCTATTTATGTGGTTTACACTCTTTTTGTTAGTTTTTTTCTCTCTATACTATCAGGAAAAACCAAAGTTCCACATTAACTAGATATAGAACCTTAAAAGAATATATAAGTAGGGGTCAACCCTTACCTTAGAAGTCAATTTTTTGGGATTGAGTTAGATTTAATCCAAATTTTAAAATGGTCTGAGTTTATCTTAAATCCACTAAAAGGGTCACCTACTATATTCTCCATGCACAAAACTCAATAAAGTTGGTCATGAAGAGGTGTGTTTGGAAATATCCGAGTTCCATATAGTATTATGTAAGTGGGGATAATTCTCACTTTACAAGTTTGTTTTGTGGAACTGGGATAAACGCAAACCCAAATTTAATGAGTTTCTTCTAGAAGGATTTCTTATTTTCTTTTTCTGTCCTAAAAAGGGCAAAAGTGAAGAAATTTGTGCTTTTTGATATTGTCAATATGTCCAAGTCTTGTTTCTACTTCTTTTATTCTGTACATCTATTATTTAATAGAAAACATTTCACATATTTGGAGGCTTTTTTTTCCCTAGCCATCCTTTCACCAGTCCAGTTGAAGATAAAACAAGATGTTTCTTGTGTTCTCAATATAAATGCAGATCTCACTCCTAATATGAAACGTGATATATTTTATCATTTTTCTTGCAGCTCTCTGAACCGTCAGGAATTGTTGAAGGGAAGAAAGGTACTGATCTGTTTACTGCAATCTAATTCATTGTTTTTAATGCTTTCACATGTTACTGCTAATGAATCTAAGATGGAATAGAAACCTTTACATACATGTATATTGTAGAGTGTGAATCAAGTAAGAGAAGTATATTATTAGGAGTGAGAAATAAATTATAACTGCTGGATCATTCATATAGGATCTTTAACTTCTAATCTCAATCATCCATGTGAGATTGAGTGGTTAAGATTTGCTTCTCTCACTCTCACTTATAATCACTTATAATAAGATAAAACTATCACTTTATAAGGTACACTCACTCATTCACGAAATCACTTGCTCTGAATGAGAATGTGCACGATCTCTGCGTGATTTGAATTGCTAAGTAGGGTACTGATGCCCAACATTTAAGGGAACAAACACAATGATTTATTTGTCTGACAAAAATGTTAGAGAAGAGTAATTAGAATTTTCACAGAGCAGTTTCCAAGTTCTTGCACTTCCTTTGTATATTGTCAAGTCTTTGAATGATGTGTAGAGTCAGTCTATAACGGCATCACTTGGAAATGGTCAAATGAGTTAGAGAAGTGATAGCTGTCAGTAACAACGGTCACAAACTCTTGTTAAGCAGTTAGATTTGTAGTAACTATCTGGTATACTGACTATAATTTTTTCAGTTTCTCTCAAACTCTAATATGGTACCCAGAGCTTGAAGGTCCTGCTATGGCTCCTAATCCTTTTTCTCCTTTCTCTGCACCTATTGTCTTCGCACAGTCTATTTCAAAAAAACTTGATGACAAAGACTTCTTATTATGTTGCCAACAAGTAGAGCTTGTTATCAAAGTATACCGTTTTCAACATTCTCTTGTTTATTCCAAAATCCATTGGGGTTTGTCAATGAAAGTGATAGAGATGAAAGCAATATCAATCTTGCATACAATGCTTGGGAGAAACAAGATCAAATGCTCCTTGCCCGATTCCAATAGTCCCTTTCAAGCTTCATCATGTCTTGTTTTCTTGGCAGCATGCACTTCTATCAACAATGGAAGTAAATACACAATTATTTTCAAAATCTGACTCATGCAAAGGCTCGTCAATTACACATTGAATTACGATCCACAACTCCATAATCCAAAACCGTTTCAGAATTTCTACCACGAATCAAGGCTCTAACAAAATAGCTGGTCTCCATTTGTGATCCGATTACACCCCATGAGCACATTTATGTGGTTCTTGAAGGTCTATCATAATGTTAATGCTCAGCTATTGAAAGAAAGCAAGTTTTAACCGTTCCAATTAAAGATGTTGAAATGCTCATCCTCACACATGAGATGCACCTTGAGAATTTCGCAAGTTTTCTTTGACACTAATGTCAATCTCATTGAAATGACACCGATGAATTCATCTTCAAATCAACAATCTAGTTCTTTCTACATCTACATAACTTCATGTTATGCAAAACTTTGGAGCTGAATCTTTCAATCAGGGATTTTTCAGTTTTGGTCATGGTTGTGGTGGTGATGGTACTCCAACATACAATGCCAAATATGCTTCAACTTTGGACATATTGCTACATGATTGCCATCGCTATGATCAGTCCTATTAGCCACAAGTCAATATGTCCAAGGATTCCAAGGTTCTCAGAATTTAAATGTTCCTCAAGTGTTTAACCCTAATTCCTTTCCTGCACAGGGTGAAATTTTATCGCACTTTGCTCACTTCATGGCATCCATCTCCTGGACAGGGTGAAAATTTAACTAACAACATTATTGCTCCCGACAATGTTGTATCCTGACTCTGGAGCTTCGTTTCATCTAATTAATGAGTCAAAATATTCAATAGCTTGGTAGGTCTTGACCAAATTTTCATTGGAAATGGACAAAGTTTGACTATACACTCTTTGATTCATCTCAAATTCCCTCTCCCTTAAACCTTAACATTTCCCTTCATGTTCCCTCTATCACAAAAAAAGGTTATTAGCTTTAGTTAATTTTCCAAAGATAACTTTGTCTATTTTGAATTTTACGCAGATCACTGTTTTGTTAAATATGAGGGAACTAATGAAATTCTGGTTTGTGGTCAGGTTTGTCTAGATGCTTTCTATAATTTCTCACACTTCAACTTCAACTTACTCTTTGCCAACCAACACAACTAGCCGCTTAGTTTCTAATATTGTATCTTCAAATAGTCATTTTGTGATAGGATAGACTAGGACATCCCAATGACCACCCTGAAAGTTGTTTGTTAAAGATGTGATCTAATTACATCAAGTAAGGAAATATGATATGATTTGATTACATCAAATAGAGAAATATCGTAAAAAATATTTCTCATTATTAATTGTTGATTTGGTTCCTTACTAGTATATCTCTTCTTCATTATAATTAAGAATATACTCATGTGTGTACACTACACAATTACAAGCAATTCTTTCAACATGGTATCAGAGTTGTACCATCCTCCATGACTTTTTCCCTGGACGTATTGACCTTGACTTTGTCGCTCGAACATTCTCCAATAAACAATATGCACTACCACATTTTTTCTCTTTGGCAGCCTTCACTTCCTCTTAGCATTTTTGCTCTTCAGCAACAGTTGCACTCAAGAATTGTCTCCCTCTGGCAACTGTCGTGTCCTCCAATCATTATCCTTGAAACAATTTTGCACTCCAACAACTGCCATACCTTTCAAGTTTTTTTTTTTTGTCTCTCCAGTTGCCACTATACCTTTAAAGCATTTTTGCTATATATTTTTCTCTTCAATAGTTGTTGTCCTTTATGATTATTTTTTCTCCTACAATAATTGTGCCCTCCGAGAATTTTTCCTCTCCGACATCCACTGCACTTTCTGAACATTTATTTTCTCCACGGAAGCACCTGCGTTCATAGAGCACTTTTGCTCTTTAGCAGTTGTCACATCCTCTAAGCAATTTTGCTTTCCTACTGTCACTAGTTTTCAAATCATTTTTGCAGGCAATTATTGTACCTTTTGAGATTTTTATGCTCTTCAAGCTGTTCTGGCCGTTGTGACCTTTGATGCAATTCCGCGAGCCTTCATTCTCTGACGACCACTACATTACATTGATGGGCAACCATCACCATGTGTTGCTAGTTCGAGCAAGAGACTGATTGACATGCTTACCAGTTCTTGCTTTGATGACATTTGTATAAAGCTTCACTCATAATTTATATGCTACAAATTAGGAGGAACTGTTAAAGATATGATTTAATTACTTTATATGATATGATTTGATAACATCAAATAGGGAAATATTGATATAGTTCTAGGATTTGTAATGAATAGAAGAACCAAGAATGAATTCTGATTTTACTGTTATAGAATGAAGATTACATACATTTCTGGAAAACAAAATAGAATTATGCTATCTTTCAAGAGTCCCCACTACTAATTATATACATACAATGACTTATTGCTAACAAACTTGCAAAATCACTACCTATTGACACGTGGCTCTGGACACTAATCAATTATCTCTTATTAACAGGTGGCTATATTCTAATCCGTCCTTCCTAACGATACGAGTCAGTACATTAATCCTGCATCAATCCCTTCCTCTTAAACAAATCTTTTACCTCAAGGATTGAATCCTGGAAATTTCCTCTTCAAATCATAGTAAAACTCCCAGGTAGCATCCTGTAGAAGCTGATGTTTCCACTTGATGAACACCTTTGTTACAATCTTATTACCTCTTTTTACTGTTATCCTATCGAGTATAGCCTCAGGTTCCTTGTGAATAAGTTCCTCATCAGTGCTTGGGCAATTTACGGATGTTGGTATTTCTCCAACAAATTTCTTGAGTTGTGAGATATGAAACATGTTGTGGATCAGAGAATTGGGGGGAAGTTGAATCTTGTAAGCCATCGCCCCAATTTGATCCAAAACAGGGTAGGGCCATAGTATTTAGGGGCTACTTTAACATTGCTTCTAAATGCTATAGAAACTTGTCTACAGGGATGTAGCTTCACATAAACCAAATCTCCCATCTGCAACTTCCTATCAGTCCTATGCTTATCTGCTAACTGCTTCATTCTATCTTATGCCCGTTTCATGAAATTTCACCAATTTTAACATTTCCTCTCTTTTCTGCAGACTTCTATCCACCAATTCAACTCTAGATTCACCTAGTAGGTAGGGAAGGTAAGTAGGTGGGGACCGTCTATATACTATTTCATGAAAGTTGACTTTAATTGAACTGTGGTAGGTTGTAGTATACCACCATTCAGCTAAAAGAAGCCATTTAGACCATTGTTTAGGATTGTCAGAACACATGCATCTCAAATAAGTTTCCAAGGACCTATTAGCCACTTTCGATTGTCTGTCTGTTTGTGGATGATAAGTAGTAGACAACTAAAGTTGCACTCCTTGGTAAGCCATGAACTCCTGCCAAAATCGACTGATAAAGATAGGATCCCTGTTACTTGTTATAGAATTAGGAAACCCATGCAGTTTGAATACATTATCCATAATGCATTGGACTATATCAGCAGCAGAATAAGGATGTTGGAGACCCATGAAGTGTGCAACTTTACTAAGCCTATCTACTACCACAAAAATAACTTATTTGCCCCCCGAATCAGGAAGTCCTTCTATGAAGTTCATTGTAATGTGCTGCCATACATGCTCAGGTGGGCAAAGGTTGCAGTAGCCTCGGGTAATCAGTGGAGTCATATTTGCACCTTTGACAAGTCTTTCATTAATGAATAAACTTTTTTACATCTTTGCATATTCCTTTCCAAAATACAACTCTCTTAATCCTTTGTAAGGTTGCATCTCTACCGCAATGGCCCTCACAACCTGAAAAATGTAGCCACTACAGAATGTCTTTCCTTAATTCCAGGTCTTTACCAATCACTAACCTATCCTTCCTTTTTAATTCCTTTCTCTGCCAAGAGAAGTGTTTATGTGTACTGGGATTATTTTGAAACTCTGAAATAAGTCTTTGAACATCTAAATCAGATTGTCATGAAGCTTTAATTTTAGTGATCATGTCAGAATCAGGTTGAACCATCGAGATAGCATTACTCTCAAGTAAGCTTCTTCTAGATAATGCATTAGCAACCAAATTCTTCTGACCCTGTTTGTACTCTATGCAAAAATCAAATTCCATGAGCTTTACCAACCATTTTTGCTGGAATACTGTAGCTAGCCTTTGATCCAAAATATACTTAAGGCTCTTATGATCTGTTCTGATTACAAATTTCTTAGGTAATAAGTAATGTCTCCACTTCTGTACTGCAAAGACGATAGCTAGCAATTCTTTCTCATAAGTGGATAGAGACTGTTGTTGCACATTCAAGCAGTGACGGATCTTGACCATTGATCTTGGAGGGACCAAATAATATATTATTAATAAATAATAAATAAATATAAAAGGAAGTAAGAAGATGAAAGAGTGAAAGGACAAAATTGTAAATATATACTTAAATATATTAAATGATCAATAAATTTGAAGGAGACAAAATCATAAATTATATGAGAGTTATAAAACTGAGGAGGGGTTGAGAGGATAAAATTGTAAATATACAAGTAAATATATTAAATGTTCATTAAGTTTGGGGGGGCAAAAATCATAAATTACATGGGAGTTACAAAACTTTGGGGGGGCCACGGCCCCCTCAACTCCCAAGAAGATCTGCCACTGCATTCAAGCTTCTACTAATAAAAGCTATGTGATGATTATCGTGCATTAAAATAACTCCAATACCTGTACTTAAAACGTCGGTTTCAACTACAAAATCCTTCTCAAAATTAGGTAAAGCAAGGACCGGGTGCTGAGATTAATAGATTCTTCAATTTTTGGAAGACTAACTTAACCTAGTAGAAGATATCTTTCCTAAGCATATCCGTAAGAGGCTTGGCCACAAAAGCATATTTATGCACAAATCGTCTATAATACCCAGCTAATCTAAGGAATCCTCTTACATGTTTCAGAAATTGAGGTAGAGGTCATTGCTTAATTGCTTCAATTTTTACTGGATTGGTTGCAACACCCTCACTTGAAATAAAATGTTCTAGATATTCCACTCTAGATACTGCAAAATAACATTTAGATTTTTTGGCCTACAAAGAACTAGACCGCTTGGTAGAAAAGATAGTATGTAAGTGACACAAATGATCTTCTAGTGATTTACTATAAATGAGAATATCATCAAAAAATACTAGCAAGAATTTTCTCAAGTAGTCCTGGAACACAACATTCATAAGACCTTAAAATGTAGTTGCTGCATTTGTTAGACCAAAAGGCATACCAAGTATTCAAAATGATCCGCATGAGTCTCAAAGGCTGTCTTGTATACCTCATTTTCATCCATCCTCACCTGATTGTAACCGAACCTTAAATCTATCTTAGAAAACAACTTGGAACCATGTAATTCATTTAGAAGATCATTTACAAGAGGAATTGGAAATCTATTCTTCACTGTAGCTTTGTTCAATTCCCTATAGTGCACACAAAGTCGCCAACTACCATCTTTTTCCCCTACCAGTACAACTAGGCTAGAATATGAGCCACTACTGTTTTGGATTATGCCTGATTGCAAATACTCCTTTACCAGGCAATCAATGATATCTTTCTGGTGTTTAGCATATCTATAGGGTCGCTTATTCACAGGAATAATGTCTGGAATCAATGGGATCTTGTCGTCATGCGTAAATCTAACAAGGGGTAAGTCGGTAGGTTCCTGGAAAATATCATCAAAACTACATAGTAATGTTGCCACGCTAGTGGGTATGGTGGATTCAAGCCATGAGTAGTAAGGGAATTCAATAGCAGCTCCTCCCTTCCATCACACAACTGTAGCATAGATATATGCACCCCCGATGAAAGTGTTTTATGCAATTGTTGTTTCCGTATAGTTTTAAACTTATCAGTAGAAGTCCCTCTTAGTACATGTCTCCTCCCCTGAGTAATAAACTTCATAGTTAGCTTGTCAAAATTTCAAGTAATGTCACTGAGTGTTATTAACCATTCCACCCCAAGCACTAGGTCACAATAGCCCAAAGGCAACAACATCATATTAAAAGAAAAACTAGTATTATGGATCGTCCAAGTAAAACTCTTAACCATATTCAAAATTTGAACCTTAGCTGCATCAGCAACAACTACATTTAAGGAAGAGATTCTATTAATTCTACATCCCAATTTTTTTGCCATATGCAGATCTAAAAAATTATAAGTACTACCACTGTCAATGAAGATGTGAAGGTTTTTTTTGTAATAACCTGTGACTCTCATAGTTCTAAAACCAACAACCCCAGTTAAAGCATTTACTGATATTAGAGGTTCATTACATGAGGAAACAACTATTTCTTTACTCAGAACATCTTCCCCTTCAGAATTTGAATTATCATCAACCTCCATAACATTTATTCGAAGTTTCCTGTGAGTTAAAAAATGTTCGGGTGTAAAAGGTTCATAAAAATAACATAACCTTTTTGCTCTTCTTTCACTCATGTAGGCAAGTGTAAGGTTTTTTATAGATGGTGTTTTGGGTTTAGATGTTTCAGGTGGTGTTGGTAACAAGGGTGCTTTAAAGGAGATACTAGGCTTTGCGAATTTAGAAAACAATTTATATTTGGGGTTAGAAATAACAACAAATTCATACATCTTAGCCAAAGAAAAAGCTTTCCTAATAGAAATAGGCTAGAACATCCTTACCATCATTCATACCTCTTGTTTAAGGCCTCCCAAGAAGCAACTAAATTGATGTGCCTTTGACAATTCAACCCTTGATATAATGGCATCAAACTGTTCATGAAATTTTGTCACTGATCTTGTATGTCTTAACCTCATCAATTCAACCATACGTTCTTCACAAATTTCACCAAATCTATCCAACAAGATTTGAGTATAATATTTCCAAGAAGGAAGATTTCCCAACCCCACTATTCTTACATAAGCACCGTGTCATTGCAATGCCTTTCCTTCAAAATGTACAATAGCCAATCTAACCTTGAAATCCTCTGGAGTGTTATCCACAGAGAAAAAAGTCTCACATTGAACTAGCTAGTTCTTAATTCCATCACCATTAAATCTTGGAAAATTGAGTCTTGCTAAACGTGTACTGCAAGAATAGGAAGAAGATTTCTCCCCACGAGAGAACTGCTCATCCAATTTCAAGCTCAAGCGATCCTTTGTTTCACAATGTTTGGCTTCTGATGTTATCCGCCATTAAAGATGACTTGGATTAGAAGGTGCCAAGCTGATACAAATTGATATAGAATGGATTCTGATTTTACTGATATAGAATGAAGATTACATAAATTTCTGGAAAACAAAATAGAATTCTGCTCACTTTCAAGAGTCGCCACTACTAATTACTACATACAACAACTTATTGCTAACAAATTTGCAGAACCACTACCTATTGATAGATAGCTTTTGACACTAATCAATTATCTCTTATTAACATGTGGCTATATATTAATTCATCCTTCCTAACGACACGAGTCAGTACACTAATCATGCATCAAATATCTTCGCCAAATTTTCTGTTTTTTAATTATTGATTTTGTTCTTTGTTAATTTATCTCTTCTTCAATAGAAAGAAGAGTAGTCGTGTGTATACACCTTACACAGTTGCAAACAGTCCTTTTAATAGTGTTCGGTCATTGTAACATACCTCGCTCAAATAATTAAACTATTTCGTTTTGTTCTGCATGTTCTGTCAATAAATCTGATCGCATTCCCTCGTCTCAAAATGTTGACCATGCACCGCAATAACTAGTGTACAATGACTTTGTGAGGACCATTTTGTATAGTTTAGCCTATAAATATTAAATACATGAACTACAGTGGAATAACTATCATCGGATTATGTATGATTATAGAATTCATAGACTACCTTTTTGTTATGCAGTACATATCTTCTTTTTTGGGTTGTTGATCGTTTGATTCAATTATTTGGTCTAAAATGAATTCACTTCAAATCAAACTTAATCTTAGAAATATTTGTTGTTCTCTATTTTGTTTTCAGGGAGATTATTCATAGCTGACACAAACAACAGCTTAGTTCGATATCTAGATTTAAACGCTGATGAAACTGAACTACGTACCTTGGAGCTTAAAGGAATTCAGCCTCCTAAACCAAAACCAAGATCTTTTAAACGTCTTAGACGACGAGCATCAGCCGATACAGTGCCTATTATCATTGAAGCTATTTCATCAAATGAGGGAAATTTGTCTATTAAAATATCTTTACCAAACGAGTATCATTTTTCAAAGGTCCTCATCGTCCTTCTTTATTTCAAACACACTACTAATTCAATTCTTTGCATACAAGCGAGATCATATTTTTCATTGACTATTCTCCTAAATTTCCATTGCAGGAAGCACGCAGTAGATTCAACGTGGATATTGAACCTGAAGATGCTGTGAATATTGAACCCCTCGATGGATTCCTTAATCCAGAAGGATCCGCAACTCTTCACTTTAAGAGAACCTCTAATTCTGCTTCAATGGGAAGAATTAATTGCAAGGTATGCTTCGTTATAGAACCTCTAACTCTGCTTCAAACCTTTTTCTTAAGTTTCAGATCCTTGAAAGTCTAGTTTAACGGCATCAATTGATAAGAGGAGGAAGAAAATATACATTAATATTAGAAATATCAATAAAAACTTTGGGAAGCTTAATTCTAAAGTGTCGGACTTTAATCTCAATTTTGTTTAGCTTTTTTATGTATTCAACTGCAATGAATATAAATCAACATCACTTATCCTCGGGTGGTGGTGGTGGACAAACCCGCCGAGCATAAATGCAAAGAAAGTTACATTCTCTGTTTACAGGTTTACTATTGCAAGGAAGATGAAGTTTGTTTGTACCAGTCTTTGCTGTTTGAGGTTCCCTTCCGAGAGGGAGTTTCTAGCCTTTCCAAAGCAGACTTCACTCTTGCACATTTTGTCAAACCCAAAACTTCAACTGGCAACTTACTGCAGACAGTTGCCCCGTGAGTCGATGACACCATAAACCAGGTTCTTCTAGCGCTTTTGTCACTTCTTCATCTTTGTTTATTTTTCTGTATATAAAATATTCAAATTCTTGAGAATCATTCTGATACAACACATCATAAGTTCATAAGTAACAAAAGTCAAGGTATTTGTGTGCCCTTTCTCGCTTCTCTGAAGGTGTCGTCATTAATCATCATCGTCTAATCATGTTAAATAATTTATTTTATTATGTATATCCATTATTATAATGGTTGTTTTGTGGATAAGCAAGGATGGATTGTCTATGAAGTCGACACTCGTGCATCATCCTAAGCATGGCAACGGGGCGGGGTGGGTTTTGTTTCCGGATTCCCACCCCGACTTTTTAACCATCCTCGTCCCGCCTACGATCTCTGTCGGGCTAGAAATTAAGTCTTCATCCCCGTCTTCGCTGGGTTTCGGGTTCTCGCCTCTGTCCCGTCCTCGATTTATATTATTTTTAAAAAGATAATTATATTTATAATAAATTAATTTTACTATCTAATTTTTATATATAAATAAATATTTATAATTTATAATTATTATTAATTAAATATATTTTTTAATTTATTATATTTATATTAAAATATGTATGTAAAAGAAATATTTAATCATTTTTTTATTTATATTATTATTATTATTATTGTTATAATACTTGTATTCAAACATTTGATTATATATATAAGTTAAATTCATTTTTAAATTGTCATTTAAAAATATGAAATATATAGTTTATAAGGAAATATTTAATGAGTTAATTCTTATTCAATTAGTTCGAAGTAATAAAAATTTAAATTATCAATTTCTTTAATCCTTTAAAATACAATTATTTTATTATGATAAAATTTGATATATGATAAATAAGAATAATAAGATAAAAAAATGACATAATAAAACCTAATAAATATAAATTATAAATAAAATAATATTAGTTACTACTAATATTTATGTAAAATATTTAGAAAAAGATAAAGAATAAAAAAAAATTAACTTTGTGTTCATTAAATTAGTTGAAAAGATTGAAAAAAAAAACAAATTGATGGGAGAGATTAAGGAAATGTGAAAAAGCTGAAAGGTAAGAGAAAGAATAATGTAATAAATTAATTGATATAAAAGATTAAAAAAGACAAAAAAATTAAAAAGTGGGTAGAAGAAATTTTTTTGGTGAAATATAAAAAAATGACCTTATATGTAATAGAAAAAGAAAAAGAAATACTTTTAAAATATTAATATTTTAAAATTTAAATTTAAATATAAAGTCGGGCGGGGTCGGGGTGGGGATTGCATTACCCATCCCCGCGCCCCGCCCCCGACTTTTTAAAGCGGGGAAAATTCGAACCCGCCCCGCCCCCGGTTAACTCGGATTTTTCCCGTCAAACTCGGGGCGGGATGGGTCGGTCCCACGGGGACAGGTTTAATTGCTATCCCTACATCATCCATATTATGATGATTTGGTGGCCAATAATTGAACATATACTAATATTTTTACTAAAAGAAATGTACTCTGGACGATTAACACTTAGCATATGTTTTCCAAAAATGATTTGCGGAAAGGAAACAAATAAAGTGTTTTGTGAATTATTTATTTGTTTGGGGTTCTTTTTTTCCCTCTCCAACGAGGATTACTCTTAGCGATGGCTAAAAGTTCCGTCCACCCGATTTTGGTCCGTCAAAAGAGGGGCAGGATGGGTTAGTCGTTGTAGTTATGACAGACTACAAGTCTCGGTCCGTTCCTTTAAAAGGGTGGACTGAACTGTTATATTTTTTATTTTATTTTATTTTATTATTTTTAAATTAAATTTTTCAATAAATTTAATAATAAAATTATTATTGTTAATAATTCAATATATATATATATATATATATATATATATTTCAAATTAATAATATAAATTGATATATTATTTTAATAAATTATACTTTAGAACAATTAAATTAAGATAAAATTTATATAATAATAAATACATATATGTAACAGTAAATAATTATTAAATCTTTATTTTTTATATTGAAAAGTTTAAACATTTAAATGAAAATTACATTATATTTATTTATTTGATAAAGTTTCACATTGTTCTTCCGTTGAGTCATTTTCATATTTTCAATTCAAAACAATCAATGGCAAAGATCATTAAATGCAATATTTGAAGATTTTTCTAATTTTCTATCTTTGTCATTTTCTTCCTCGTCTTCAACAACACACAAAATTGTAAAAAAGAAAAATTAATAAAAGAAATGATTATCAAAAATAAAAATAAATAATATTTGAATTAGTAAAGCGGGTCTGCGGTCTGCGGGCTGGTTCGTCTCGTCCCACAGGTTGGCTCAGCGGGCTTGGTAGAGTCGGGCAAAACAAGTTGACAGGCTAAAAATACTAACCTACTCCGTTATATTATAGCGAGTTGGCGGGTCAACTCGTTAGACCTGATCCATTTTGTCATCCCTAATTACTCTTTAAAACTTTGGTGCCAAAAACTCTGCATTTTTTTTTTTGCAAGTTCTTCGATTCATAGAAGTGTATAAGGTCCTTAGATAGGTGCAAAACAAATTAATTAATAATGTGATGGCTAGTCTTACTTGGTAGAACTTGGATTATAATATTACGAAAAAGCAGTCATACGTGTTAATAGGTAAAACCAACTACTATAATTTCTTTATTTATCATTTGGTAGCATAATTGCATACATTTTGCATGTGATACGACTATTAGATATGTGTTGTTCAATGGATAAACTTCATAGTGCATCAATCATTATATAAATTCATAACTTTCGAACATGGTCAGGTTGCTTGTTAGGTTGAGAATTCATCATATAAAAGATAACAACTCGGAAAACACTGCACATTTTCCCCTTAGATTGGCATGTTTATTTTGCATTACGTTGTAATCTTAATATGTCAGCTTTACTCTCAATACTTATTATTCGGGTATGGAGTTTATCCATTATTATCAGAATCAATAGAAAAATTTTAGTTACTCATTTTGACATGCTCTGTCATTCACTCTCCAATTTTGGTTGTTGATCGGATTCGACATAGGAAGCACAGACTCGGATACGGATCCAGGGGATATAATTAAATTAAAAATCATAAGGCTCATTCTTCTTGTATTTTTGTTCTTATTCTTAAAGACAATATTATTTTTTTTATATATTTTGATATTTTAATTTTCCTGATAAATCTAAACAAGTTTCAGATCCGGAAGGTTGAATCCCTGTTCACCTCAATATCAAAACTTGACATGCCAAACCTCTGCGAAGTATCCTAATGATTAGATCCAACATAGTCATGAAAAAGAAATCATGCAACAAAATCCTAACACATCAGAAAGTAAAACCATGAAAGGCCAGTTCTCCCAATGATGTTTTAGACTTTTAGGCAAAAGCCAGTTTTGTATATATAATCAATAGGAACGAAGCACCTCATGAAATTTATGTTAATTGGCTACTTCAATGCCAAAGGTAATCCTTATTGAGAATACAGCCAGTAGCAGGATAATAAATTCACTAGCATTGATATAAAAATATGAAAATACCTCGAGAGATATTTATGTGATCGCTTAAAAACCTAACTACCATATTCGATAACACGAAGATTGCGCATTGTTTGGAATTTTTAGAATTTCAAAGGCTAGAAATTCCGTCTTACCATTTCAATTTTGTTAAGAGGATGAAAACAAAGCTAACTAACAATAAAAAATTATGTCATTTATACAAAGAAAATTCATCATAAACACCTTATATACCGTAAGAAGTCTTTTCCATATGACAGATGTTGTAGATGGACTACACAAAACTTTTTATTAACGGCACGCTCAAGTCAAGAAGTGGAGCAATTTAAGCATCCTTTAGGTCATCAATTAAGATCTCCTGGCTGCACAGATGTCGATGGTCATGGTGATCGCACAACAGAGTGATTAGGGGATATCTTCGATCAACACTTACGGAATCCGAAGCGAAAAGCGAAAATGTATAAACCAAAATAGGTTACAGTATGTCACAATATAGGTTACACAGACATTTGACATGCCAAGTTTTGACATCGAGGTGTTCATGTATCTCGAACTTGAAGTTAACAAGGATTTAACCTTTTGGATCAGAGAAAAATTCTGGATTATTTAATTTAGAAAATTTTCGGATTTATCAATCCGAAATTTTAATAAATATTATTTTTATATTTTTTAAATTACTTAATTTAGAACATAGAAAAAAATATGAGTTTCAGATTTATTAATATGAATTTTTTCTATATTTATTAATGCGGAATATTACAAAATATTGAAACACATAATAATATTGTTTTTTAAAGTACGAGGGTGCAGAATAAAACTATGAATATGTAATAAAAATATGTCAAATCATGACATTATATATATATATATATATATATATATATATATATATATATTAAGTTTCATAAAAAAAATATTAAGAGACATCATATTCGATAATAAAAAAAATAAGCTACATTTTTTACTATTTGTTTTATTTTTATTACTTTTATCTTCTTTCAATTTTAGTGGATGAAAAGAAATGAGATCCAATGCCATCTTTGCTTATGGTTAGTAGGAAATATGTGTAAAACCATTGATTTATTGGCACAGTAAATTTAATCACTTTTAGTATATAAAAGAGAAAGTAGTTATATTTTGTATACTATTTCTCATCTATTTTATTTATACCTCTAATTTTATTTTCGTTTTCTATTGTATTAAACAATTTTCTAAACTTTTCTTTATTATTTATTATCTATTTTTATCATATCAAACAATTAAATATTTAAAAAATTCAACTTTATTTTATTTTATTTATTTTCTCATCACCTAACATGACATTTGTGTGATTAGTTATTATATATAGAAGTAAACCAATATCATGGGATGCCCCGACACATATTTATTGATAATAATACTAACACGTCCCAAACCAACTAATTAGTCACACTACTTTGAAATAGTCACACCAAGATATCAAGAAAGGAAAACAAATAAAATTTAAACTAAAGGAAGAATCTAGAAAAAAAAAAAAAAAAAAAGGTAAAGTTTGTATTCTCTTAACCAAGAATTTAAAGTTTTATCATTTAAACTTTTCTAATCATATTATCCTTTTCCAACTACTCAACGTGAATGCAACATTTTATTTTTGTGGAATTTCTTACTATTATGATGATGAAAGCATGCTCTGTTTATTTCTTAGCTAAAGGCCAAAGTCATTGTCCGAGACCACGTTTCGTGTAGAGATTAGACAGTAAAGCATGTCTCTTTCAAGGAGGCAAACTTGTCTTTCATGTCATTTGGATAGATTCGTTTCTCATTTCCCTTTATTCATTTCTTTAAGCTTAGCTTGTAAATAATTATTGACTATAATCTTCTCAAACTTAACCAATTTTTGTTTATGAAAATTTGTCAATACTTGATTTTTGGGCAAAACAGCCGCATGCGTCTCTTTTCTGTGTCTTTGGCTCCCATGTGTTTGCATCCCCTCAAATCATTCTCACCAATACAAACAAACAACTCTGATCCCACAAACACAACCAATCAATCAATCTATGCCAACACAATTGCCATGTCATGAATGCCTTCAAAAGCCACTTCTTTAGCTACCTGCCTTTTCCCCAAACCATCACCAACGGCCTTTCTTTTTCTCAAAATTTATCAATTTTCAATCCTTGCAGGTAAAAGATAAGAAACACACTGTATTTCACATTACAATAATACTCTCTACAACTTTTGTCACATGCCACCCATCTTTTTCAGATTCATTTAGTCTTTTCCTTGAACTCTCCACCCCCAGGAAAAAAAAGAACAAGGTAAAACTATCCAAAGAAAACATCATCATTTCGTCTGACCAGCTGGTTATTTGTCTGACCATCAATGTTGGCCGTAGGTTAAGAGATGACCACGACCTTCCCTGCTCGATTGAAATATTTTAGCCACTTTTCTTTTCTCCTGAGTTGAGTAGTAAAAATTGGTGTCATGTGAAAAAATACTTTTGTTTGTGTCGGTGTAGTGTGTAGTCAAGGTACAATTTGAGACACAATTTATCTCTCTCCTCTTTCTCGTAGGATACGTATCTTTGCAAGCAAGTGAAGATGATTGACCCAATTTGAAACATCTTATAGTGTAATAGTGATGAGATATTGCTTTGAAAATGAATTAACCCTTAGGTTTTTAATTAATTAAGATAGTTGGTACCCCTTCCCGTGACTATTGGATTTTAATGTTTGTCCAAATCAAAATGGGAAAAGAAAGAGAGGGTAAAACCTACATTGTTTAAGATTGCAGCAGAATATCATATTTTAAGTAGCCAAGTTGTCCCCTATTTGTTAAACAATTCTAAATTTGTTATTGTGGCCAATCTAAACCTAAATTTGAGAGGCAAGTTGTCCAGTCAAATTTTCTCATCCAATATCACATGTAAAGTCGCTGTCTTCCCTCATTTGTCGTAAAAGGTTGACGTACGGTGTTTTTCATTAGTATTCATCTGAATTTTCTAGTCAAACTTTCAAATCATTACCTATTAGGTTAATTTTCTCCGTGTTCAAGCTATGTTTTAATACGATAGAAGAAATATTTTTAGAAATAAAAATAATATTATTTTTGTTTCATACAATTATATATCAAAGGATAAAATAATAATGTGTAAAAAATAAATAAATAAAAAAGTGTTATAAGTACATCATACAAAATTACCAAATGTGTAAATCAATTAACAAGAAGTTTTAAAATAGAGGTGTGTGATTTAAAAAATAAATAAATAATAAAACTATATTTTCATCTTTTACTAAAATTTTTTTATGATGATCACTGTCTTCTAAAGAAATAAAACATAGAGGACAATACTGTGGATATTTTTGTATCATTTTCAATAATAATAAAGAAAAAACATAGCTTTACAACCCACACAATGAAGTCATTATAGTGTGTTGACAAATGTATTTAGATAAAATTTTAATCATACTAAAAATGCAAAAATAAAAATAAAAATCATATTATTACACCTAAATTTCCCCCGCCTAAAACACCCTCCCTAACAGATCCATCCAAGATTATTTTAGTTGTCTGTTTAATATGAGAAGTTGATAATTAAAAGGTTTAATGTATACTTGTTTTTTCTTTTAAACTACAGGTCAACCATGACATATAGTTACATAATAATATATTAATTTTTACAATTAATTGGACTGTTAACTTTTAATAAAATAATTTATTTAGAGTCAGAATGATTAATTAGAACTTATATAATATAAGGCAAATTTGACTCAATAAATTCTTTGACTTTTATTAACATAATATATATATATATATATATATATAATAAAATTAAATTAATAAGAAATTGACCACAAATGCATAGATATTTTGACCATGGTAAGTGGGGCACAAAAGCAGGGGTAAAAATGAATATTGCAAATTATAGTCACAACAAAGTTTAGAAAAAAGAAAAAAATGAAAGTAAATAGAGAAAGGAGAAGGGGGCGTGGATCCTTGTGAGTTCTCTCTTATACTCTCTCTCTCTCTCTCTTTTAGTTCATGCATCCAACTTACTATCAACTTCTTCTCTCGTTCTTCATTCCAATTCTTCCAATTTCTGATAAATCAATCATCGCTTAGACCTTCTCTGTTTTCAAAACAATTCCAATCATATCCCTTTCCCTTCTCGCCATCATTCTCTTCTCATGGCGTCTTTCAATTCAAACCTCCACTCTGTTACGACATCGCAACAATCCAATCACAAGAAGCGCCGCAAACTCACGCACCATGCTTCCCTCACTCCCGCTCGCTGGACTTCCCAAACCGAACACCGCATCTACGCCTCCAATCTCCTCCACGCGCTCCGCCGTAACAGCCCTGTCGCCGCTCGCCATGTCCGCGCCGACGCTGACCGCACCCTCGCCTCCGCTGCCAAGGGCCGAACCCGATGGAGCCGCGCGATCCTCGCGAATCCGTTTGGCCGGTGGAAGCAGAGGCACCTGAAGAGGATAAGGAAGCCCGGCACCGGATTGATGAAGAAGAGGACGCCGGAGATTCGCCGAACGGTGCCGCCGCTGCAGAAGAAAGTGCGAGTTCTCGGACGGTTAATCCCCGGTTGCCGGAAGGTGTCGTTCCCGAAGCTTCTGGAAGAAGCCGGTGACTATATCTCTGCCTTGAAGATGCAAGTGCGAGCCATGACTGCTCTCGCCGACCTTCTCGCCGGCGGTCCGTTGCCACTCGCTCAGCTCCGATTGAGTTGACCTACTTCTTTTTAGTGTTACTTTTTTTATTATATATATATATATCCTTTTAATTTGTTTCCAGATTTGAATTCCTCTTCCCATTATATCCTATTTTTTTATTATTTTAGTTAAGGAAGTTATAATGGATAATAAAATATGTTTTATATGTATATTTTTTGAAGGTTGGGATAAAGTATTAACAGGCTGTGAAATATTGATGAGAAACAAATCAAGCCCTGCATGCACAATTATCTGTTCTACCACTCTTCATCCATAAAACTTAAGCATACATTTTTATTCAAGTTTCCAAACAAAATGTTAAATTCATTTCGTTTTATGTTGTATAAATTTATGCTCTAGAAGCAGTTTTTTTGGGGTCCGGTGAAGTACATAAATTCTAGTACACACCTCCATCACTACTGTTCACCTTAGATTTAATGATTAAAAAATTCAGTGATTCAAAGATCTTTTCCCTTTTACCTGAAAATGAATTTAAACATTTCTATAATTTGCAAATTATGCCTTATGTGTATCCTGAGCTTTTTTATTTTTTTTCTTCTTCACCAAATTGTTAAAAAAAATTGATTGATGTAAATGACTTCTTTTTCACATATAACCCTATTTTTAAATTAATATACCTATTTTAACAAATTCTGTTTTATTACTCAACACGTCGCTTACTTCTAGTTCAGGTTTAAAACTCATGGCGCACAAGAGTGTATCAGTATTTTAGAACTTCATCCTAGTTTTATATTTACAAATTAAAATAAACACTCTAATTTATTTAAGAGGGTCAAGTTCAATACTGTTAAACGAACACATGTTAATTAATTTATAAAAATTATTTAATTAAGATTACAGTACAGTTTATAATTGTGAAATAATAAATATTTTGGAAAAGAAAAATAACTCTGGGTGGTCTCAGATTCAGAACATAACACTCAAGTGATGTAGTTTGAATGTCCCACAAATGGGCATGGAAGGAAGGGTTGAACGCCCCCACACACAGAGACCACATAGACAACAGATGAGTGATGATGAGATTGGGTTGCATTGCATGTGAGTGAGTACATGAAACTGTGAGAAAAAAAAAAAAAAAAAAAGGTTTCACGTGGCATTTGAGGAATTAGAATTGTGATGAACTTTTTGTATTTGCATCCAGATTGTTCTCCTTGGAACAGACAAATATGGGTGAGATCCTAGACAGTGTTCTCTCTCTGAATAAAAACATTTTCCTTACTAAGCCCTGACACGCGTGCAACCTTGACAATACATCTCTCATTTATGCCACAGTCACATCCCATACCATCTGGCTCACCCATCACCCTTCATTCCTCCAATTTTTTTCAACTCTCATTTCTCAAAATTTCGCACCTTTCATTACATTGATATGCCAAACGGACCAACTTCTTTCCACCTCATTACTACTTTCTTTGTCCTTTCCCTCAACCATCACATTCCACATGCAGCCATGTGCTTCCATCAGGGTTGCTTTAGTTTAGAGAAAAACCAAAAAATTGAGAGGAGATGATGGATACAGCAGTATGAAGAAATCAGATATGACTTTCGGTTTGGATAATTGAATATGTAAATAAAATATAAGAAATAATGATACAGTATTTATCAATCACATTGTGTCTAAAATATTCACTCACAAAATCCTAAAAATTATGTACATGTTTCTTTAATTGGGTTTATTTTATAGCCCTAGAATGCGATTAATGTGGTAAGTGCGACCATTAGTTTGTGATCATTGGTGTCATTATCTGTGGTTTCAAATTCTGGATTTGTGTTTTAGACAGCTCAAATATGGTGCACATGCTGGTTACGAAAGCATGTGAAGTACTTGTTAAATGCTCAAGAGCCTTGGCACCTAAAATATCATAATTTGGATATAGAACCTTGTCATCTTGTTGTCTAATAGAGAGGAAATTGATAATTTAAATTAAAACTATTTGTTCATATCCTCAAAATTTTAATTAAAACATCATAAGTATGTCATTTGTATATCCTCACTTTAACCACATTGTCTTGTGAAACTTTCCTATGTGTAATTTTGCACTATTATTTATGGAAAACAGTAACTATCATTTGAATAAAGTTGTTGGTAATTGAGCAAACTGAGGAGATGAAAGAAAAAACAAGAGTATAAAACAAAGTTGTCATAGAAATCAAATCATGGAAAATAAAAAGATGGAGTGGGCCAACAAAAAAACAAGTACGAGTTACTACACGTTGCTCCTTCGATAAATAGGAAAGGACAACTGCATATGTATATACTCCTTTCTTTATCGTATTTTTCCCTTTTGTTTTCTCACAGAATATTAAACAGAAATTATAAATAATAAACAACCATTTACATGCTCAACAAATAAAAATTTAGTTATTATGTAAATTTGGACCTTGTAATTTGTAAATCTTTAACTTTGGGCTGTAATTTTTTTTTTTTCAATTCCTTATTTTCCATTATTCGTAACTTTAGTTCCATCTAATCCTTTAATTTGCAATTACATGCGTCATTATATTTAATTTTTAGTTTTAAAAATATACATAACCACTTTTAAATTATATTATGTAATAAGTCTCTCAGGCTACCTTTTTCAATATTTTAAAAAAATATTATGCATTTCTTTTCAATTTCGTTGTATCATATTTAAAATAACAAAATGATTATAGATCAATGATTTTAAAATTGAACAAACTTATGAATAATTGAACAACTTATGGATGATTAGAAATTGAAGAACTAAAACTATGATAACAAAAAAAAAACACAGGGATCCGAGTAAAATATTGGGATTAGTATTACAACTAACTAAGTCTTGTTATTATTTAATTACACTAATTTCATTTTGAAAGTAATTTTTTCTCAAAATTGAAACATGGTATTAAGAAAAAAATATATTTAAAAACACCACTTAAATAATAAAACATATATGGGAGATGATAACATAAAATAGTGTAAATTTAGTTTGAAAAAAAGAAGAAGATTAACCAATAATGGGATTTTTTTGAACTTATATTTGATTCTGATGGAAGTACTCACTTCGAAATATAAAAAAATGATTTGAGGTGTGCGTGCAATTTAATAAGGAAAAGGAAATACAAAACTATGAAATGTATATAGGGCTTATGTGTCATATAAACGTAACATAGTATGTATTGTACGTACATATTAAAAAACGAGTGACTTAAGTTCTGAAACCCAAGTTCGGGTTGTTCAATTTAAGGGCCTGTGTAATGGTGGGCTTCAACAATAAAATGACTATTGCAGGGGCCTCCAACAACAACAACGACATGCAAGCCCAATAATATAACGGTAGAAACTCTTCCTATTTCATGTTAAAAATATATATCTAAATAAAATACATTTCATATAAACATTTATGAATAAAGATTAAAGAATAGATAAATCATCGGTGTAGTGGCGCGCCCTCGCGTTGGTTTGAATAAATAGTGGCCATTCTGTTACTCTGTTTTCAGTTTTCAGTGTTAAAGAAAGAAAGAATAATCAAGAAGTGGAAAATGCATCTGCAAATTAGATCAGATTCTCCTACTGGTTTTCGTTCTCCAGCGAGGAGGAAAACCAATAAGACTGTAATTGAAGCGGAAAAGGGTCGGAAAAGGAGGGAAGAAGACATCGCTGGCATCAGAAGGATCAGACGCGAAGAGACTCTTTTCGAGAAACGAGGAGGAATTCATACAAACCAGTCCTGTGATTGGGTCGGTACCTATCTTTTCAAACACAACTTCTTTTCAATTACTTGCTCCTTTCATTTCATCATCAACAACGTTTCAGAGTTTCAATCTTGTTTCATTAGCTGGTGGAAGATGTACAGCATCTATGGTCTGAGGACCCTGACGAACAGTTGGAGGCAGCTGTTAACATGGGATGTCTGCTAACACTTGGTGTGCTTTCAATTCATATTTCTTGTATCATGCATTTTTTAATTTTGATCAAACAATCTCGACATTCATTCGTTGGGTTTGTTCATGTTAATTAAGAGGACCCTCCAATTGATGAGGTCGTTATGACTGGTGCTATCTCTCGCTTTGTGGAGTTCTTGTCAATGGAAGATGCACCTCAATTGCAGGTACATATGTATGCATTGGATTCCCCAAATCTTTCTCCTTCTTTTTCTCATTCACGCATACAATAGTTATTATTCCTTGTGTTTTGCAGATGGAGGCTGTTAGCATTCTAACTAATATTTCTTCGGGAGAATCCCGACACACAGGATATGTCGTAGGTAATGGTGCTATTCCGTCTTTGGTGAAACTTCTCAGTAGTTCAGATGATGATGATATCAGAGAACAGGTCATGTCTTCTGATTGCATTTTAAACTCTTCAATTTCTCTTTATTATTTTGCCCCCACCCTCCAAAGGAGAAAAAGAAAAGATAGTTTTTTACTTAATCGAGTTTGGCTTCCCTTGTCTTGAACAGACAGTAGGGGCTTTAGCGAACATTGCCGGCGATTCCCCAAGATATAGGGATCTTATTCTTCACCATGGTGCTCTCTTGCCTTTATTATCTCAGTTGCAACCACATTCAAGGTTGTCTATGTTAAGACATGCTACGTGGTGTTTATCTAATCTGCTCCGTGGAAAGCCTCCAGTAAATCTTGAACAGGTTGGAGACATTTCATAAGATCTTGCTTTTGAGACTGATCAACATTTAATAATTTCGAAACGTCAGATGAAGATCGAATGATTCATGATTTGTCTCGGTAAATCAGAGTAAAAACATGCTTATTCAAAATGTGTAGTCATTGGGCACTGTGTGCATGTATATATATATAAATAAAGTTAATTTACATATTCATTTTTATCTTCTCTGCTCCATTATACCAAGACTGATGTATGCTAGTATTGTGTTAATCAGAGATGGGCTTGATCTTTGTCAGGTAAGGCTTGCATTGCCTGTCCTTCAGAACCTCATCCACTCCAAGGATGAAAAGGTTGTTAAAAATACATGTTGGGCTCTCTCTTACCTTGCAGATGGCACATTCGAACATATTCAAGCTGTTATTGAATTAGGAGTTTGCCCAAAACTTGTGGAGCTTCTGCTGTATGTTGCTCGGCTCTTTACAGCTTAATTTGATGCCTCATGCCAGTACACCATTTTCTTTTTCTATTGTTGGACAGTTTGGGTTGATTAAATTTCATTTACCAGGTATCCATCAGATACAGTTATTATACCTGCGCTTCTGACTCTAGAAAATATTTCTACCGGCGATGATGTTCAGACCCAGGTAGAAAGAACAATATACAATTTACCTTCTGATTCTTCTGAAAGCATGTATGCCGTGATTTTTATATTATGTGAGCAACGTATGATTGTGCATCCAATCTAGAACTTGGAGAATATATTGGTATCAACAAGTCATATCAAGACAATATCCTTTTTTGGTCTCTTTCTCTTTATCAATATTTTACCTTCAACCTAATTCAATTGCTATACATGTTTTCAGGTTGTAATTGATAACCGACTACTCCCGTATCTTCACCAACTTCTCACGCAAGAAGACAATAAAGAAATCTCTAACTTAAGAAGAATCTTTAGAGAAGTTTGTTGGACAATCTCAAATATCACCGCTGGGACTGAATCTCAAGTACAGGTAAGGAAAGGTTAACGGATCTCTTAGTCTATACATGCAAAGGAACTTTCATTTAGTACTAGAGTCCTAAAACGAGCTCTTTTTCCCATTCTTTATTGAGATGTATTTGAATTGGGTGATAAGATATCACAAGTCTTCATAAGAATTTATGGAAATCTATTTTTGTTTACATAAAATAGTGAAACCTTCAAAAATTTGTTGTCATGATTATTGCTGCAGGCTGTGATTGATGCCGATATCATCCCTTTTCTTGTTGAAATTATTCATAATGCGGAGTTTGAGATCATGAAGGCAGCTACCTGGGCGATCTTCAATGTGACTTGTAGAGGATCTCAGGACAATATCAGGTATGGTTTTTTCCTTTGTCATAATTTTTCTCCATTGGTACTCAAAAGTTTTAGGCTGGATTACTTTGGTGACTTTTATTGTAGGTTTCTGGCGGATCAAGGTTGCATTGAGGCACTATGTCAACTGCTCGATAATCCAGAAACAAAGCTTTTGTTAATTTGTCTACAGGGGCTGGAGAACATTTTGAGGGTCGGAAAAGCTGACCAAGAAAAGGGGCTGAATGATGGAGTCAATATTTTTGTTGAGAGGGTAAATAATTGTGAAGGAATATATGAGAACCTTTATAATTTGCTGACAGATGACGACTGTGATGTCAAGGACAGAGCATCGACGCTTTGTAGAAGACTCAGAGCAGGGAATGATGTCAAAGATATGGATTAGACGCCTGGGGATGGTAGTCAGCAAGATTTTTCACTAGGGTTTTTCCTTGTTTTTCCGTTTTCGTAGTGGAATTTTTCAGGTTTCTGTTTACTCAGATGGCTCTGAATTTGTTTCGGTCTTGCAGATGGGGGTAGTTGTTTGGCATGTTAATGAAACAAGTTAACACGGTCGCATGAGTTAGTTTTGCGAACCAAGGGTTAGGAGTACAAAATATGAGAGAAATTTGATTGAATAGTAAGAAAAGAGTTTTGTCTCTATCATACGTGTTTAAACATGGATTAAACTTGCATTTATACGGAGCTTGTGCCCAACCGTTTTTCTTTCTTTTGTTTTTGAAGAAGCTTCCGTAGATTGTACTTTCTGTTACTATTGTTTGGATGATAACTTTCTTTTCTTTTATTCATAAAGAGATGATAGAGAATTTTTTAACATTATTATCATATTAAATTTAACATCATGAATTAAATTTGTATATATATTTATCTTTTTAAATATTAGATATATTAATTGAGACAACCTATACTTTGAAGGTGACCTAGACTATGGTAGTCTGGTTCGACTAATCAATATCAACTCAATTAAAAAAACAAATGAGAAGAACCACCAAAAAAGTTGGACATAAGTAGGAGAATTCATATATTGATTCACATGTGAAACCATGCAAGAAACGTAGATATATACGTAAATTCAACTTCAACAATCAAGTGTAATATCACACATATCACCTTTGACAATTTTTTCATATAATTTAAATTTTTTAAGATATATTATCCAGTAATGAATATTACATAGAAAGTTTTTTCCACAATAATGTAACTTACATCCCAGCTTACTAGAAAGACATATTTTTCAAAAGAACAAGGTAAACTACCAAGACTTATAAGATAGGCCATAAAACTAATAAAAACATCTTGGTCCTTGTTAGGTTGAAAACATATGCATGAATGAAGCATTCCAATATAAATAATTTTGCTATACTTTAAGCTAACCTTTTCCATCATCATGAAAGACATAATTTAGAACACAATTGAAATTTGCAATAACCAATGTAGCAAACTTGCAAAAGACCTTTTTGTTGCTTGAGAAACTTCATAAACTGGATCAAATTGGGCAAACCACCATGGTCCCATCCAAGGTTATCAAAATCGAGAGTCTACGTTGACTCGTGAGAGCTTCGTAGACTCGACTCGTAAACCCGACTCGTAAGAGTCTACTTCATATGAAAAATTCTATATAATAATATAAATTCAGAATTTCATCATCAAAATTAATGAAAATAAAAAACAATAGTTCAATAATTCTAAAATAACTTGGTTCAACACACATGATTGTTATATAAGTTCAAATTACACCAAATACATAAGTTAATACAAATCACCAAAACATAAATAACTTCAACTTTCTAGCTCCAATCCTCTAATTATATCATCTCCAACATCATCATCTTTTTCATCTTCATCATCATCTTCTCCATCACCATCAACCTCTTCCTCGGATGATAAGAGTGCATCATCAACATTGGCATCAAACACTATATTATCAAGATCAATTGGTTCTAAAGTAGGATCAATTGAACTTATTTCAGCTATGTCAACATTTTCCTCATCACCTTCACCTTAAACTGGCTCAATCCCAACATTATCACCATCTTCTGTTATCCATTCATCATCAGACTCAATATCATCAAATGGGAGAGCAACTATTTTCCTATTTTGTTTATTTTTAAGCTTTAAGTTGTACATGACATAAACCAAGTCATTCATCTTTTTCTGGTGCAAACGGTTTCTTCTTTTTGTGTGAACCTATAAATAAACATGAATGTTTAAATACAAAAAATTAAAAACAAATAATAACTTAACAAATTTGACTTACAATTTCAAATGAGCTCCAATTACGCTCACACCCGGAAGAACTACAAGTTAAGTTCAAAACTCGAATAGCAAATCGCTTCAACTCCGGAGTTCCATCTCCAAACATTTCCCACCATTCTCCAGGAAGCATAACTTTCCTACAATCTTTTGCATTTTCCAATGAGAAAAGTCCTTTTGCAAAATGAAACTCTAGAAGTTGTAAATTATTTTTTTTCCTTTCTGCAACATCCTTGACCAATCTTTTCATGCATTCATACAACCCTTCTTTTACCTCCACATCATCATTTCTAAAATTAGGTTCATAGTGGATGTGAGGGTTAAGGTAATATGCAGCCGCATGCAAAGGTCTATGAAGTTAATTATTCCACCTCTCATCAATTATGTTCCAAACATGTTCATAACTACAATGATGCAATCATGCAATGTTAGAAATAATTACACAAAATAAAGAATGAAAATCTAAAAAAGAGAAAGTTTATAAATTTTACCTTTTCTTAATATTATTAAAGTTAAATTTGATCTTCTCTTTGGCGAGAATCCATTTCTTCATAAATGAAACCCATTGCGGGTTTTATATCCGAATCCACTAATCGAAGGACCACCATCAAAGGGGCAGCAACTTTGAGACAAGTGGTTACATTCTTCCAAAACCGACTATCTAATACCACATGCTCAATTTTTCTCCCTTCCATTGAAGTTCCAAATTTGCTTGATTTCCACTCATCAGAGCTAAAGAAGCTCATCAATGATGCTTTCAATTCATGAAGACATGCAAGAGTTAGATAAGATGTGGCAAATCTATTCATACTTGGCCTTATCAAGTCTCTACCTTTGGTAAACTTCTTTAACATGCTAATTAGCATTGCTCTACCATAAATGTAGGTAGTGATTCTTCTTCCCTTCTTGATAGTAGTTTGATGGACCTTCAAATATTTTTCAAAATCTTCAAAAATCAAATCAATGCAATGGGCAGCACATGGGGTCCAATACAAATGCTCTCGTTTTTGCATCAATAACTCTCCAGCTGCCTTGAAATTTGCAGCATTATCGGTAACCACTTGAACCACATTCTCCTCTCCAACAAATTCCACTACATCATCCAACATCTTAAACACTTTATCTGCAGTTTTTGAGATATTTGATATATCCAATGAGTAAAGAAACACAGTCCCTTTAGGACTATTGACTAGAAAGTTACAAATAGAACGTCTTTTTTTGTCAGTCCACCCATCAGACATGATTGTGCAACCTGTTCTTTTCCACTCCTCCTTATATTCTTCAAGGATTACATCAGTTTTTTGCACTGCTTGTTTCAAAAGTTTTTCTCTAATATCATGATATGATGGGGGTTTGTAACCAACTCCATATCTTCCAATCATCTCACACATTTTTGCAAAAGCAGGATTTCTAATAACATTGAATGGAATGGCACTTGTGTAAAAAAATTCCGCCACTTGAGCATCAACTTTTTCTTTATCCCCTTTCTTATACAGTTGATTTAAAGTAGATTGAACACCTTGACTGAATTTGTCCTTTCCTTTATTTTTGAACATCATACTACTACTACTTTGAGTGGTATCCACCTCTTGAATGTGCTCATCATCATACTCATCAATTATATTCCGTCTCCTTTTCTTTTCTGAAACATCTTTAGCCTCTGCCACAACTTTCATCATTACAACTTTCACTTCTTCTGGAACTGAGGCACATGGTTCAGATTCATATCTAGTACCAGCAAGATGATGTTTGAATATGAAAACTCCTCCATTGATTATTTTTGAGCAATAATTACATTTAACTTTTTTTCCATTACCCGAAACATCTGTTCCGTGTTTCCATCCAATGTCGGTCCGGTTTCCTAAAGCATTTTTACTTCTAGGTCTAGGAAGTCTAGGTAGTGAAGATACATTAACATTGGAATCACAAGAATTTGAAGCAGTCCCACTTCCGGACATTGCAAATCAGTCTCAATTAACTAAAAATAAAATAATTTATTTTTTTAGAACAACTATAAAAAACAACTAAAATAAAAGATAAAATATGCAACAAAAAATAAATTCAATAAATAAAACAAAGAATAAATTATATAAATACTACCTATTCAATAAATAAATAAATAAATAAATAAATAAATAATATAAAAAAATTTAACAGACTAGATTTTTACTAATGAATAAAAAAAAAGTTTCGAGTTAAAAAAATGCATTGCATTTTAGAGAAATGCAACGCACATCCTCACACTCACTTACGCAGTACCTGCGACGCGAGGCAAGGTGAGGCGACCAAAGCTGCTACGGGAGGCGACCGGAGCTGCTACGCGAGACGACCGGAGCTGCGACGTGAGGCGATTGGAAGTGCGACGCCACTGAGCTGTGGGGGCGCGGGGGGGGGGGGGCGAAACGCGATGCGACGCGATGACGCGGAGCTGTGAGGGCTGAGCTGCAGGGCGACGACGCGATGCGATGCGACCAGAACTCAACGCGCGACACCAGAGCTGCGGGGACGAGGGAGGTCAGATTTAGGTTTTCATCTTCGATTTTCTCTTCTTCTTCGATTAGGATTTTTGATTTGGGTTTCAATCTTTAATTTCGTTTAGGTTTTCGATTTGGGTGGTTAGGGATTTTGTTTGGGTTTAAAATCAAAATGGTAACGACATTTTTGTTTGTCGTTTCGTCCTCCCTACGAACTCAGTGACTCGCTCTCAAACTCGCGAGTCTATTTCGAGTCAGCGAGTTTATTTCGAGTTCACTCTGAGTCAAACAAAAAACGAGTTTATATGTGAGTTAACCCGTAAACAATAGCTTGACTCGCTGACTCGTACGGGTGTACGAGTCAACCCCGTGAGTTCGATAACCATGGTCCCATCAAAGTCTTCAGATGTGGGGCTAACTCTCCTGAGAAGGATGTGAGCAGGGAAATCAACAATAAATGCGTTAATTAAATTCACTTTAGAGAATCATTAAAGTTTGGACCAATTACACAAGTAAATAATAGCTAATGTTTAATCTTATTTCAAGAACACTTAAATTTAGATACTAGTAGAAATCCAGCAAATAGGTACATTGTACACCAATTAAATTCATATTTTTTAGGAATAATAATAGTAACCAAGAAAAGGTTTTTGTTGTT